GAGAATAAGATACTAGTAATGTTGAGAGTCCATAATGCCTCGAAGCACCAGCACTCATGAAGAGCATGCAGGACACACACCAAAATAAAACTCGGGATGCCTTCTCAGGATGATTTTGTCCTTTGACATTTCTTTCATTTGAGACGACGACGAGGCGACAAAGGTTCAGAAGGCCCTGCTGAGGGTATCAGAAGATAAGGGGCCAATGTAATAAGACAAGCAGAACGACAGGGTAAAGGTTCAGATGGCCCTGCCAGGGGAGAGGGTGAGCTATGCAAGGATGAGGACTCTGGGATACTGTTATGGAAGGATGAGGGCTCTGGGGCCATCCTGGGAACGGCTGTTCTGTATCAAGAGATTGCATGTACTTATCAAGTATGCCAAGGACTCCAGCGTGAGTCATCTTCAACTGATTTTTGGGCCCATTCGCACAGTAAACTATGGAGCCCCATTTCTGGACGATGGGTCTGAATTCTGCGAAGTATTTCAATGTTCTAGCGACAAAGAATCTACCCTGCATCAAGACCCCCATCTTTGCGAAACAAATTGTACTCAAAGCTAGATGGGTATTGGCCTTGCCCAAAGCCTCATAGGCACTCGCCCATGGCAGAGCTTGCTGAGACTAGGTAGGTGCCAATTGACCATGTGGCCCACCATACTTGGCAATGAATTCGAAAAATATATAAAATAGCGACTCGAGGTCATTGCTGGGCCAGTGTTCAATGAGTTCCATGTCAGTGTTGATGTCCTGGCTGTCCTCGACGCTGTCCATATGGTTCAAATGAAAATCCTGGTCTGTGATGTTGGTATTGACCCCATGCAGGACTAAATCAAGCATAACCTGAAGAATATGGATTGAAATGTAGGGCATGGTTCCCTGAAAGAACGAGATGAAGAGCTGCTAACTAGATTATATACTGAAACTTACTGTACCATGCAAATAAGTACTACTTGTGCCTTCCGCAAGGATTGAGGCGTGATCAAAGTCAATAAAGTAGCCAATACCTTCATGAATAATGAAATTGTTTGGACTGAGGTCCCCATGTAAGACTCAGCTCTTGATCATCCTGCAATGAGCTGAAAATAATTAGTCAGTGCAAATAAGCTCAACATTAAGACTCACCAACTACAAAGGCGTGAAAGGCAGTGAGCAGCTCCCGCCTAGAGCTGAATTTAGAGAGCGGTTGTCTGCAGGGAGACAAGAGATATGACGATGGAACCTGTTGCAGAATGACGAATTGTCCCGATTGTCTGGGTGATATTGACTGCGAATACGTGCTGTGCAGTCAGGTTCCCCATCATAATACACATGCCAATGGTCCATGAGTGGACAACATTGGGGATACCCTTTACCATCTCCAGGATGGTGGCTTCATGCATCCTCTTCTCCTCCATCACCCAACAGTCTTTTAAAGCATACTCTTTTCCACCCTTATCGATCACACGATAACAAACCATCCCACTGACAGAAGAGCCCATGGCTCTTCCACAGAACCTCCATGATAGAATAGGTATTGTTGCAGTTGTCATTCACCCAGCCCTTCACCCCATCTGCTAGATTTGGATGCATCCCTATGCATGCAGCTGTGGCACATGTGGATGGTTGGATCGAAACCCATATGATGACTATCCAATAGTGTGAGGGTACCTAACATCTCCGTGAGTCGTATAGGGCCAGTATTTTGTGAATATGAAATGGATGTGATATGATGAGACCAGAATGGTCAAAGTAATGTGCGCAAAGCTGATTTGCACAAATCAAAAAGCCAACGACAAATCAACGCCATGGTTGTTCTCTCATAATAAGGTAGGCTTTAATCATAGAGCCCCAGAACACTGGTATGTCTCGCTTTTTGGCAAGATTGCTGGAGGTGTGCTCCACAAAGGATAGGACGTCTGCCCATGTTTTCTTCATGTCCTTCAGCGCGAAGTCGAACAGGGCTATTTTGGGCTTCTGGCAATTGTATGTGTCGGGTATTGGAGAGGTGGTGAACTCTGCAGACCAGTACCGAGATCCCCTGGAGTCCGGTGTAGAGACTCCATTGCGAGTAGCCTCACAAAGGCCGTATTTCCACTTCGTCTCCACTAACGCGCGCTATATACGACAAGGCGACTTAAACGCGCTAAACGCGCGACGCTTCCGCCTAATCCGCGCATCTGGCGCCTATAGCGCGCCTCTATAGCGCCTTTCGCATTACTACGGCGCCTTTGCGCGCGCTTTCGCGCTTTACCTTCGCGTTCGCTTTTCCAAGTCGCCTGTCCTCCGCACGTCCTGTCCTGTCCCTCTATGATCCGCTGGTGCGTCTCCCTTTATCTTTTCAACTGACTTTAGCTATATACCTCGTCTGTTTACACATATTTCCTTATTCTACAACACAACAACTCTTTTTCGCTTCGCTTCCGCTTCAGCTCAGCGCCTGGGAACATTTACCTTAGACATGGGGACTCTGATAGATTTTTCACTTACTTACTTACTCACTACATCCCATCATCCTGCATCAGTGTATACTGTGAATCAATTTCTATTCATTTGCAACACAACCACTGCGCGACTCTCTATTCTTTTGCAACAAGCTCTCTTGAGAAAATCTGGAGAGACCTTCGCGCTACTTCCGCCTCTTCACTAACGCCTATAGCGCGCTTGTTCCGCCTCGCGGTTCCGCCTACGTTGCGCTTTCGCCTTTCGTCGCGTTAACGCGCGTTTCGCGTTTACAAGGCGTCTTGCACCCGCGCTTTGCGCAGATTCCCTTGCTGACTCGTTCAGCGCATCCCCTCGCATTTACTCGAGGAAAAGACTCAGTAAAGATCCTCTTGGGCCGACTTCTACTCGCGTTCGAGGACTACTGCAGGCGACTTATCTTATATTTTTCAGTATAGACCCACTCATGATTCCTCATCTTCACCGGGATGTTGAACGGGAGGTGAGTTTTCAATTTGTGGTGTAGATGATACTGGATGGTATAGAAGAGGCGTTGAAATTCTTTTTCAGTTGTAACATGCTGCTGCCTGCATCTTTTCTTCGACCCAGGCTGATACTCTTGGGAGCCCCATGTTTCTTGTTCAGATTGGCCAGGGATCATGGATTCAAGAGAAGCCCCCATCAATGCACCAGTATCCTTGACCCCTGTTTCATCAACATCTGTACGACCATCCTCTGTTTCATCATCCTCTGCACTGTCGTCCTCTGATTCAATAACAGGTGTTGCACCACAAGTACGCTTGGCTTGTTTCCTCTTGCAGTGAAATTTCCATTCACCATTGGAGTATGCAGGTGGTCCAGTTTTGTCGTATTGGATTGTTTTGATATCCCGTAACTGAAGAGTGGTTTTAGGAATGAGTTGATGGAAAATGGAGTCGTGCAATGGTATTCTAGTGCCCTTCCCAGTGCCTTCATGAATCAGGCATTTTCTAAGCTCATGCTTGAGGAGAGCTTGTACGGTTGTCTAAGGTGCGTGCTCCAGAAGGGATACCAACAAAGCTGATCATTGCATATAGCAGTAATTTATCGATATCAGATTGCCGGTGTGGGTAACACAACAAAAGTGACTGCAAGTCAGATGACAAGCAAACACTCTCTATGTTGGGTCTTGATATGCCATGTGATATGTTCAACCCTTAAGGGAAGCAAAGAAAGCAAGGATCCACGAAATGATGCTGATCAACCCTGATCAAAGGCAACAAAAGGCAATGTAAGCGCGAGAAACGCGCTGAAGGTGTGCATGGTGTGTCAGTGGGGTCTGGTCAGGGGCCGAGCCAGGGGTCTGTTTGAGGTGCCAGGGGTCTTGCCTGGGCCTCGAGGCACTTAGGTAGATATACTTAGCATGTGTTCTGTAGCATTTCTGCATTCTATCCACCATCGTCTTGCCTTCTGTTTGGTCTGCGTCCGGCGCCCTCTGTCTCAGTGGCACCAACTCAGCGGGAAAGTGAAACGCAAAAATGTGCGAAGCGTGGGAAGGCAAAAGTGCGAAAGGCGAAAATGCGAAAAGGCGCAGAGAACAGGGATGGTAGTGCAAGCAGTGCACAAGTGTAGAGAGATGATGATATGATGAAAAGCGTGGATATAGATGGATACTGATACTGCCACTAGCTTTAGACTGATGCTAGGGCCTTAAGACAATGATGGACGCATGCATTGCATGGAACTAACTGCCAAGTACATGGTGGTAGAAAGATGAGGTGTAAAACGAACATGAAAGTATGTAAGTTCTACCTAAGCACTCTCCCAGGGCTCAGAGCCGAATAGGAAGTGCTCTAAGTATGTAAGTGAGGTAAAATGATGTAAAGTAAGGGTGCATAACGAAATACAAAGTGTAATAGGCTAAATATGGTCTGATAATGAAAAGGGACGCACCTAGGAACTGGTTGGACGATGGATGGATGCTCCTGAATGATGTGCGATGGAGTGTGCTTAAGCGCAAGAAACGCGCTAAGCGCATGCGCAGGAACGCGAAATGCGCAATGACTGGGGACATAGCAGAAGTTGCTTATGGAGAAGGGCGACAAGTGCGAGAGAAACACGCTAAGTGCATGCATGGGAATGCTGCATGTTGTGTGGGAAAGTACCGTGGCCTATGGCGCATTTCGTGGGAAAGGGATGATGGTGCAAGTTGTGCAGTAAAGGCCAGTTGCCACGAGTCACGATATGGGCTATATGTGCCTGCAGAGACTTGAGTCTCTACACCAGGATGGCAAGGATGACTGCATGTTAGCAGTTTGTTGAACATTCAACGTTGGTCAAGCATGCCTTTGCCAGTGCCACTTATTTGCCCATGTGTTCCTGAATTTTCTTATCTTGGATAGGCAGGCACATCGGATTCAGGATTATCGGAAAACATATCTGAGTGCTGTGTTTTACATGTATGTAACTATCCTAGCATGAAGCATAATACAGCGCATCATAAAGCTGTTTGTTGATGTACTTGTTTAGAAAAAATGATGAGAAATAATGCATGGAAGTCGCCTTTGTCAACTGTGCATCCGCTGCAGCCCCCAGTTCAGGTATTATACTAAGGAAAGCATGCATTTGCCAGAGAGGAACTATGTCACCCACTAGGGTACCATCAGAATGCTTAGAACACCTTAATGTATGCATTCCAGTGACAGGATGAACTGTCCCAACCTTCAGGCTATGCACATAGCATAGGTACTGATCTTGCCAAGTAATGCGAGAACCTTGTCGGGCCATTGGGCGAATAATAAGACAAACCTCACAGACGGCATGACCTTCCAAGAAGTCGCACTTCAGCCAGCTCAATAGGGGTAGAAAAGGACTCACCATTTAATCCTGACTGAGGCCATTCATACTCTTTGTCAACATTAATAAGGACAGCGTCTCTCCGGCCTTTCGGCCACCCAGGACCCAGAGGGGAGGCATGCAAGGTCTGTGCTGGTAAGGACAGTGCTGGGATCGTGAATGGAAACTTCCTGCAAGCGAACCCTGTGCCAAACTTGAACACAGTCGAAAGGCAGAGTAGAAGGATGGTCAATCAGTGATTTTCTTGAAACCCCAACACCATGAATTGTATCTCTGCTCCTCATATCACATTGCAAGAAGCATGAAAGAGCATGGCGAAGATCCAGTATGCTGAACTCATCCGCAATGTCATCAATTTTCATTCCAGTGCAAGTTGGACTATAGTTGAGATGAATAGCAGTATTACCAGCAATAAATGTTCGTGGAGGATGGGGACTAGGCCCGCAAGATACAGTAAGCGCTTGTCTTAGCTTTGCTGAAGTATTTAGTGGTGATACGGGTGCAGTTGAACTGCTCTAAAAGCGCAATTCGTGAATCGGTAGACAGTTCTTCGTGCTCATCAACCTCTTCATTGTCTCCCTCATCCTTGGATGATTCCTTGATACCTAGATCAAGGACGCGACTCTTCAAAGTCATAGCAATTGCAAACTGCTGTAGCTTCTCTTGCCGATCCAAATGACAGCAAATCTGAGGGTCATAATCATTGTTGTTAGTTCATTGTGCAGGATCCTTAATTTCTGACACATGGGCGTTTTTGGTGGCGTCTGCAGACCACTGGAAGAGGGCCCCAACCTTACGTGTGCTGGCAGTAATGCTCTGCATCAGCTCTAACTTAGGTATAAACCAATTGTTGATTGGCTTTTTCATACCCATCTGTGCGCCTAACGTCATGATAGCATCCTTATTTGCATGAAAGGTCGAAAGGGATTTGTCGATAGATGCTAATAAGTTCTCATCTGGAGAAGGGGATTGTGCCATGTAGTGGACATCCATAAGGGCACAAATCGATGAGGGGCTGCACCGACGATGAGACCAACAATTGTAACACTGTATATTGCGGTGGACTCTGCCCGTGACTTGCTTGAGTTTCAATATTCCACCAGAGTAGTGATGATAGCCTGTGATCAGCTGCAAAATTGAGAACTGAAAATCGAGTTCCTGCACTCCAACAGCCACAATGCACCATTGGCAGTCATGGTCAAAGAATTCCTTGTGCCAGTGGTGCAGAGCCTCCAGAATCAGAAAGACCGAGGTACAAGCAGACGACCAATCTTGCCAGAAGGGTTTATCGACACCATTTAGACAGTGTGCGGCACATGCATCAAGATAACCCTCAAGGTCATCTGGATGAGCGTGTATGTTGGCGAGCTGGTTGAGAGTGATAGAGTGCATTGTGACAATCATACCAGCGCTAGGCGCGTATGAGTGTCATAGGCATATTTTGCCTTACCCAGAGGAAAAGAGTAAGGCGCTAGTCACCAGCGCTATTCAACTCCCAAGCTATCCGCTTTGGAACCACTTTTCTCCCATAGCGCGCTGCCCGGTCTGACACCTAGGTATTCCGTCCTCCCATGTCCTGCCTATGTCCACCTACCTCTGCTGGTGCATTATTTTCCTTAAATATTGCTACTCATCAGTCGCAGGTCTTATTACATGTATCCTCATGTTCCGCTGCGCTGCATGTTTTATTACCTGTCGCTACATCGTGCCCTCGCCAGTGTCGCTACTATACTCGCCTATGCAATTCCGAACCCTTACGCAGTATGATAAAATGACCCGTCACACATACAGTACAGTACTTCCCCTTCCCCGGACCTTTGCTGGTGTCGGAGTCACTTTAGTCTCTATATCCTAGTCTTGGTGCAATCAATTCCGCTCTTGCCAATCTCTTTGATAGCATGTCACTTGACTTGCTTTAAGTGCGCATCGCTAAAGTTCCCTCATAAGTTTGACTTTCGCAACATCGGGATCGCTATCGGTAGTCAAGCTATAATCTAGTCGCTATGAGGCATTTCACTTGCACTGTCTTACCTTACTCCTCGCTTTTGCTCCCTTTGATTTCTTCTCGCTATCGCTAGTCGGACATTGCATAGCGCTTCTCACTTATATGCACGTTTCTCTGTCGGAACTCACTTGTCGCTTGTCGCTGATCTCTGTAGTGCTACTCATCGGTTTTTGGTCTTAGGTTGCTATTGGTTATTAGTCCTTCGCGCTATCGCTTCCCTTGCATATTAGAAGGGAGTTGCTTCAATAGCAGTCCTCTTCGGCCAAATACTACACTCGCGCCTATTTGGATAAGTAGCGCTAGTTTCTAACTGCCTAGTCGCTATTTCTCTTTCACAGCATGCATTCGGGGGTGACGAAAGTTGTCACCAAACTCCAGATATGATGCCATCGTGAATGGGGAGGTCTTTCCACACACACATGCAAGCATACGTGCTTCTGGGGTGTCGACAATGTATGCTGCAAGGGGTGTAAAGCAATGTTGTACATTTCCAACAGGATCTGACATCATTATCCCAATTCAAGCCGCAATTATCAAGGGCTTTAAGATGATAGAAAGGCACTGGTGTATGAGGCGGTCTTCGAAAACACCACACATCCGTTGATTAGGATGTAGGTACTGTGGGATAGGGAGGAGTGCTGTGAGCAGGAATGCCCTGGATGACAATTTCATACGAGTATGCATGCATATATTAGTGAGGCCGAGAAGAAGCGGATGAGCTACCCTTGCCCCAGTCATAGTTGTGATATTCATTTTGTCAGAGGAAAGAATAGTGCCAAGAATCATAGCACCTCTGGGCACTTGACTCTGCAGGCCTATGTGAGGCAGCACACATTTTTGGGCTTGGGTACACGTACCTGGAACTCCCAAGCAGAGTCACCCGTCAGCCACTCTGAATAAACACGCTGTCATGCATGGTATGGAGTTTCATACCATGACATATACGAATAACAGTATAAAAGGAGATGAGTAGAGGAGTGTACAAAGGATATACTTCTCACTTATGTAAGCATTGTTTCTATTTATTTAGTTGTATTTGTAGTTTCTGTCTCTTTCCATTTGTTCTTGTTTATTAAGCCACTTGATTACATCAGTGAGCCATTCAGATATGTTTGTAAGCATGTCATGTGACTGGTAATATTCTGATTTGTAAGGACTTTCCATGACTCATCATGTTTTGTCATGATTCATCATGCTTTGTAATATTTTACTCATGTACTTTAGTAAGCAGCTGATTCAGCACACCAAAAGGCTTGGTTTGTAAGCATAATCTTACCAATCCAGTGATGACTCACTGCTTAGTAAGGATGGTTTCTAAAATGTATATAAGGACTCCATTCTCACATAATATATAAGTTTTTCCCCTTCCATTCTTTTCCCAAACCGTGTGGGAACATAGGAATTTGAAGCCAGGAGTTTTCCCACTTTCTGTCTCAACACTGTGAGATCACGAAGAAAGTGAAGGCCCACGAGTTGCCTTTGAAAACAATCATATTCTTTTGATCTAGATTGATTGTATACTATCTTACAGGGATTGCCTATACAATAATCTATCGTTTAATCTATCGTCTTATGTATTCATGCCACATTCAGTTCAGAGGTTCATATTACCTACTAGGTTTAAGTTAACCTGACGAAATATATATACTCCTTTACTATCAAGAAGTGATCTAGCAAAGAAGTAATTTATTACCCTTTGGCCACCCACGAACACCACATTATCAACCGAGAAGTAGAAAATCCGTTGACCGTGAACTTGAGGAGCTGGCACCTTAGTGTTAAAGAGTACAATTGTGATAGTCATTGTATTCTGTTCAACATATAAGACCCTCAAGTAAGAAGACAACACGTGAGCCGTGCTGCAGTCATGTACACATGACAAGGGACAAAGTCAAGCTTGTCATAGAAAAGGGGGTTGCTGAAGAGAGTCTCTAGGCATTCAACTGGATCCTCCAGAAAAGTTGGATTGGGTTTTTTGTACGATGGAAAGATTCGAGTATTTGACACTTCCAGCTCAGTCCCTTGGGTAACATCTCAGCTCAGCCTCGCAACTCTTTGGCGGTACTGAATGACAGTTTCAATTCACGGATCTGTTAAGTAACGACACAATCAGTAAGAGTGCGAAAAGAATAATAGATTCCAGAATTGTGAGAGTCCATAATGCTTGAAAGTGCCAAGACTCAAAGTACTTACTATTGGGAGTGCCAGAAATTCATTGATTGCAGCCATGCTAAGGGGAGAACGAAGAAGAAAATCAGCGACTTTCCCATTCCTCTTTTGATGCAAACAGGTAGAATAAGTTGTCCTTTCTGTGTTCTGCATACTCGTCCATGTCAAAAAGATCCAAGAATGTTAAGCCATCCTGAGAGTAAGTTGTCCCAGTGCCTTGAAACCACTCTTCCTTGCTTACGACCTCCTCTCTTTTCATCTCAAAGAAGTCTCTGTTGACATCTGTGTGGATACCAGTATCAAAATGTGAAGACCCGTTGCGATGGTAGGCGTCCAAATTTATGTTACTAGGACGGGGAGGATCTGGATCTGGGGACCACTGTGGTAGTAGAACTGACTCTGCAAACTGGGAGATGTTGACCATGTCACGAATGGAACTATGACAAGATGATTGAGGTTGACTGAGGTGGCAAGTGACACTGGATTCTTTGCTGAATATTTTGCCGCATTTTGGACATGCTATTGACAATGACATAGTGCAATTGATAATAAGTCACACGCTGCTTACTAGTATCAATATCTTTGCTCATACACTCATCATACGAGAATTTACATACGTGATACATAGTATGGATGATTCTGTAGCTTCTTCTCCTTGCAGTTCCATAGCTCTGTCTTCGTCTCGCAATGCTCCCTCTACTCCTTCTTGGTCCCCACACTCATACAAGCGCTTACACTGTCATCACCTTCAAAGACCCTACGATGTCCCATCATTTGGGCACTACACAAACACTGTCTCTTCTCACAACAGGCGAGGTCATTTTTCTTCTCAACTGGGATCGTGCTTTGTTAAGGAGGAACACAGCTTACCCGAAGGGCTACCATTTGTAAGTTCATGCGCTGTTGAGATCAATATGTTCTAACTTCTGACCTTGATTGTTCTTATTCGTTGCACCAAAGACTTTGACTGCCAACAAGCAGATAAAGACGACCACTCTGATCTTGCACTCAAGGCAGCCAAAGCAAAATGCAGAGTCTGTCAAGCCCAAAAAAACTTGGCAGATGGCATTCTGGAGTACCATATGATCCTTCTTAGCCTCCATCACCATCGCGTAGAAGCTGTGAACATGTGTTTGTTGACAGCTGATCTTGATGTGGGACACATGCATGTTGAACAGAGGAGAAATGGTGTCACAACATTTATTGGTTCTACCACTAGCAGCGGAGTCAGGGTTGGCAGCGCAAGTATGGTGCACTAGTTTTTCTCTGGGTATCTATGTACTGAGAACTCTATAGCTAATTCAATGGCTGAATCTGAGACTTGAATATATACTGTTTATATCTGTATAGCTTGTATGATCTGTAGCGCTTGTGGCCTTGTTTGCTCTTGTAGACTTGTACCTAATGATTGCCAAATATTGATTTCCTTGTGAAGCCCTGTAAAACCTGTGGGAACCTGTTATGAGTGTGGGACCTGTCACGAAATTGGCAGTTTGCTGATGAACTTTGCAGCTGCATGCCAGGATCTGCGCTGCTCTGCTTGATAGACAAGGAGAGTTTTTTGGGCTAAGGGATCTCTTAATGCACAAAATTTGTGGACTTGTATATTCATCCAAAAATGCGCCATCATTCGGACTCTGTCCTCTGGCCAGTCCGCTTCTTCTATTGTTTTCAGAAAGCGAGGACAGACTTGACAAAACTCCTCAAAGGGCAAGTCTTCGTCATTGACTACTGCACATGCGCTTCTGGTCGATGCTGATGATACCCACACTGTTGACCTGTCTGCTAGAGTTGACAGTATCATAGCATCATCATCGATGGTTTTCTTGAGATTAGCTTCATCCAGACCGTCATTGGTAAAATACCATAACTCCACATAGTCACCTTTGTCTAACTTCTTAAGAGCGTAAGAGCACGGCGTGTTGGCAGGATCATTGGGGATGCCAGCCTCAAGAATTGGAATAAACTTGTGTTTATTTTTCTTCCTTTCTTCTTTGCATGCTACTTCTTCCTCGTTGATCCTCTCTTGATTGAGTCTTTCTTGTTCCTCTTTGTCTAGCCTTTGACGTTGTTCTTCTTGTTCCTCATCCTCATCTACTTGTCGTTGCCATAACACTTTGATTGCATTGTTGTTGGCCTCCCAAATGTTCCTAAGCAACTGCATGGCTTGAACTTCGGTTGTGTTCTCATTGACCAATTGTGCACGAATGTTGGCGAAGACCTCAGACACATAGTCCGGACAGATGTTGAGGTTCGGGTTGTTTCTAATTCTCAGCATGTTGAAAATTAATCTATACTGATAATCAACTGCTGGTATGCGAAAGAGAAGCGACGAAATGAGAGTGTTGTCAAGGAGTGGATGAGTTGCTAGTACTAACGTGGTAGTACAAAGCAAGAAGGTGGGAAACACGAAAAACCGTGTTGCCACATAGACCTAATTCTATCTTCGTTCTCATGCCTTGAACTCATATAGAATACAATATCACAGTGTACACTACATGTGGAAGAAATTGGATGACAAGTGCCAATTCTTGTGGTGGGGATCTCATAGCATTGATTCCTAGTAGAGGAGAGTCAGTACTTTCAGTTCTTCCTCGCTCAGTCATAAATCAGTCATGGTTCAATGGTTGTGCAACCCACACCCTCACTTCAAGCTAGCTTTTAAGGCTGCCAAGTTGTCAGAATATTACAGAACATACTTGGTTTCGACGCATCTTGGCCCACCCCAATAACCGTCGAACGCATGATGGTAGATAACAAAGCCCTGTCTCAGCTTCTCAGTATGTCAAATGTTGTTAATTATCCCTTCTGAACTCACACCTGGCAGATGTCTCTGTATTTAGCTTGACCCCCCTTTTTCAGGCCATCAAAACGTGTTTGTCCACCATCCAGACTTCTGTGCTCACATATCTGCAAGCACATGCAAATCAGCTTACCATATCCTTCTACCATCACGTGTCGATATCGGGCATTCCTGCTTCAAGTCTCTAGCATCTGTCTAGAATCAGCAGATAAAAGCAGCCTCCTCAGCAGTGAGTTTGACATATTGTCATTGCTTCAGAGCTCGGCTCATGTTTTTCACAATCGTCTTCTTGTCGAATACGAGGACTCTTCACTTTGACACTATGCACGGCTTATCAGTCGACATGTATTTGCATGGGCTATTATTATTGCCCTCTTTGACCTGGTATTTTCGAGGCATTTCATAACCGCATACCACGCACTCATACAATAGATTAGAAACACTTCTTGGACCCTTACCGAGTGGCACCCCGACCAGGACCCCGAAAAATCCTAGTCAACACCGCGCCCAACAGCACTAAACCCGCCTTAAGGCAACTAACAAAACCCAGTTCACTATCCATAGAATGGCATTAACAGGATCCGCAAGCCCAGCGCTCACAACAGCGGCCAACGCCAAACTTAGGAAAACCACGGCCAACAAACCGTTGCTAACCACAAGCAAAACTTTAGAAGAACATATAGATGGGACAGGAATTAGAACAGACATAACTAACACTACCACAGCAAAGAAGTTATTAACCACTCACAGTCTCATTCTACCAACAGCAGGCACGATGCTCAAGCAAATCGCATCAGCGATTTTTGAATTCAGCATCTCAGCGGGTCTGGGCTCAACCCACATGGAAATACTCAGAGCACTCACATTAATGCTACACGACTCAGAACAATCAATGGATATGATGAACATCATAAACAGAATTGAAAACCTCATAGGAGGGCCTTTAACAATCATGGTAGAAAAGGCTGACGAGCTTGCAACATCAGCAGACAAGCACAAGAGTGCTCTAGAGGAGACCATAAACGAGGTGCATGCCAACTTTACCAATCCACTCGAGGGAATAGACAAAGCAGCGAAAAACGTAACAACTGCAATGGACAACCACGCGCAAGCGAGTACCAGACAACCTGGGTCTGAAGGACCCAGAACTTATGCAGCAGCAGCAAAGTCCTCAATCCCAGGACCATTAACTAAGCGTCTTTCATGCACTGAGGGACAATCAAGACAAATTCTAATAGATAGAAGATCACTTCTAATGCCAAAGGACACGATGACCCAACTCACAGAAGAACAACTAGTATCCAAGGCAAAGTTAGCCCTCGAAATGATGAACAAGGATGAAATCCCAACCCCCTCCGACCTATCTTTCATATCAGCACACAAACTTCCACACAGCGGAATCCTATATGAATTGAACACCAAGGAGTCGGACGCATGGTTCAACATACCCTCGAACCGAAGTAACTTTCTAGAATGTTTTGGCACTAACGTAACAATCAAAGACAGATCATACCACATCCTCATGGAGAACGTACCAATAGCTTTCTTCCCAGAATCAACAGCAGCCCTCGCAGACACAGAAAAGAAAGCCGGCATCGCACCAAAGAGCATCCTGAAAGCAAGATACATCAAACCAATAGTGAGGAGAAGCCCAAACCAAAGAACTGCTCACATAATACTCACCTTCAAATCCAGGGAGAGCGCTAACCATGCCATCAAATTCAGACTATCAATTGCAAGTAAGAAGGTATATGGACATAAACTCTTACCCGAACCATCAAGATGCCTCAAATGCCACTTGTACGACGGAAACCACATGGCAACCAACTGCCCCAACGAAGCAGATTCCTGTGGAACATGCGGCGAATCACACCGCATGACAACTTGCAGTGTCACCGACCAGAACAATTACTACTGTGTCAATTGCAAAGCCAAAGGCCACGCAGCTTGGAGTCGCAAATGCCCTACATTCATAGGTAAATGGGAAGTGCACAAAAGCGAGACAGCGAGTCACTATACAGGTTCTACCCAATGGAAGATCCCCTCACGTGGGAGAAAGTAAACGAGGCACCAGAAGACCCACCAGAACCACAAGTAGAAGGTAACGGCCCATACACAACTCGCACTAATCAAATACCCCGCCCGCTCCCCCCCCAGACCAAATAGACCAGACGGACCAAGACTTACCAACTACAGACACAACCTCCCAGCACGTCCAAGAACCACATACCCGAACATCATCCCACTAGGCAGCCAATCATGCCTAACGGACATGTGGACTCATCAAGACAAAATCAACCCACCCACTGGACCCCATGGAGACCACGCCACCCAACCGCATCAACAGCAACATGACAACAACCAATCCAGAGACTCATTCTTCTCAACACTAGACTACAACCAGGACGGCACACATAATGCAGTGGCTTATCTCCTTACTTACTGGACAGCCCAAGTTGACATTTCTCCGTGATAGTCGGGCCAACCCACCATGGGCCCACATTATTATGTACCTCATAGCTGTGGGATGGGCCCAGGTGTGAGACCGTCCCCCTAATATACTGGGTGGGCCTGAGGTGGATAGCCTCCAAGGCTAATGGATGGGCCCACAGTCTAGATATTTCAGATGTACCATAATGCATAACTTAGTAGTCTTATGATGTATAGCCTATTACTGTTAAATCAGTACTGCAGTAAGGGGTGGGCCCATACATTGGTTGGCGAGATCACCGATATGGATAATGTCCGGCGTCTAGCGGCACTGATGAAGATGGTGATAAAGGTTATGTAGCCTGTTACTGTTGGATTCAAAGGGTGGGCTGACAATGTAAGATCACCGATACATACAGTGGCTCAAAAAGTGTCCCAATGTTTGTGGGTTTGGATGTAATTGCTTCATTGTGAGTCAGGGTGTGGGAATCTGACTAAGCTATAGGGAGGTGTCAGAATGCGCTGCCTCTTGGCTTCATCTCTGGCCCCTGTAGCGTGGGAATTCGGTGTTATCGTGTGAAGATATGGACATTTTAATTTGATGACTCATTGGGACACTTTTTTGACTTTGAATTTGACCAATATAATCTCTATAATTCTAGTACTTAGTGTTGCCTCCTCTTGCTCTAATCACTTCTACAACTCTTATAAACACACTATCTATCGATTCCTAGCATTACTCATTAGTAATATTCCCTCACTGTGCTGTAACTCTCTCCCATAGCTGAAATAGCCCATATTGAGGATCCTGATACACCTCCTGAGTAATTTCCAGAGTTGTTCAATAGGTTTGAGGTCTGAAGACTGTACTAGCCATGATAGAACAGTAATATCATAGTTTTCAAACCATATGGTAGCCAACTTGAAGTATACTTGAGATCATTATCTTGTCATAAGATGGTGTCTTCTTCATCAATGTTTGATTCCTGCATGCTTTCAAGCAGACACTCCACCAAAATTGAGATGCCACTGCTCTGCATCTATCCTCCCCTCCACCTCACAGAGAATTCCTCCCCTAATCCACCTCATACAACCCATACCATCAAGTTTTCTCCCCAAAACTTGAGTGTTGTCTTGACTTCTCCTTGTCCTATTAGTTTCTTCTGCCTTTTTTCCATACATATTCCTGGCCATCTGCCCCCATTCTATTGATTTTGTCTCATCTGACCAGAGGGCCCTATTCGGTCCTCAAAGTTCATACTGGTGCTTCAGAGCAAAGGCTAGTCTCCTCCCTCTATAGGCTGAAGATAGGAGAAGCTTTTCTCTTAGTTATAGCTTCAAGGTTGGCTGCCTTGAGAGCATTCCTGACTATTTGAGTGGAGACAGTGGTTGTGGATAATAGAATAAATGAATTTGATGGCTTGAGTAGTATTAGCAGCCTGCCCAGTCAAAATATAATACCCAAAAGATCTTTTGCTATATGGTATGAGCTTAAAAGTGTGATTTAATTTGATATTTTTTCTATCTTGAATGGTCTTTTTGAAGAATCTAGCAATAGTATCCCTGCTCAGGCCAGTTTTAGTAGAAATCTGCCTGTTAGACAGATAAGAGGAGGTAAAGATGAGAATAGGGGCTATTTCAGCTATGGGAGAGAGTTACAGCACAGTGAGGAATATTACTAATGAGTAATGCTAGGAATCGATAGATAGTGTGTTTATAAGAGTTGTAGAAGTGATTAGAGCAAGAGGAGGCAACACTAAGTACTAGAATTATAGAGATTATATTGGTCAAATTCAAAGTCAAAAAAGTGTCCCAATGAGTCATCAAATTAAAATGTCCATATCTTCACACGATAACACCGAATTCCCACGCTACAGGGGCCAGAGATGAAGCAAGAGGCAGCGCATTCTGACACCTCCCTATAGCTTAGTCAGATTCCCACACCCTGACTCACAATGAAGCAATTACATCCAAACCCACAAACATTGGGACACTTTTTTGGGCCACTGTATGTGGTCATTCACATCCAGCGAGCAGCATCGACGACACAGCATACCAATACTGAAAGCTGTGATAATGGCCGGAAAGGGTGGGTTGATGATGTAAGTTCACCAATACATATTGTCATGCATGGCCGGCATACAGCATCGACACGGCATATCAATACTGAAAGCTCATGTGCAGCCTGTGATGATCGCTGGAGTCAACAACCATCCATAAAAGCTGAGGCGGCGAAGGCCAACAGCTGAAGTGGTAATACAAGTTTATTGACTTGCACTTGTAGACGCCCTGGGGTTAATCTACAAATTCATAAACATCCCTATGTACCATACCGAGACTACTATGTGCAAAGACAAGGAATCATCAATTGTTGACATGTACTTGGAGTATTCTGCTCGGGGTACATCTACAAATTGATGGACATCATCCCGCATGTACCACACCCAACTGATTCTGTCGCCGTTCACGTTGTCCACCCCATGCCAGACAATTCTACCTGAAGCTGCTGCCATAACACCTGAATTATAAGCAATCTCAATGCCAATATTGGGCATCCGCATTCGTGCCGGTCCATAGCCGCCGACACTGAGCATCGCATCAAACCATTGTGCACGGGATATAAGCATCACGGTGCAAGGGTGAGCGTTGGTTGCACATGACGGCAAGGACTGTAAACACAGATCCCCATACTCTTAAGAGATCTCCCATGTCCTGCAATTGATTATTGGCTGCCCATAGACCCAGGCCCAGCTGGGTTGTCAATGAAGACCAGTAGAGGCTGGGGTGCATAACTCTCAATGCAGCAGCAATAAGGGCTGCCGGTCTCTGCATCACCTGACATAAAGATATCCCACCCACTCGGAGGGTTGCCGATATTTCAGGATGAAATTTTGGAACCTATTAAGAAATGAGGCAAGGCTGTTGGATGTTTGATGTGCTGACTTACCGGATGACCTTGTAAAAAACCATGCTGGAGAGAGATTGATGCAACCAGGGGTAAGGCCATGATCACTGCTTTGAAAATTGGACTCATGGGTATGCCATTTGTTGTCCTTCACGGCGCCATGAGTGATACTCATGCCCAGCGGCCCTGACATCATAACAGTCGCCACCATCATATCATTCTAAAATGACTCAGCAAAGATCATCGGCGGCGGACGCAAACCAATCTGGATGGCTGCATCAATTGCTCCAGGAAGATACCATAGGACAATAATACCAAATTTGTCGAGGACAACTGCAGGCCGTTCCAGAATAATTTGACAATCCGGCAGGAATCATGCAAGGAGTAGTTCTTCACGCCCAGACTTGAGGCCAGGTCTCCATCATTTGCAGCACTTCTGAATACCTGGTTATATCAAAGTTGATAGTGACTAACATCAATTGAAGTTAAAACCAGCGGCACACAAATCTTAGGGCTGTACCTGGATTGCGATATGCCTTGGCAAGCGTCCTGGCAAGTTTGGAGCAAGCCATGAGTAAGACAACATCAAGCTCAATTGGAGGAAGGACCTTCAGCCCCACACCGATGAGAACAGAAAACTGGCAGGAGACATATTCACTGGCAATGTGAGTTGTGGACAACGCCCAGTCAGCAGGAATGGGGTTCATCGGACGAGGGACAGAAACATCATAAGTGCTGCCTTTTTATAATTGCTACTGATCATGAATGATGGGGCCTAACATCATAAATTCAAGCATTGCAGGCCACCAGTGATGAGAAGCACATGCCCAAGTTTTCCCATGAAGGGATTGCTCCAACGTAATGATGCTGGCTTCTCGATATATTGCAGCATACATCAACATTAATGACGTGTTCAGCTACATCCGGTGTGTAATCGCAAACACTTGAAAAAAACTTTTCAATTGGCGGAACTACAGTGAAACTACACGGAGGTCCTGTGGCGGTGATTACGCCGAGATCCAGCAAGAACTTTATTGTGCTCCACACGGTGGGTGATTCATATCAAAAGACAAAACAACTCTATTACGTAGACATGGAACCAATGTTTGGGGACAGCGGCGGCGGCTTACTTGAATGATTCTCTGTATACCAAGTACAAATGGCAACCAAAAATATGGACCGGCAGAAGGCATGTCTACAATGGACCAGTTCCAGATGCAGATTCACTAAAGACCTGTCTCAGGTGAGAACTGCTGGCGTTCTGATTAGTTGAAGAACCAGCAACACCATTTTGGCCAGAACTACCAGCGGCATGGGCAAGAGATGTTCCAGCGGCAGTGGAGGGACCCGGAGTGATGTTTGTGTACAAGTGTTCCATTGCCTGCGCCTGGCCTGCACTGAAACCCTGACTGTAGGGTGTACTGTAGCTGGGGATGGGCAGAAACATAGTGTTACTGAATGCAGGAGGGATAGACACATTGGGCATGACACGTTGCCGAAGGGACTTGTAAGCTTCCTGCAGGACGGATGTGGAATGTGCTTGCTCAGCCAATTTGGCCTCGGCGGTCCGGAGCTGTTCCTCATAACTGTGAGATTCAACCTGCATGTCCTTCACATCCTGCTGCAATGCTGTGAGCTCGTCGCGCATGGCCTCTAGATTTTGAATGCTTGTTTCCTGCTCGGCAAGACGGACATTCATGTTCGAAATAAGCAGCATGGAAGTGGTATGTTGAGCACGGAGTTCAGTCAACTCTGTTTTGAGGCTATTTATGACTGCCTGCAGGCCATGATTCTTCTCCATGGGGGACGCCGAGTCCCCCATCTTCAGCGTCATTGCTTCCAACTCCTTCACGACCGCATCTCCCGATAGATCGATGTCCATGGTGTTGGACATTACTGGAGAACATTGCATTTCAGGTGGTGGTAAAACTTGCCACTTCAATGCCAGAGAGGACTTGGGTAATGGCGATGAGGATGGAACCAGAGAGATGGTGGCAATTGCAGGTACAGACATCGTCGGCGGTGGGTCAGTTGGAGTGGCGGCTGAGTCGTCTGACAAGAGCATGTCTAGAATACTCAGAATATGAAAAATGAAACAAGAAAAATTTACCTTCATCATCATCCAGCGCATGGTCTGCGGGGTGGAATAGGACCGAACCTACTTTGATCGTTGTTGATTGCTCTAAGTGCGAACACTTCGATTTCTTCCTGGAGCACCTGGAGCAAGCTCTAAGCACAGTGCCGACTCCAAATCCTTGGCGACAGATAACCGACCTGAATTAATGCCGATCAGTGTACATTGGCGCTCAATATCAGTCATGAACTTAATTAGATATGTAGTACAAGGGGGCTCTAACTCCCGCCTGGCTGTGGTCTATACTGAGTTAGCATTATACATTACAACGGATGAAATCTTACGGTGCCAATGTCCTCTGTGAGTACTTTGGTCTTAGCTTGGACATGCTCTGTTCGCCCTACCTCCACTTCCTCCATTGGCATGCTTGAATGATTGTCACTCTTGTGCCGCTTCCCAGTGTGGGTCCTAACGGTATCGGACTGCTAGACACATAAAAATCCAACAACCTTCGGTGATATCAGAATCACTTACTGTAGGGGGACCAGACTCATCAACCCTAGGCATACGTGTTGGGCCAGCTTCATCTGTTACCGGCGGGCGACTCGAAGCAATGTTTCTCTTGGTCGGCGGCCTACTAGGACTAGCATCCCTGTGTCTCTTCTGCGGCCTTCCATGCCCAAGGCCTTCTGCAACATGCTCCGGCGGGACAACTTCTTTTCCTTTTCCTTTCCTGTGCACAGTCACGTCTTGCAATTCCAAGTCATGTTGTCCTTCCAGGTCCTTGGATTTTGGCTGTGGCTTCTGCCTAAGGGGAACATCTGTTGGAGCCACATCCTTCCCTGCATGTGCATCCACATCTGCCGGCGGTACAGTGATCTTTTCCCTCACCTTCCCCTTGCCTCTGATCACCACCGGCTGTGATTCCAATTCGCCAATGATAGGGATGACCTTTGTTGGCGCTCCATCCTTGGTCACCGCCTGAGCCCCATCTACAACTTCAATTCCATTGCCTTCCAAACTGAGTTCCACCGGCTTCTTTTTTGGAACTGGTTTCAGTTTCGGCTTAAGCTTTGCAGCATGCAGTGCTGGTGGCTGGGCTGTGCCGTCGACAACACCCACCAGCGCAGACAACTGTGATGATGGCGACAATGGCGATACTTGGTTTGCCGGGGTGATATAATTGTGTGCCTCCACATGTAAGGGATGGTTCTTGATATGTGGATCATTCATCACGATGTTCATCCATATCGGCACTGAGACAAATGATAGGCCGCTAACTGGATCACAATGTTCTTTCAACTCCATAGCCACCGACAACACCGGCGAGATTTTTGTTGCAGACTGCCCATAAGTTGTAAATGCTGGAGACTACTCTAAATTAGGGAATGCAACATCGCTAAATTAGCACATGCTAACCATGATATTTGCCATTTCCATGGCCATGGACAACTGGCCCATCTGACCTTTCGTCTTCATTGCTTGTGCTAGGATTTGCACCACCTCAGCTGGCAGCATCGTTCAGAGCTTTGTTGGAAACTTCAGATGATGGCATGCTTAGCAGGAAACGTAGATGTGAAAGAGAGAGCAAAGATGTAGGATATTAGCTTCAGTAATATATAACAGATGGAAGCAATTAAAATTTCCAAGCAACTTTGATCGGCTCATGCAGCGCCGCCATGAGGCGCCATGAGGATGTAGAAGCACACGTTTCAACACATGTGCAAAGTTTCTCACGAAGAAATCCATTGTTTAGGGCGATCGTTTCAACCCTGCGGGAATCCACAAGCCTGGACAATGTATTTAATCATGTGAACTTGGAACTTAACTAGATATCTTCGCATCTGAACTCTACATCCAATACTCATCTTTCATCCAATACTCGTATCATCCAACACAATGTCAGAGCCAATCGACCGCCGCGTTCATTTCAATGTACCTATGGACACCGATGATGAATCCCAATCATCTCACGTCAGCGATACACCCAAATGTAAGTTCCTGATAAGCGATAAGTTCACATTGACTAATCATGGCCAATTGTAAGCGTTCAATTTTGGGTTTGGGAATTCACCCTCTTGTCAAAACAGAGACCCATCGGCGGCGAGGCCTGCAGTATCCCAACCCACATTTAACTTCGGGTTCAACATGAATACACAGGTGGAACCTGCTCAACCTGCATTGGCGCCCAAGTCATTAAACTTTGGCTGGATGCAGCCCGCGGCGTCTCCAGACCGTACGGCGCCAGCAACAACACTGTTCAACTTTGGCATGGGTGCACCTGTCACATTGCCGTCAACAGCATCCACCCCTCCACCGCCACAACCAAAGCCAATCAATTTTGGCTGGGACTGCCTTCCTCCTCCAGCGTCGCCTATGCAAGCATCGTCAATGGCATCCACCCCTACAACGCCGCGACCACAGTCAATCAATTTTGGCTGGGACTGCCTTCCTCCCCCGGCGTCGCCTATGCAAGTTCCGCCCACCACAGCAACAGTCGACCCGCCGACACCACCGCTCACACAATTGAATTTTGGCTGGACTAGGAAAGCCTCATCCAAGGAAGCACCTCAGCACGTTGGCTACGACATGACTAATAAACGTAAGTTATGCTTCTACATCTTATATTCGCAAATGTGGATCCCTCTGAAGCATTCCAGTTTGGTTGTGAAGGCGAACCAGCAAAGGTCGGTGGTTGGAAACCAGTCCCATTCACTGCTACTGTCTCAGCCGATTCACCAGCTACACACTCGTCCCTGCTGGTGTCATATGCAGCCCCTGCACTTCCCAACATGGTAGGAGCCCTCCAGCTCCCCAAGGCACCAATCCCTGCTATCGCCGTTGCAGCTGCCAGTGAATCACAGGCACTGAAACTGGCAACCTTGGTCAGTGAGGCTGAGCAGGCGGCAATCAACATAGTGAAGCGCCTCCGGTCAGATGAATGTGAGTAACTTCTTATCTTCGCGAACCTAGCTTATGTCATTCAGTTGATGCGCTGGCGCAAAGCCTAATCGGCACTGTGGTTGGGCCCAAGATTGAGGTCCTCAATCCCACAAACGAAGAGGTGCTGGACAGCAACCGTGTCCTTCTGACGGCATACTCGAGACAAGAGATAGGTTGACTCGGATCTTCAAAGATCTGATCGGCCTGCATAAGATCGCCAATGGCCATGCCCGAGTTGTACCAGCTGTTAGATCTCTGGCAAACTGAAGTTGAGAAAGTGGAGACCAGGTCTACCGGCGCCCCTCAGTAGACTTAGATTGTTGGATTTCTTCTAGATGTCAGCTGGTCTGCATCGCTGATACTTTGTATTATATCAACCCTCATTAGAATGGTAGATACCTTGTTGTGAATAACATATACAACACGGTTGTCTCTGCCGGCGCCCGTCAGTGAACCAACATTAATTGAGATGTCAGCCTGGTCTGCATCGCCAATATTTTGTCAACAGCAGTATTACATTGACTATCATTAGCATAGTGAATACATTCTTGGGATAACCAGCAACCAACATTCTAAGTACCAGATGCATACATGTACATTCTGACAGTATATTAACATACACATGATTCAAAGACTACTTGCGCTTACTCTTGGAAGCTGCAAGTGCAGTAGCCTTACTCCTAGTTCTCTTTGCCGGAGTGTCGCTCACAGGATCGGCGGCGTGCCACTTCAATCCCTTGGGCCGCTCGTTTGAAATGTTTGCTGCTGCCTTGCTTCTTGTACGTGTCCCTGCGGCCACTGCTTCCTTCAAGGTCTTCTGTGATTGGTCAGGCTGCCTTGCATTGCCAGAACCATTGAGTATTGCAACATTCATGGCATCGCTGATATCAGTCAAAGTGTTTGACACATTCCGGCATGAGGTTGCACCCTTCGCTTTCATGGGATTCCCTACCTCAGCAGAATTAGAGTTTGTTCTGGGTGTCGGTGTGTATTGGCGACCTAGAGAAATCTCTTCCTCCTCACCAGTGGATTGTGCTCCCTGATCAATTGCACCTGATAACCCACCATCATTGTGCTCGTCAGAATTACTGCACTGGGCATCTTGGTGGTCATCGCCAGCAGACCGCCAGGGTTCCGCTGGGAGACACGGCTGCTACATGCATCTCGCGTTGGCATCTTTCCAGGCCTTGAATGAGAAGGCCTGGTTGGATGTTGTGCTGCTGTCGGTCAAACCAGAAATCCAGCACAGCAGTAGGCATCCACTTTGTCCATCTTTGAAGGTTCCTTGAACTGCATGCCGGCGGGCCATTGTGTGCTTTGAAAGAATGCTGATTGGCTATGTATGACATCCCCCCAGGGTACCGATGCCTTGATGTTATCTTTGCCGCCGCACATTCCTGTTCTGACACTGAATAATGTATATTCTCATTAAGGAAATCACCTACTATAGAGTGTTGTCAAGAAGGATCGGATCATGTGGTGTTGATCGGCGCGTTTCCATCCCTTTGTGTCCGGTAGAATAGGCCACCCGTCAGCATCTTCTTCAAGTTTGATGAGCTTTCGGGGGACTCGTTTCTTGGACTTCACCATCTGAGGTTCCTTGCCGTCTTCAGCATCTGGACAGGTTCTTGTTAGGATGCTTGCCAGGAAACATATGAACAGCATCTCACCGAATTGCTCCCCCACATATTCCTGCCACTCCGGCATGAAAATGCCCCTCCCAATCCCTAGTCTTCATAAAGCTTTCGCTGTTCGCAAACTGCTCATTGAAGTCATGGCTGCAGAGGTTAAGTTGGGAAATTCACCAATTGATCAGGGAGACACACCCTCCCAGCATTAACTTGCCTTTGCCGTCCATCCATGCGGATAGCACAAAGACTCTCATTCCGGCTTTCTTGAACATTTTGGTGGCGAAATGCTCAATCATGTCAGCTCCTTTGGTCTCGGCAACATGGGCTTGAACTTCGGGTGGTGCTGCCTCATTAATTCCACTTATCTGCCATTGCTTGGGCTTCCTCCTTCTCCTCCGCTGACAACTGGTTAATCACAGTCTTTGCAGCCTTTGGCCACTTGCTGATCATCTCTCCACTTCCAGCCATTTCTCCCATCTCCTCTTGGATGAGGGCCTTATGGGTGTGAACCAAGACTTTTCGGGCAGTCCAAGTCCTGCCATACTTGATGAGGGGCTTGGAAGATGGTTTCTGGTGAGAGTGGTTTTGCAACCATTCCTTATAAGTCTGACATGGACATGTTATCAATACTCCAGGACCCAGATACATACTATAACCTGTCATGTACCTTTTTCCTAGCTTTCAGTATGGCTTTGTCCTTAGTCGGAGCTTGGAGAGAGGCTTCCTTGTGGATGGCGATGCAAGACCCTCGCCCGCTCCTTTCCTTTGACAGACTTCCAGTCCTCTAGATGGGCCCTGAGGACAGTGACTTCTGCCTTGTCCAAGGGAACCTTGTTTTGCTGTAGAACAACAATAGGAGATTGACTTCTTGCCATGTTGTGATGTGAATGGTTCGGAATTCAAAATAGTTGGTTGAGATGTACCTTATTGGTATCCCGGATTCAGCCTATATTACATCCTTGTTGGTATTGCTTGGTTCAGCTTGTATTATGTTTATATTATGTACTTGTAAATGCTGATTGACTAGGTTGAAATTGGTTACCCTTCTTACTATCAACATACACAACATACAATATTGATATAGACAAATGGGGGGCTCTAGAATCCAAGAGTGGACACCTCCCCGAAAGTATTCAGTTGTAGAATGGAAGAAAACATACCGAACTAGAAAGGTGGTGGGCAAATGGGTGGAAAGACCAAAGATCAGACAATCAGTTCCGCCTACCCCTACCAAGTCTCCCTCAAAGCAGGCATCCTATGATATGCTGTACCATGGGGGAGATGACTTCCTCAGCGACATTGGAGCAACTCCACTGCAGCTCCCTAGGTCACTGGTGAGCACTCTGTAACTTCACTGTCAATTCACTGACCTTCATTCAAGAGTCAAAATGACTATATCCGTCAATGGGTGCCCAAGACTAAAACATATCTCAACATACTCCTTGAACAGGAGGTTCCATCAGATCGATCATGTACCATCTGTGGGACAGATGGTGTATATAAATGTCATGGGTGCTTTGGTGAGCCCCTTTATTGCACCAATTGTTGCAGAATGAACCACCAGAGACTTTCCCTTCCACCGAATCAGCCAATGGACAGGTGCCTTCTTCGAGAAATCTTGCTTGGTCAAGATTTGGATGGTGATGTGGCTTGGGCATGCCAGGAACTCCTTGCCCCTGGGAAGATGACACTGGAGAGTCAGCATTTTTTGCTGATTGAGGGGCAGAAGGGCTGGTGAGCTCGGATAGCGAGGGTGCATCAGATGAACAGTCCAATGCACCTCTTGCACAGGAAGCACACGACCTCCCGACCGACATGCCATTCATAAAGAACAACAAGACCATGACTACTATAGTAGATAAGTCAGGAGTACATACTCACATGGTTAAGTATTGCACATGCCCCTGGGGCCCCTTCTGCCGATATACAGCTGTTTCAAATGGGCTTATTTCCAGCATCATTCTTGGAACCAAAGACAGCATTCTCATTTGATGTCTTGGATGACTTTTTGCTCGATAACCTGGAGTGCGGGAAATTGGCGATGAATTATTACAGCAAGTTAAGGAGGATGACAACAAGGGTCTTCGCTCACTTAGTGCCGGTACGCATGTTGGCGATGCTCCGCCGATGTCATTGATTAGGATGCAGGATCGGTACCGAGAGCTGATGAGGGTGATGAGACAATGGCGGAAGTTGAAGCTACTGAAATGGAATGACTTCGGCCATGAGGACAAAGAGGTCACGCCCGGCAATCTTGCTCTGTTCTGTCCAGCATGTCCCCAGCCAGGCATCAATGTCACATTGCCTACAGGAGATGATGCCGAGGGCCTAAATGGGTCAGACTTGGAGACACCGAGTGTTACAAACTAGGATGGTTCAGACGTTATGGCTACTCGATAAGAGTAATCGGCCAAGGTCGGTTCAGGGCTTCGGCATATACCGAAGTTCAATGTTCTAAGACAAGACAAGGAGAGTGTCCTCGACTTGAATCAAGTTCAATACAACTTAAGATTGGAGGTCTTAAGCGAAGGAAGTTCCAGGTAAAACCTAGTAAGATTCAAGTAAAGAACTACGTAGTACAAAGCGAGTTTATATAGTGAATGACAACCATGTTTAGGGCCGGTTCAGTGGAGTCAGAGATAACAAGAATAGATCATCTAGCGACGGCAAGATGAGATCGTGATGTAATACAATGATGTAAGAGAAAGAAAATGAATAGGGGCATACTCGATTGTAACACCGAGGTGGCTTTATTCAAGATCTTTAGTCATGGACGGAAACTTCAAAGCGGAGCATCTCCATGCTGCAAATCTGTCCGATGAAGTCTCACTCATGGACGGCCGTGGCTTCATGGTCAGCGATCACATATACAAGGAGCACCTGTCCCTTGCCAAAGAAGCCGTTCAACGCTCCGAGTGTAACAATCATCGCGCTCTCAATCAAGCAAATGCAACATGCCACAGACTGGAAGCCACAGGCATTGGCGGGTGTGCTTGTGCAAGGCATGGCTGTTTTTGTCCCTCATGCCACAGTAGATTTTCAGAAGGGAGAAAGGTGTGTTAATACCAAGGATGCTCACACCATTGCCTGATTACCACTAGACAGATGAACATGGATTATGCACTGTGTGAGGCACTGACAGTGAATGCCGAGGGAATCTGCCTGTGCATTGACATTTTACAATGTCAACTATCAGTACCACAAGCATCTGAAGACTGAATCGCCGAAAGTCCTATCCTGCAGATCCATCAAGAGCTGGAGATCATTCCCGTTATTGGTCTATGGCATGTACATCGCCATCAAGATAGCTGCTATGTCAGATATGCTTCCAATTTCATCGAGGGCGCAGCTCGAATGACGGCAAGATCATGGAAACCCTGTGGGCGCCGTAAACATCATCTCGCCATCGGTGCATGGCATGGGTACACCCCATTGGAAAGAATGTCTGGACTACCAAATGAATGACTGCAATTTCATGAAAATGATCAGGATGAGTGAGTGCTCCTAAAATCTAACAAAATCTCATTATCTGACAAGACTCCACATACAGGCAAAAGTCTCTGCAGAAAATACAGGCAGGCTGTGAAGGGCATCGCCAAAAGTACACAGGCATTTCAGAAACTTTATGAGACCGCCTGATCCTCGGCAAGTTCAAGATTGGGAAGCACAAGAGAGGTTGGTGCAAGCAAGACGGCTTCGTGATCCAACAGCAATGGACATTTACGAGGTTCAACTTCAGAAAGGTATGTAGGTGAGAGCTGTCTGGTTGGTCAATTTTTAATCCAGCACAGCGCCGACCAGAAAGCAGCAAGAATTGCAATTGTTAGCATCCCAAGGCCGGCATCCCGGGCTAGCACGCCAGAGAGGTGCAGTGACATGGCTAGCAGAGGGTCTCACCATTGAGGAAGCCCAGATCACCCTGCAGATGGATGTGAGAAAACTGGGACGACATTGGACAGACACGCAGCGATCGGATATTTGTCGCCAGCGTGACACCCTACAAAGGGATATCGATCAGTGGGTGGATGCAGGAAGGACTTTTCTCAGCAATGGATTGGGCGATGACGACATACAGCCCATGGAACTACAACTTCTGACCCTTCAAGATGATTCACAAGATGAAACAGATGAACCTGGAGAATGACTACAGAGTGTTTGAGCCTGGAGAAGGTGGTTATTCCATTGCCTTCTAATTTAGGACTGGAGAGATGTGCTGTGCTCAGTGTTACCGATTTGGTGGACCAGGAACTCACTCTCCAGCAAGGCCAGGCAAATGATGCACTTCACAACATCAGAGTGCACTTAGCAGACAAGGCGGTAATATTCCGGAGAACTGTTAGGACCGTGAAGTCACAAGCATGCTCCACCAGGGCTTGGGCTCAAGTTCATTCTGTTGATAGGGCAGGTTAGCATCAACGCAAGTATCTATTCCAAGTGCTGATCACAACTTTGCAAACTTGCCGCCAATGATGCTGTGCTAGAAAGATACCAGCAGTTGCTGAAGGAGCATCTCAAGGTTAGCACAGCAGTCGCTGATCCAAACTCTCGGGGTCAAAGGAACAATATGTTGGCTTGGTTTTGGTCTATGGATGTACAAGGGGATTCTAATAGCAGTGATTGGTTGAATGAATGTGAGTGAGACTGATTTCTCACCGCCTAGCGCTCATCATGCCGATACAGTTTACCGTGTGCATTGGCTCCGTGCCAAGGCTATGAGAGATCGTTGGGCAGAAGAGATGTTGCTTGTAAAGCACAAAATGGATTGGACCTGTGACTTTTTTCTTCATAAAGCTGAGAATTGGATCCATCTAGGTAACATCTCCAGGCAGGTCCATAAAGAGGGACATCTGGGATATGCGGTGAGACAATGCAAAATTTATCAATGTTTGTATGCAGAGGCCAGTCATGCATTCAACCAGACAAAGGCCTCGTCTCAAGCAGAGCGGCATATTCCTGTCTTAGAAAATGCAAATACTGGATAACGATGGACTACTGGGTAGAACAGCTCTCAATGATTATTCGCCGAGGCAGATCTTATCAATTAAATACACTGGGCATCGTGAGCGGCAATGATGACCATCATTCGGCACTCAATGAAGTGGTAACACATCTCACATGCCCATTCTTTGTGGCAACGGCTCCACCAAGTGAATCTTGTTCTCCACTTGTTTTGTACAGCAGTTTGAAGACCTTCGGCCAGCATACCATGTGTTACCCTTGGGCTAGAATCAGCTACTGGAGCACCAGCCCAGTCACAATTGAACACTTAAAAGTTGCCCGAAGTGATCGAACAGGATCTCCCACAGTTCATGACTGCTTGGATGCACGCCGATGAAAGCCTTGTTAGGAGTCATGTCAAAGGCAGTATTCCACCAAGCAAACTTGTAGCTCTGCACTACATGACTTGTCACCCAAGCACTTGATGGTTCTGCCGGAATGTTCATAAATGCCGAGTACATTTCTTTGGCGACGTGTCGGACTGTGCCAGTCCTGAATATGCCAAGGAAGATGTGAAGATTCTGAGATACCGGTGGGTCAGTCCTTGCACTTTCACAAACTGACACCCAGGGAAGGAGGAAAGACTGACTCAATTAGTGTCCATAATGCATGAAGGACTGGCGATAACATTTACCTCTGCCTCCCAGTTCAGGTACTCATTCAAAATGATGCGACCCTCCGCCGATATGACACCCCGCCTGGATTCCAGCATTGTCCAGATTGCTAGTAATCTGGAACCGGCATATTCGAATATGTTAGCCACGTCGGATACATCAAAGGCAAGATGTCCCTGAATGCCTTGGGAGCTCTGTGAAAGACATTGTTGTCTATCACTCATGGTGACTGCAATTTTCTAGAGAATACTACTGATCATTTGAGATATATATATTGGCTACATGAATCGGAGTTTTAACACCATGTAGTCAATCACTGTAATGTACATTCTAGATATGGTTAGGACATGTTTTGCTCTCTTTTCAAATACTTCACAAGTCTTTCCGTCACGGCGATGGCTTCACCAACATCCCGACCCAGGAGACTGTCCATTTGCATCAAGCTTGCAGCCACTATCCTTGCTTCTATAACCTTGTCTTCAATCATTTTTAGAAGATGATTACCTTCCTGCTGGACCTCGGCGTGAATGGTAGACACTTGCTGAGCCACTGGCATGATCTTGGGTTCAATCAAGGTTGCCGGCGTGAGGAACGCGGTCCCCTCAGGCTGCACATGGTTGAAGTCAGTTTGTTCCTCTTGATATAAGCCAATGTAGTTCTTACCAATTGTAAAAAATGCTCAGTGAAGAGTTCCTTCACTTCAACGCAGTTTGGGTAAGTGTTGAAGAACACCTCGTTGGGTTTGGTGTCAAGAGGACCCAGCCACCAAGCATGCTCATATGTGTTGCCTTCACAGCTTCTCATCCATGTTGCCGGCGGGTCTACCGGCAAGGTCATGAACGAGTCATACACATCAGCGTAGCTCTCAAGCATCTTCAGCTGTTTCATCGCCAGGAGGCCGATGAGATACCGTAAATTGTGCGATAACAGTGGGTTGATGCTCAACCCGGTGCAAAATGTGATCCAAGGGATGGTAAAGGCCTGTAAGATCATTTAACTCAGACGGCGTGGACATGACACGAAATTACCTCTGCCTCCCAGTTGAGGTACATGCCGATATGCTTGTGAACTTTCCACGATGTATTGTCCTTCGTCTGCTCCAGCACTCGGTGAATCCTTGATAAGCAGCTGCTGGCATATTCGAAGAGATTGGCAAAGTCCACTAAATCGAGGGTGAATTTGTCATTGGCGGTGACATCAGACAACCTTGTAGAGATAATGTTCGACATGATATACTGACAAATTACAAGCATTGTTGCAGGCTTTAAATACATGGAATTGTCGGGAATTGAACTTGGCAATTTCAAATTTGTGTTGTGTCCATCGGTGACTAAGGCCGTATAGCATGTGTCCGGCAGTTTGCCTGATATCATTACATTGTTCTGCCCATAGTATCTGTAAGAATCAGTGGATGTGACCACATCATTGACATTGAGTGTTGAATATTGACATGTCAACATGTGAACCGAAAGTAAGACAATAGGGAATATTACATAATCAGCCGATAATGTGGCCACAGCGTGATACTTATTATGTTGTTTACTGTTTGTCGCCGCGTCTCATCTTGAACTTCATCCTTCAAATTCCTCATTTGCAACATCCTCCGCTGCACACCAACTTATCGCCGCTGCCAACAATGCTTTCAGTGAGGCTGCTGATCAGGTGGAACACATCCTCGGCCAAGCCTTGCAGCTACAGCCGGAGGACCCAAAGCATCTCAGCGTTGCCATGGACATGGCAAAATTGATGGTAAGTACTGTAACTTTATTCTCCCGCAATGTCTTACAATTGTTTCAGCACGAAGTCTTTTCCACGCACGCTGAAAGGGTGACCATCCTGTCACCCTTGGTGTTGTCTGCTGGCGCCGAGTTGATGAACCACATGGACGAAGACAGGACCGCTTTGGTCACCGCACCCGTTTGGGCCAACATTGTTGCTGATGATCCTCACATCCGAGGCCATCCTCTCTTCCCCACCACTGCTGGTTACCGAAAGCAGCTGCCACCGCCGCCGTCCCCTGCCAAGAGCTGGCCCATCTCAGCCAAAGGGTGTTCCTCGCGCCAATGATGCTGAAGAGTGAGGGCGAGGCATTGAGCATGGTAAGCGCTCCCGGGCTACTAATGCTAGGAGCCAAAGTCGGCCGGCGCAATCCAAGCGTCAACGGCAGAAGTCTAAGGTCATCATCACTGGTGATGATGACCTTGAGCTAGACGAGGTGGTTCCAACGGTGCCGGTTCGCAAGGAGCGTGCCGTCAACATGATCTACAAAGTAAGTCCAATGCTATGGTTTCAAAATTAATCTAATGGCACATTTAGCCTGGTCAACTCACCAAGGTGGTTACCGAGCAGAAGACTCGCTGTTCTCTCTGGCACTCTGTTGTCGCCAGCGATGATGACATGGACGCCGACGCAGCAACCAACACTGGCCCTGCACTCAAGATGGGTGTGCCATATGTGGAATTGCCTGGTAAGTGTTCCCAATCTCTTGTGTCTACTAGCTAAGTCAGATTTTGGTAGCCTGCGCCCACCACATCCTCAGGTCCCCAGCTGAAGGAGGATGATTTCGCTGATACAATGGCGCCATCATGGGCTCCTCACTGTGGCCAATGCGTAGCACGGGATCTCATCTGCTGCCAAGCCTTCAACAAGGACCACGGTGGCAAGTTGAAGGTGTGTGCCTTCTGCAGCAGGCTGAAGATTAGGTGCGGCGGCAAAGGCTCAGAGGTTCCCACTGTGAAAGGGAAGTCTGCAACATCTCGCCGGACCCGTTCTCAATCTCGCCGTCAGCGCTTGCCGCCAGCTCGTAAGCATTTCTCTCTACAACCTTGCACTCAACTAATGTTCTTGTAGAAAACATTGCAACCCAACATGTCGAACCATCAGTGCCGTACACCACCACCACCACGCAGAATGAGGATGAGGTTCCTACTCGTCCATCCACATCCATCCCTCCACCAACCTCTGCCTCTACTGACCGCGACAGCCTGTTGGCTTTGCAGGCTGAAGTTGCCACACTTCACACTGCAGTCGCCGCATTGGAGGACCAGGTTGTCGCTGGTGACAAGCAGTGCAAAGATGCCAACACCAGATTGGCAGAACAAGAGGCGAGGTCTGCACTCCTCACCGAAAGATTCAACGAGCTCCTCCGGAAGTTGCTGCCGGCAGCTACATCTGCAACCACTGAGTGTGGTGCTGAGGCTACTGGTGAATTGGCTGCTGGTGAATTGGCTGCTGGCGAATTGCTTGCCAGTGACTCCACCACTGAGGTGTCCAGCACATCTGCCGACCCTGCCGGCAAAGCCACAGGTCAATCGGCTGCTGTCCCATTGACACACACTGCTGAGTCCTCCCATGAATCTGCTGCTGGTCCAGCAAACCTTGTCAATGACTCGCCGTGCTCATTGGCTTCTCTGGCGGCGGAATGATTTCCCACCTGTTTGTACTGTTGTCTGAATATCTTTTGTGGCCGCTGTTCATTTTATGTATATACATTTGTTCTTGACCAGTAACAGATTAGTAGATGTACAGGTATATCTACTAGCTTAGTTCAATAACATGTTTGTATATAATTTGTGGCATCTTGTGATCTGCGGTTGTGCTTGACACCACCAGAAATATGCAATATGGATTTTTTGATTGAGGCTAGTTTGTGTTGGGGGCTGGATGTCTCGGTGATGGTAATTGGTAATCTCCTATTCAGTGATCTCCTACTGTGGCACTTCAGAGCAATTGTACATCGCCAGGGCCCACCCATTGATTTGATTCACATTGTCGGCCCACATGATGTTGGTTTAAACACTAGCAGGTGAGCCTACCCGTTTAATTAGATTGCAGTGCTCTAGGCTCTCCTCTATATTCAGTTCACCCTGCGAGCCCACTCATGGTCACCACAATACATTGGCAGGGCCCACCCGTATAGGTGGTGACAACATCTGGGCCCGCATGGCTATTCCAGTGTTTCTGAATGGGCCAACCATTCACATGGAGAAAATCGCACACAACCGCTGCCATGCCCATATGATTTCGCTGGCCATGATTAAATGTATATCTCGGTGGAAACACTTGCATTCGCTGATCACATTCTGTGATCGCCGATGGTAACTCAACACACCGGGGAGCAAGGGCCCACTCGAAATCGTCGAGGAATAACATTTCTATTGTCCTGTGGGCCCACATGTAAATACAATGTAATTTGATCCTGCTACCTGTGGGACCTGCCCATATGGTGTCGCCGGCCGTGATTAAATGTATTTCTCGGTGGACACTTGCATTCACCGATGATATTGGTCATTTTCTCACTGGTGCAAATTTTGATTTTGTGATCGGTGATGGTAATCCAACAAACCAGGGAGCAAGGGCCCGCTTACAATTGTCGAGGAATAACATTTCCATTGTCCTGTGGGCCCACATGTAAATACAATGTAATTTGATCCTGCTACACATGGGACCTGCCCATATGGTGCCAGCCGTGATTAAATATATTTCTCGGTAGACACTTGCATTCGCCGATGATATTGGTCATTTTCTCGCCGGTGGAAATTCACATTCTGTGATTGGTGATGGTAATCCAACAAACTGGGGAGCAAGGGCCCAGCTTAAAATTGTCGAGGAATAACATTTCCATTGTCCTGTGGGCCCACATGCAAATACAATGTACTTTGATCCTGGCACCCGTGGGCCCACTCCAATGTATTGAAGATCATTGTTCATGGGCCGAACCAGAACCATCGAGTACAATGCCACTTGCCAGCCCACCCAGACACATTGACCTACAATATTAATGTGGGCCCACAGTGAGCTGGCCCATGTCTCATGGAATAATGTCAACTTGGGCTGACCACATTTATAGGGTCAAGTCACTGAAGGGGCTCGACAGCAACACACCAAGCGGTTGGGACTAATGCAGAACGACCTCGACGCTCAACACCAACCTAGAACGAACTTTAGAATATGGCAACAAAACCTCCAAACATCCTCCCATGCCTGGGAACACCTACTAAAGAACCTCAATCCCAACACCTTTGACCTAGCCTGTATACAAGAACCGTTCCTCAACCCCGTCAACCTCGCCAACGCATCCAACCTCAAATGCTACTGGGACGTACTCTACCCGACCACACACCACACCAACCAGGACCGCACTCAAGTAATAATACTCATCAACAAGAAGATATCCAAGAACCAATGGCACATGATCCCAATACAATCGGCGAATGTCATGGCACTAGAACTCACAGGCGAATTTGGAAAGGTGCGTATTTATAATATTTACAACCCATGCGACCATGATGGCACCATGCACTTTCTTGAAAGACATATGCAGTCTGAACATACCGTGCGCCAAAGAAACCCTCAATGACTCGCTCAAGGCGAGGAGGACGTACATAATGAAAATATAATATGGCTAGGCGACTTCAACCGTCACCATCCACTTTGGGAACTGACTACAAACAACCATCTACTCACTGCAGCGAACCTAGATGCCGCAGGTGTACTCATAAATCTACTCGCACTTTATAATCTAGTCCAGGTCCTCCCTCAAGGTATCGCCACTCTGGAAGCATCCGCCACCAAGAACCTCACCCATCCCGACAATGTTTTCTGCTCGGCCCAACTTCAACACACCTTTACTACGTGCACTGTAGAATATCACCTAAGGCCAGTAGTAACAGACCATTTCCCTATTATAAGCTCGATCGATCTGAACCCAGACCGAATAAATGACATCCCACGCCACAATTACAGAGAAGCTGACTGGGACGTCATCAACAAAGCATTGTCCGAACAACTAAGAAGTATTCCCCCACCAATCGAGTTAACTTCAGGAGCCCAGTTCGAAGAGGCTCTGAGCAACCTAACAGATGTCATCGCAAAGGTAGTAGACTCCAAAGTCCCCAAATCCAAACCCTCACCCTATGCCAAGTGATGGTGGTCCAAAAGCCTGGACAAAGAGTGAAAGGAGGTACACAAATTAGGCCGCAAAGCAAGAGCTAATTTACCATACAGAAATGACCCTATACATGAAAGCTACCGAAGAGCATGCAACACTTTCTCTGAGAACATTAAAAAGGTGAAGGAATCCCACTGGAGCGACTGGCTAGAAACTATGACTCCATCTGGAGTATGGAACTTCCACGGCTACACAGTAAGTAACCCAAACGACCAAATGCACGCAAGAATCACCACCCTCAAAGACCCGATGGCCAACAACCCCAACGCGACCCAAGACAACAACAGAAAAAGTGAATTACTCTATGATGTTTTCTTCAAGCCCCCCCCGCTAGACGACCACATAGATCCTAATTATATTTATCCTCCCCCCATGTGCAAATTCTCACTAATCACAAATGAACAGATAGCAAGAGCAATATCGAAACAGTCCCCACACAAGGCCCCAGGCCCAAACAGAATCAGCAACTGCATCTTCACCCACTGCGCAGAACAACTCATCCCATATATGGGCCCGATATTCCGAGCGACATTCACACTCGGAATCTACCCCGAACAGTGGAAGAAATCGTCAACCATAGTGCTCCACAAACCAGGAAGGCCAGATTATAGCCTACCAAAGGTGTATAGACCCATAATGCTCCTCAACACGATGGCAAAAATCTTATCCTCCTGCGTAGCCGACGACCTGATCTACATAGCGGAACAGCATAATCTCCTAGCAGCAACACATTTCGGCGGAAGACCAGGTCGTTCCACTTCAGACTCCCTACACTTACTAACGAAATTTGTTACAGATTCCTGGGCCTCCCAAGAAAGCTTTGTGTCTATGTTGTTCTTAGACGTCAAAGCCGCCTTTCCCAGCGTGGTAATCAGCAAACTATTACACAACCTCAGAAAAGCAGGCATACCGAACGATTACATCGAATGGTACAGACGATGGCTCGAAGGAAGATCCACAACCCTGAACTTTGATGATTTTCAATCGGACCCATTCAACATCAAGGGAGGAGTAGACCAAGGATGCCCCTTGTACCCCGTTAGCCTTCATCTTTTATAACTCGGACTTACTAAGAGTTGCAGATCCGAGACCCTGAAAGGGCAAACTTAGCCTCGGTTTCATTGATGACATCGCACTCATAGCAAAGGGCAGGTCATATGAAGAAGCGCACGCCAAGGTAGTCAAGATGATGGAGAAAAGAGGAGGTGCACTGCAATGGAGCAAAGAACACCATGCAGAATTCGAGCTAGACAAGACAGCATTAGTATGCCTATCCAGAGCTAGAATCCAGAGCAAAACAAACCCAAACAAGTCCATCCCAGCCCCGAAACCTGCCATCACCATCCGCAACCACACAATACAACCTTCGAGCTCCCACAAGTTTCTAGGAGTAATCATTGATGAGAACCTAAGTTTTAAGGAACATGCGGCCTACGCACTTGCAAAGGGAACTAAATATGCGCTGGCCTGCAACAGAATGATCTGTCCAACAAAGGGAATCAGAGAGCCGTCTAATGAAGAGGTTATACGAGGGAGTAGTAATTCCTAAAATGTTGTACACAGCTGATGTCTGGTGCGCAGGACTGGTTGCAAAGGGCAAAGGCAAAAGACTAAACGGCCGTGGAGCACGCGGATTCGCCTCGCAAATAGCAAGAGTACAAAGAATGGCAATGTTGATGATAACGGGGGGATGAGATCCACAGCTACAGACACTCTCGACGCGCATGCTAACGTTCTTCCCTTCCAACAGACCCTACGAAAAATCTGCTTCAAATCAACACTAAGGCTTACAACACTTCCAGACTCTCACCCGTTAGCTCGAGACATCAAGGCTGCATATGACTATGGAGCAGCTCATAACTTCAGCAAACCAAAACGCCACCCCTTCCCCACTCCACAAGCTGCTATACAAATTCAAGATAAACCCCACCCAAATGGAAAATATCCTGCCGGTACACCACTATCCAAAGTGGGAAGCAGACGTGGAAATATGCATAGCCAGGAAGGAGGAGGCAGCTGAAGAAGACAAGCTCGCAGATGAGGAGCTAAGAGTGTACTTGGACGGATCAGCAATAGAGGGAGGAGTAGGAGCAGCAGCGGTGTTGATGCAAGGAGAAGAAGTAAGAGACAAGCTAAGATTCCACCTAGGGAAAGACAGCGAGCACACGGTCTATGAGGGAGAGATAATAGGGATGATCCTAGCGGTCGAGCTATTGAGAAGAGCAGGAGGAGAAGGGACAATGGCACTGGGAGTGGACAATCAAGCGGTGATTCATGCAACAAAGTCATTCAACTCCCAACCAGGTCACTACATCAGTAAATCACCAATTTCTCCACAGAGATCGACATTTTCGATATTTTCTCACAGTAGTGCACAGTGCTGACAGAGCTCACAGGATGTTAAGCCTCATACCTTGCCAGACTTCACAGTAATTGCAGTTGCTCAAAGCATGGACAGTTCACACAGTGTAAGTGACTTGATTTCGAATCAAGTGGAGTACCTCCCAAAGACATGACACTAACTACAGCTATAAGATGAGTGTGAAACGAAGTGGTCAATCAAGAACTATTGTGGGTTGCCGGCTCTGCATGATTTTCACATCTGATGTCCCATTATGATATTATAATGATGACATTGCAAAAGATTGTATTGCACCTACCGAACAAACCCACTCGATCCTGTCGCTGCAATAATGCATGACTCAGAGGGAGATGAGAGCAGCCGTGCTTCTTGAAGATGATCCTCATACATCCCAGCCCAAGGTCCGTATCATCTACTTTCTTTTCAGCGGCTTCTGCTCGGAATTTGAGTAGGCTAGTGAACACCTCATTTTCCCGTAGTATACAATCCGCAAGCGTCTTCTGAGCGAGGAAAACATTGTGTTTTGCTCTTACAACATCCATAACCAAGTTTGCCTCGGAGTCTGATGGTTCATGGATGGACTATTGAAATGTGAGGTGTAGTATTGAGGAACTGATGGACGAGATTGACTTACCATAGAACTGACTGCTTCAAGGACATTGTATAGGTCACCAATACCGGCAAACGGTCCATCACTGTGTTCATTGTTGGAGCCAAAATGGGTGGAAGCTGAAGAGCAGCTTGAGGAAGCGCTTGCTGATAATGATCACAGAGTGGTAATATCAAATTTTAGTGACTCAGGAAACATGAGGAGAGAATGTAACGTGTAGATTCTGGAAAATGCCGGTGTAGAGACTCATGTTTCTGTGGGCTCATTTGGGCTCATGTTACGAATTCTGACAACTGGCCTTCATGGCACAACTCACACCATCATCCACTATGACTTCCACCATGGAGTGCACCACTTCCCGCGAAACGCGCCATAGGCGCGACACTTTCCCGCACAACACACAGTATTCCCGCATGCGCGCCTTGCGCGCTTTCTCGTGCTTAAGTGCCCTGTGTCACGCATCACCCAGGAGCATCCATCCATCATCCAACCAGTCCGTTGGTACGTCCCTTTTCGTTATCTGACTATATTTGGCATATTACACTTCTTATTTTGTTATGGACCCTTACTTACATCACTTTACCTCACTTACATACTTAGAGCGCTCCCTATTCGGCTCCAAGCCCTGGGAGAGCGCTTAGGTAGAACTTACATACTCTCATGTTTGTTTTACACCCCACTTTTCAACTTACACACCTTAGCTTCCTACCACTCAGTATCTATCACCAGTTAGTTCCATGCAATGCATGTATCCATCATCATCTTGAGGCCCTAGCATCAGTCTATAGCTAGTGGCACTGTCAGTATCTGTCTAGATCCACGCTTTTCCTCTTATCAGTCTCAGTATCCGTCTTCTACACTTGTGCACCACTTGCACTACCTTCCCGCGCTTCGCGCACTTTCGCACTTCGCTTTCCCCCGCGCGCCTTCAGCACATTTCACTGCCATTTACCAGGGTTGATTAGCATCATTCCATGGATCCTTGCTTTCCTTGCTTCCCCTTTAGGGTCGAACATTCTTGCATTCTGCGAGTGTAGCAGCTAGGCAGAGCTGAGACTCACTTATACTGGTTGAGCACTTTTCTTATACATATGTGCCTGCCAGGTTGTGATACCTACACCGGTCAATTCTGACCTTGTCTTTTCTCAGTCCGCGATCCCGGCATTATGCCAGCTCGCTGTCCTTCTTGCGGGAAAGAGTTCAAGGACCATACCTCTGTTGCTTGTCATATGAGCCAACCTCGGTCAGGGTGTAATACTTGGCTAGAATATTTGATCTGGCTCAACTCAATTCTCCCACCCAGAAAAGATGATCCTATGGTCACAGATGACCCTCGTGAACTTTATACTTCCTCCTATGAAACAGGAGAGGATATGAATGTGTATGACTTCAGTAATGAAGGAGAGACTTTTGAGCGAGAATCTGGAGGTAGAACTCAGGATAGGGATGCGGAAGTAACCAACTTCTTTCCCAAGCCCCCACTTGCCTTTGAACACGGCTACATGTTCTTAAGTCTGTTCGAATCTGACGAGAATAGCGTCCACCGCAAAACCAACCTTTACTATCCGTTTTCAAGTAGGAGAGAATGGCAAGTTGCAGCATGGCTTCTGCATTCGGGCCTAAGCATGGAGAAAATCAATTCTTTTCTAGCATTGGAGATGGTCCGTGCTTTATTTTCAATGTTATTACGATCACTTGAGTTAACGGCACATACTTAGATTCAGGATTTACATCTATCATTCCACTCAGCAAGAGAGCTTCAAGGTCGAGCTGAATCACTGCCGACTGGTCCGCGTTGGAAATCCCAAGCTATTCGTACATCTCACGCTACAAAGTTGCCGGTTATTCTCTACTGGCGGGATCCGATCAAGTGCATTTCCAATTTATTCAATCACCCTTTATTTCACAACCATATGGACTTTGCGTCTCACAAGGTTTATACTACAGCGCAGAAACTGTCTCAGGTGTATACCAAATGGATGACAGCTGACCATGCTTGGGAAATGCAGGTATGTGATTCATCTTATACGAAGTCATTGCCTTATATTGTTGAAGTCGGCGCTACCTCATGGCGCAACACTCCTTGGTACTATTTTGTCGTCGGACAAGACATGTATCACTGCATTGACGGGTGATCACATTGCACATCTACTCCTTCTCAGCATTGCCAACATTCACATGAGCACACAGTTAAAATCATCCTCAAACACTTTTGTACTTACTGCGCTGTTACCCGTCCCCAAATTCATTCACAAAAAGAAACGAATGAAGGGCGTGTTACAGGATCAGCTTGTTCATCAGTGCCTGGACATTGTATTAGAACCACTGAAGGTGGCTACTCAAGAGGGCATCATGTTGTCAGATCCCACTGAACACAGTTGTTACTGCTTTACCCTGCTTGCGAGTTATATCGCTGATACCCCTGAAGCCATGATGCTGGCATGTGTCGGTGGAAAGACATCTCCTGTTACGATGGCCATGTACAAACAATCTGGAGATGCACTCCGACATGAACCCCACACAAGAGCAACAACTCTCGCACAGCTAGATGTTGTGCACTCACGTGCTGATCAAGACGATGTCGAAACATTTTTCCGCGAATCACAGAAGTTCTGCCTGAATTGCATTGCAAAGCCTTTCTGGAGTGATTGGGTATTAGCGGATCCTGACCGGTTTTTCACACCTGAATCTTTGCACATCATTCACAAGAAGTTTTGGGATCATGACACGCAGTGGCTTATCCTCGCAGTTGGAGAGTCTGAGATAGATTTTCGCTTTTCCATCTTACAGCCCACCACTGGTTATCAGCATTTCCACAAAGGCATCTCAAAACTCAAGCAAGTTACAGGTCGTTGCCACCGAGATGTTCAGTGATCAATTATCGCAGTCTGCACAGATGCAGCACCCCCTGGTGTCATTGTTGCTGTCCATGCAATTTTGCATTTTCATTACCTCATACAATCACCATGTATTAATGACGACGATATCCACCACATCTCAGCTGCGTTAGATGAGTTCCATGCCAATAAGGATGCCATTATCAGCGCTGGAGTTCGCCAAGGAGAAGGCCGTACAGTTATCAACAACTGGTGCATACCTAAACTCGAGCTTATGCAAAGCATCGTGCCTAGCATCCACAGCTCTGGTGTTACAGGACAATGGTCTGCGGATGTTACTGAGCACGTGCATATCACAGAGATAAAAGACCCCGCGAGGTCCAGTAATAACAACAACTATGACCCCCAAATCTGTCGCCATCTCGACCGTACGGATAAGTGTAATCGGTTCGAACTTGCCACAAGCCTTCTAGACCATGTGCAAAGTACCGAGGAGTTGCAGGGTTCAGAGAGGAATTTACTGACAAGGATGATGAGACTGACAGTGATGTGGACGATACTCCCGCAGGACTACCCTCCAGATCTCAACGACCTGGACAGCCACGTTCTATTACGAACTACTTTGCGATCACCAATATGCTCCAGCAAAGGGAAATGGGATCAGTGCCAGTCCCGTTACGCACCTTTGTTGTCAGATGGACCGCTTTTCATCTTGCTTACTGATCCTTCTATTAAGAGTGTTACTCTTGATGAAGTTGCCGTCAAGTTCGGCCTACCAGATCTGCGCCCGGCTATGGCTAATTTCCTTCACCGTGAGGTGACTTATGGCAATCTTGTTCACCCAATTGGTGGTCCCAGAAGGGCTGGACATAACGCCAAACTTCCGTTTGATAAGGTCCAAGTCTGGTTTAAAATCTGCTTACAGGAGACAGAGTTTTACAACATTCACAGTATTCGCCCAACTCAGACACTAAACTGCGCACCACCCAGTAACCCCTGGACGTTGGGCTGTTATGACAATGTTATTATCCAGACCAGCGCAGAGCACTCATGGCCTGCTAGTGGTCTTTCAGGTGCATTCTTTCTGCATTTATTGTGATATTTACTGTCAGTTAAAGAATGATCCACACAGGTCACTCCATCACACAGATCAGATTGATCATGCAGGCCAATTGGCAAAACCTGTACACGGTGGGCATGGAACGATCAATTCGTTGCATATGTTCAATGTTTCGATATTTCTAATGAACGTGATCCAACCACTCAGTTACACACACTGAAAAGAGCAAAGTGCTCTAATGGCATTCGGATGGGTGATATTATTCCAGTCTCTCAGCTGAGAGCGCCCGTCAATCTCATTCCCCACTTTGGCACTGCTGCAGATAAGTGCCTCACGCCCTATAATAGTATGGAGCATGCAACAGAGTTTTGGTTAAATTTATTTTGGGACAAAAATACCTTTTTCACCTTATCATAGTAGCATAATTGTGCTAACCTCATACTTGATAGGTTTAGTTTTGGTGTGCTAAAAATCACCCATGTTATTGTAGTTGCTAGTAGGAATAGAATGGTATTCATTGTTGCTCGAGTCCATACTATCATACTATGGCATATCACAGCAAAACCGTCAATTATGGGATTAAGATGGCATTGCTGATGTCGGCTCCCTACATTAGCAATGTCCATACCATGGACAAACTGACAGATCGTGAGCTCAATCGCTTGATCGTCGAAGAAGAAGAGCCACCAGATAATGTTGATGAGCCTTTTAGTTTCATGTTGGCGCAGATTTTTCGGTCATTTACGGTCAAACTCCCTGATGTGACAGAGCTGAGGGTCCCTTTACATAAAATTCGCTACTGTGATCACAGACTCCACAGCAAATTTGCCCTCACAGATGAACAAGACCTGGTTCCGCTGTTCGATGAAGATGAGCAGCAGTGGAACTGGGCACTTCCAATGTTGCATCTCGACGAGCCTTGCATTGACCAGATTGAAGAAACTATTGGAGAAGGACCAGAGGGAAATGAGAATGAGATGTCTGGGAGTGGGGTCAATGACAGCTTACTGGAGGGTCCGTTGGTTGCCTTGGAGGCTCGGAAACATCCATTTGAGGAAATCTTTGCGTTGTTTTTCAATACCTGTATCTGGTGCTCTGTCCTTACAGCAGCCAAAGGTCATGGAGGCAAATCAGACCGTGGCACTGTACATGGAGTTCAGCCAATGCCACACGTCCTGTGAAGGACAAGGAAATTCACCGCAAGCCCAACCTTGCATTGTTGGATGACGTGACAGCTCGATGGGACACGATCAAAGTTGTTTGCGAGCTAACATCGCAACCGTACTCACCTCAAAGCACTATCGGTAAAACCATCGATAGCAAGGCATATCTTCTCTTGAGGTGTCAGCCTTGGAGGCGATTTGTTCTACTGCTATCCCTTACCAACGGGTACCGTGACCTGCGAGTGCACATGTACGATCACTCAGGCGGTGTTGTAATGCCTTGTGTCAATATTGTCAGCAATCCAAACATTTACCTTCACATCTTATCCTGCCTTGTCTTCGGCAATCTTGAGGCCATTGGATACAATCCTTCGATCCTCATCTTTACGAAGACGCTTCGGCCTGCCCAGCTCGAAAATACATCAATCTTGTCTCAGCCCGACAACAAACAGATTACCTGCTTCAGATCAAGCACGGGAATCCTTAGTTGAATCCCCGGTGGATGAGGCTATCCAAGTTGGCAGTGCTGCCCCCCCCCCCCCCAGACCGGGAGCGCCCCCACAACACTTAATGCACCAGCAAGTGCCTCCACAAGCAAGGCTACATTGACTGCCGACCCCCCCGAGACAGAAATCCCCACAGATCCTCTTCGTACACATCCCCCACAGCCAATCGGAAAGATATTAGTTAACGATCACACATATGACATCCTCGAACTCATCTTTTCTAGCCAGGGGCTTGTTGGGCACGGCATGGTCTGTTATTTGGCCAGGAGGCACAATGAAGAGTATATAATAAAGGACTGTTGGGTCCTTGGGGACAAAGACATCGCCTTGAATGAGGTAGCGATGCTTCAGGCGATGCAAGGGGTCCGTGGTGTTCCTCAATTAATTGAATATTGGCTTGTTGAGACAAAGCCTCAAGAGGTTGACGAAACAATGAGTTATCGTGGCAAGATTTGGAAGAGTATCCAAGGTACTTCACGCACACATGTTCGTTTGGTCTTGAAGCCCCGTGCGCGACCTCTACACATGTTCCGGACAAAAGTAGAGTTGGTCAGTGCGATTCGGGACATCATTAGAAGTAAAGTGTAGTTTCTGCTTACTTTTCTTTCCACTGACTCGTTTTCTAGTTCAACAGATAGCTGTTGAAGAATGTGGAATTCTCCACCGAGACTGCAGTCTCAACAACACCATGATTGAGGACGACGGCGATGGATCCCATGGAACATTGATCGATTGGGAGTTCACTGTACATATTCTTGAAGGCCAAAAATATGCTATCGGGGGGACAGTCAGTACAAATTTACCTATGTATACTCAATATGCTGACATTGACTATTAGGGTACATTACCTTTCATGTCCCGATTGCTCTTGTTCCAGCTCTCTGAAGCTGTTGGCAGCACGGCGATGTCTCAAAATAGCTGGAAACACACCTCACACTCCCGTGCAAAGTGCCTCCTCTTATTATGCACGGCTATCAGGATGATCTCGAGTCAGTTTTTTTACGTCTTCGTTTGGATATGTATTGGGTACAGGGGTCCGCTTAGCGTGAAGCATGTTCTTGAGAAGTGATCAGAAGGGCAATGGCTACTGCATTTGTGGTCCGCCAACTCATTCAAGGAGGGCGGGTAACGAGAAGACCTCATTTTTTTTTCCATCCGCATGCGGATAAACTCAGCCAACAATTCCACCCTTACTTCCATGACCTACTCCCACTCGCACTCGATTGGTACAAATTAATTAGGGGAAAAGGACCATCGCAGTGTGCTGACATTTAAAGAAGTCATTGATCTTTTGACTAAGCACCTCGACATCCTTCCAAAGGATGAGCCTTCCCCGGAGCTTTTATTCGCACGAAAGGTCATTGATGCACTCCCTGGTGGACTCACTGGACTCCCTGACGCACTCCCTGGTGGAAAAAGAAAGGTGGCATCCGAAGCAGCTGATAGAAATGTACCTTTACCAGTCATGGAACGTGACATGGCATTAGGGGGTCGAGTTCTTTGGACGGATGGAAGCCGTTCCCCAGCCCAAGCAGATGAGAACTACCTAGATGTCTATTATACCTACAATTATATCTGAGCTCGCCCCGAGGTCGGACTTATTATTGACTCCTATTATGAGCGGCATATAGGAGTTAGCCGAGCGCAGTTTTCCCAGGCAGACCAAGTCACTTCAAAACACCAACTACATTATGCATGCTATCAAACCTTCCCTTGTCACTCACATCCTTGACGATGAAAGGAGGTCCCGGACAGGTCTAAAATTTATGTCTACTTCATAGCAGCTGCTTGTTTTGGCCCGGACCAACATTCAAACTTCGCCTAAATACCTTTCACTTTTTGCATCCCCATTTGCCATGTCAGAAGAGCCTTGCTGCATGACTTATGACTCAGTTCACAGGCTCGGATCACCTCATGCACGACATTATTCTAGCAGGTGGTGATTTTTAGTCATGTTTGAAGTGGTTTTAGACTACTTAAAGGTGAGTATTTGGGAACTGTCAGTTTGGTGTCTCATCCCTCCAATTCTCAGTCATGCCTGGTAGCCCTAGTAAGAAAAAGAGAACAAAGCACAAAGCTCTGGACTCTGATCTCAAGGTACTCAACGGGCAAGCAGGCTCGGAAAAGTGATCGCGAGCTCACACCAAGGCATCGTTGCCATTGAATAACGACGCAGACGAGTCTCAGCATCGCCTGTTTGGGTCGTCCAGGTGCAGGGAAAGGAGGGTAGGGGCGCTCAGCTGGAAAAAATAGGTGCTATCTTGGATGCTCCAGTGCGGACGAGTCAACCGAAGGGACCACATCTCTTAATGCAGATTTTCCCGTGAATCCTCTTGCTCCAGAGCTACCTTGCAAGGGTTGTGGAAGTCACTCCAAAGTATTCCCTCCCAACGATTCAAGACACAATGCTAATCAGACACACAGATTAAGCAGCCCCCTCCTCCTTACACCACTTCAGGGACATTGGATTCAAACACCTGTGGCTCCCAGACCACGGCCAAAGAAAATTAAGGTGAGTTTTTAATTTGCAAGCACTCATGTATTAATTATTATTAAGAAAACTGTCGCTCCTTTTTCGAGCCTTGAGGCCTTGAACAACCAGCCCACTTTTGTTCAACGCGAAGTTGGCGGACAGTATGGATTTTGTCCACCCATCGTTCCTCCTGGAACAGAACCGGATCTTCAAGCACTCAACAACTCATTCGTGGCTGCAGCCAAGGCTGCCAAGGAGCAATGTACTCCGTCTGCATCTCACAACTCCCATCTTGCTGCTGACGCCTTCAAATGCCATCTTCCTTCTGCTGCTTCTAGCGATGTTGATTTGTCACAACAGGTACTTTCAAGGCCAGCTATTGTGAACCTGCCGGACGCTCGCTTGTATGAGAATCTGGATCCCACCCTTCGGCCAATCAACCAGAGTGACTCCGGGCTGCAAGGCACAAACTCTGAAGGTTCAGACGCATCCGAGGAGGGGAGTGATGGTGAGGATACATCTGATGGTGACAATGGTGCAGACCAACAGATTGGTTGGGGAGAATCTGGAGGATGCCATAATGCACATCCTGGTACGTGATCAGCTATTTTCGTCTGCGATCACATTGACCAGTGACAGGTTTTTCGGGAGAAGTCCAACCGTCCCAACCTCAGGCTGCAATCGCTCTTCCGACCGACTTCGAATTCCAGCACTCGCGGGATGAAGATGATCAAGCAGCTGGGAGAGCTTTGGCGTCCAGTGATTCTTCAAGTAGTGACGATTCGGCAACGGATGCTCCCCAGGTAAAACTTGTTGGTCTGTTTGAAGTGCGCTCACATATTCATAACTTCTAGCTGGCTGATGTACTGGAACTTCACCATAAGAAAAATTGTCATCCCCGCCTTCCTGATCCTGCCCTTCTGGACCTCCTCTGTGGTGCTGAAATGGCCAATGTGTCAGGTTCAAAGACAAAGGCAACAAAGGCATCCAAGGACCCGGGCGATGGGCCCAAGACCACACAACTAGCCTGGTATAGTCCCTGCTGGAAGCACTTTCTCAAAGGAGCAAAGGGAGAGTGTCATGTCCTGCATGCTCTGGAGAATCCATTCCCGAGACTCATTACTGATTTATCGACCAGCATCACAGAATCACTCTCAGCTTCTCTTGTTGAATGGCTCAAGGATGGTAATCAAGTTGAAGCTGGTATGTTGTCGCCTCCCTTTTGATATTTTATTGACTTGTAGCATCCACCAGATGTATGGCCCGCTCGCAAGCCTGATATGGCAAGACTGGTATGTATCTCTCTTGTCGTGAGCTCACGTCTTATTTATTTTTTAGGCTCTGTTTGGACATCGAATTCAAAAAGAAATTTGCAATGAGAATTCAACTTACGTGTCAGGTGACCTACTCACATGACCTTCGGCATGACCTTCGGCACTATGTGGCGCACATATGATGAATGATAACAGTGATTGTTTGAGGACAACAGTACTAGTGTTGAACGTTGCCCCCCGCCCCCAATCAATATGTACGATTATGAAAACTCAGCGCAGAAATGGCACAGGGAGGAGACCCGTTGACGCTGGCTTACCTTCGTTATGACCTGCATCGTCACGCAAGTTGTATACGTGTATAATCTATTGTTTTTGACTTCGACTCCCCGTATCCCGTACCATACATCAGCCTTGACTGGTGAAGCATGGGTTTATGAACTCACTACAGGGCACCCTGATCGAATCCGCAATAACCTTGGTGTCTCATTAGAAGTCTTTGAGGCACTGATTCAAATTCTCCAACAACATGGTATCTACCGGTCTCGTAATGGCATCTCCGTGGAGGAACAATTGGGCATATTTTTATATGCTTGTGTGATGGGACTTTCGACTCGCCACCTTGGTGAGCGATTCCAGCGTTCCCCTGACACTATTGCCAGGTAGATACTCAGAACGTCGCAATTGATATTTGTCTCACATAGTATTTTGTGTAGGTACTTCAAGCACTTGTTGCTATTTTTCTCAGACGACCCATTCTACTCCTCGCAAGTTCGCCTACCGAATATCGAGACTCCCATTTCCCAAAAAAATTTAAACGACCCCCGTTTCCGCTTTTTGATCAATGCATTGGCACCGTAGACGGCACACATATCCGGATCTTCGCCTCACAAGGCGAACACTCCACCATGCGCAACCGCAAGGGATACTTATCCCAAAACTGTCTATTCGTGTGCGATCACGATTTTTTTTTATCTATTCACTTTGCGGCTGGGACGGTTCTGTCGCTGATGCGACGCTCTGGGAATGATGCGCGCGCACATGACCTTGCGCTTGCCTCCGGGAAAAATACCTACTCGCAGATGCTGGGTTTGGTACATGTGATGCATTGTTGGTGCCATACCGTGGTGTCCGCTATCACTTGAATGAATGGCGTCAGGGCCAATCTCCAGTGAGAACAAAAAGTATCAAAATTTTCTGCTTTTGACATTTGACATTCCAGGCCGCAGACACCACAACAGCTATTTAATCATCAACATGCGTCACTCCGCAACATCATTTAATGCATTTTTGGAGTAATGAAGCGACAATGGTGTATTCTCCAGCTCCCACCCGAGTACAAGATGGACGTGCAAGCGCGCATCCCTGTAGCGCTCTGTGCGCTGCACAATTTCATTCGCAGGTTCGACCCTACCATTTTTGAAGAAGAATATGAAGATATTCTGGGACTTGAGCTTGAGGAAGGTGCGGCTGAGCTGGCTGAACTGAATGAGCTGGGGGATGGACCAGCGAATGCTCAGGAGAGGCGGTGGGCTGATTGTCGCAGGGATGATATTGCTAAGGCCATGTGGGACGATTATGTTGCTGTGCGCGCTGCGCGAGGCAATCAAGCAGGGTAGGATGCAACTGAAATCCTATTGTTACTTTCTATGTAGCATTGGTAAGAGTACAACGGTAATACGAATCAGTCAATGTGCATAGCATGAATTTCACTCAGCCTCTTCTGCACCCAAGCGGACTTCAGCTTATCATTCATGTATAGGTATGCGATGGCCTCGTCTTTGTCCTTCAAGAACAACGGCATCATGTCCAACTTGTCCTCGTCTGATATGTTGGTGGCGGCGCCGAGGACTTCAATAGCGCATGCGAAGTCAGGGGGAGGCGCAGCGACAGGGGGTGCAGGAGCCGGAGCCGGAGGTGGGGGGTGGGGGGTAGAGCAAAATTTTTACTCATTTCATGTACTGAACTGGCGAGCGACATAATTGCCTGCGCTGCCATCCTGCTGCGCTTTGACAGTTGCAGACGGCGGGCGAGAGCGCTTACCGGATGGAATGTCAACATCAGATTCTAGTGCACTGGCCTTGCGCTTGCCCCGGCTGGCACTTGTCAAGGCCGAAGGTGGGCTTGTGGAAGGGAGGCGGGGCGCAGGCGTGGTGGGAGGACCCATGCTAGTAGGAGACAAAGGCAAGTTATGGAGCATGTTGTCAGAGATTTCATTGGTAGCAGCGGATAGTTCATGGAGGTTGAGTTCGTTAGAAGTGCGGGTGCTGGTAAAAGGTGCTGCAGATGACGCAGAGCCTGTCTTCTTTCTCTGGACCCGATGGACATGGATTCCCTTCGTGGCATTGCCGGACGCCAGCAGATCAAAGATTGCGAAGTACGCAAACCCCTTGTTCTGGAATTGTCTGGCGTGAGGGTGAGACTTGAAAAAAAATCAGATTGGCCTGCACATATAGAGGAGGTACTCACCTTGATATACCCTGCCCAAGCGCTAGCTGAACTCTCGTCAACACAAGCCCCCTTATCATCTGTCCACGTAAACCCTGACGATGATCCTCCATATCTGAGCTCTACCGCGGCAAGATAAGCACTCTTGAGTGTACCAAATTTTGTTTTGCAAGCGGCATCAGTTTTTTCTCGCCACCCTTCTGATCCTTGAAACTTCTCTGCAAGTGCATTGGCAGCTTTCGTATATGTCGATTTGGGGTACAGTCATTCCATCTGTGCCCACTTTGTTTTTGATGCAAAAACTCGAGGAGCGCTGCCTCCTCTTCGGACGTCCAACGAGCTGGCTCTTTGCGATTGGAAATCTTGCCTTTCCCCTTAGCTTGTGAACTTGATGTGGTCTCAACTACTCCAGAGTCTACAGAAACTCGAGAGTGAAGAGACACGATAGACAAGTCCGAGTCAGACGTGAGCATCTCTCAAGGATATAGGATATGAGTGGCTAATATCAGAGATAAGAGGCGTGCTGGCATTCCTTGCCAAAGGTCATGTGAGTAGGTCACCTGACATGTAAGTTGAATTCTCATTGTGAATTTCTTTTTGAATTCGATGTCCAAACAGAGCCTTAGTTATACGATGATTTATCAACTTGGCAGTCCGACCTCAAAAAGATCGTCATTGCCATCACTCCTTCTGTATACGGTCTCATCCCGCCGACCGAACTTTCCACCCAAGAGCGCGCTAATTGGATTGAAGAAGCTGCTGCAGACTTGCTGGATAAATCGAAATATTTGCGTGGCAGGAAGGATGAACTTGGGAAGACTAAAAATTTCGCTCACCCTGGACTTCGCAAAGTCATCATTATTTTCATCTACATAGGGTCTTATCGCATCGCTCATAGGCGACCAGACATCTTTTGCAAGCAGGTACCACTAAAGTGCTTAGCTCTCGTCGCTACAGCAGTATTATTTCAATTTTAATATACTACTATGAATGTGCTGACACTTTTTTTAGTTCAACTGTATCCTTGATGGCCTCAGAAAAAACGGCAATGGGAAGACTTACCCCAACTTTTCCTCGAAGGATTACCTGTCCATCTACAAGAGAATGCTGGCACTGCTTGAAGACATCATGAACAACCCTTACCATGGCCTGAAATTGGTGCAGCAGCTTGGTCAATGGGCTGAAGCTGGATGGTAAGGATATACTCAGGCTTCGCATGGTTTTCGACACTGACTATTCATCCAGGGCTGGAGTGCTGCAAGCTCGACGGCACCAACATGACCAAGCACACCCACCTGCAGATAGAACTGGATTAAGGGGAGCCGCTTGTCTATCGGTCGCTAATATTAGTTATCATCGTTTTTCTCTCCGTCATTTAATGTGTCATGTGATTCATTTGGTTCAATATATTGTGATTGTTTTGTGCGCTATTGTACAAGTCTGTGAATGTCTGTACAGCCATATATGGTGATCATCATGCGCTATTGTACAAAGCTCCACATTTTTAAGTTGTCTGTGAACGTCTGTACATACATGTACAGCAACAATTGGAACTTTTGAAGGGATTCTGGGAATCACTGGGGGGATCTGTGAGCATGTGTACAGTGATTCACAAAGTAGGGTGTTGCTACAGTGAGCTGGAAAATAGGAACCAGGCTGTACAACTGGGATGCTGTCCGGCTCTGTACAGTTCTGTACAGAGCCTAGTGATTTACTGATGTATCTCGTGGACATTTTCCACAACAATCTTCAAAAGCTCCTCCCCAACAAAGATGGCAGAAAACTGACGGTATGCTGGACACCAGGGCACATCGATATCCCAGGAAATGAGAGAGCAGACAAGGGTGCAAAAAGAGCTGCAAAAAGAGATGCATCAGAAGGAAGACGACTCCCATACTCCCTCCAAACGATATCAGCAACTCCCATCACGCTACCCATCAGCAAGTCAACCACTCTACAAAATTTCAGGGCAAAAATCAAAAGAGAAGCAGCAAAAGTCCTACGCGATTCCCCCAGATACACCACCCTGCACACCATAGACCCTTCCACACCCTCGAAACATTTTGCAGACATCATAGATGACTTCCCACGTCGCCACAGTTCACTCCTCTTCCAGCTCAGATCAGGCCACGCTCCCCTCAACAAGCATCTCCACCGAATCGCAAAGTCAGAATCACCAACGTGCTCCCAATGCAAAGAAGGAAACGAATTGGTACATCACTTCCTCTTTAACTGCCCAGCATACACCAGACAACACAACATTCTCAGAATGGAACTGGGCACAAAGGCTCACCATGTGAAACACATCCTCAATGAGACCGAATGCCTCAAACCGTTATTCAAGCACCTGCTGGTGTCATTCTGATGTATTAAAACTGACCTTATCACAGAAACTGTGATACATAAACTCAATGGTGTGTCGCTGGTACTACAGCCTAGTGACCACTGCCAATGATACATCATATCCCACTCAGCATGATGTATCACTTCCAAGTTCCTGTTGATACATCATATCCCTCTCGGCTTCCCACTTGGCTTGATGTATCACATCCGAGTTCTCGTGTAATACATCACATCCGAAATCCCATAGACCTTGTAATACATCACATCCCACATCACATCCCACCGGCAATGATACATCAGCGCTCAGCATTATCACATTGACAATGATACATATGATACATTAGGTCAGTGATACATCAGACGTCAGTGTCATCTTTGTCATCTGCAGGTGAGCCCTCTTCGTTGTCTGCAGGTGGGCCCTCTATGGTCAGTAATACATCAGCCGTCTCTGCAGTGTCATCTTCGTCGTCTGGAAGGAGCTGAGACTGTACAATTGAGGGAACAGCTACCCAAAGCTCTTGAACGTGCTTAACCATTGTGAGCCGTATATGAGCTTGCCATGCTGCATATGCAAGACCCCCTTCCTGATGAGCAGGTTTCGCAAAGACGACTGTGGTTCCACGATCTTTCCACCATTTTGCCTGCCACTTAAAAAACTCAATGACCCTTCGCATTTCCTCGAGGAGCAGTAATACTTCTTCGGACCACCGTCCTTTGCATGCACGTGCTTTGCACCATTTAATCCGTAGACCTGGAACACAGTGAGATAATGTCAGATCGCAATATAGGTCATGTACAATCTTGCAGGCCTGCGTCGTCATTATCCAAGGCACCTGGCGCCTTCCAGATCCACGATATGTCTCTCGTGCCCTCCGACTGACCAGGTCCGATATCACCTAATGTACGCAGGTCCGCAACATGCAGAACCCGCAATTTCCCCTCCCAGGCGATCTTACCCAGAATTGGACTGAGAATAATCAGCGCAGCATGAGCCATGTCGTATTTGAGCTTGCTTGCTGTTTTTCTCATATCTGCAACGTCTAACATGCTGCGAGCACGGGTCGATGCTCATTGTCCATGAATGTGAGTCCGTTTGAATGCCTTGAGATGAGATGAGAGGCGAATGCTCTGGTGCACTTCATTTAAGGCATCGTGTGCTTGAGCGAAGCGGAGGTCCCATTCGAGCTCTTGCAGCTTGCAGTCGCAGGAATATTCTGTACCTAGCGAGGAAGGGAGCCAGATGCATTACTTTGGGTGCAAATCTTGGCTTTCTGAATTTCAGTGGCATGAACTCCAAGTGTAGTGGCATCCGCGCATAGACGACACCTAAAGCAGACATAAGCTTATGAGAGGGTCTCGCGAATTGTGGACTGACTGTTGGTCTTCTAGATCTAAGCCAGTAGAAATAAGTATGGACGGTGATACCTCATCATGTAGAGATACATTTATGCCAGCTTGTAAGTCGTGAGCCTCGTTCTCGGCCAGTTGAAGTCGAACGGTTGTTTGTGTCATTGCTTGAGCGAGAATCAGAACAAGGACATGTAGAAGTACAGATACATTCACTCACGTGCTATGCGGCTCTCAAATGGGTTGGGCTGCGAACTATCATCTTCCCAAGCCTCAACTTCAGATTTCCATGCATTCAGGGACACATCATCTATCATGCTCTGCAGCTCTGCTAGCTCGTCACCGTGAATCTTGGCACTCCTCACAGATTCCTTCAGTTCACGTAGTAGAACATGACCTGTTGCATTTTTAACACATACTAGCAGTAGCAGCGGTAAAAGAAACTTACCAAATGTTGTCACTTTTTCCAGTTCCAATCGCCAAAATTATTGTCCAGGGTGTCGCAACGAGCCCCAGGACCCATCTCCTTAGTGCTGGTAGCCACCCTGTTCACATTCGCCCAACCTCTCTCTGGTGCCTCTCCATCTGTGTGACCGACACCCTTAGAGTAATTGAACGAAAAGTTTGTCTGGCAGGCGGGGATGTGTGCGTTGATGTGGAACTTCGGCACGAAAAATCGCACTGTCTTGTTCTTGCAGTCGAACTGTAGCCTATCAGGCATTGAGGCCAAGCATGCCCATAACTTTTTGTGCCATTGGCAGGCTATATCATAAGACAAATTAAGGACAGCTGCGCCACTGCCAACGATGACAGAAAATACGAGATAATCCATATTTATGTATCTGTGTGAAAAGTCAGACTGGCGAGTCAATGAATCAAGTCCGATACTTACTTCTCCCCCTTTTGGAGATTGCCTACTCCACTTGCAAGCTTCATCTCGTGGCGAGCACAATCTACGGTCCCTACACCAGTCGCAGTGAGGCCTCTTGAAGACTTCGTGTCCGCCATATTGACTGCATTATGACTAACGCATGTGCTTCACTGAAAGAATATTGAGCACAATGACATCATTATGGTGATATCGAACCTCTTGTGGCAGTGTGACTCACTCAGCCAGGTAAGATTTATAGTGTTTTTCTTCTACAAAATAAGATGTCCCATTATTGAGGCTGGGGTCACGCTTGTCACTCGACACTGCTTTCCGTTTCAAACGAAAATTAGCATCAATCAAGAGAAAAAGTGCGTACAGTGGCTCAAAAAGTGTCTCAATGTTTGTGGCTTTTCATGTAATTGCTTTCTTATGAGTCAGGAAATGAAAATATGACTGAGCCATAGGGAGGGGTGTAAAAGCTCTGCTTCTTCGATTTAATTCCGTTCCCTACAGCGTGGGAAGCTGATGTCATCAAGTGAAGATATGGTCATTTTAATATGGTGACTCATTGAGACACTTTTTTGACTTTGTATTTTACCAATGTTATTGTATGATTCTAGTACTTTGTGTTACCCCCCCTTGGCTTTAATAACTGCTGCTACCCTCCTAGGCATACTTTCTATCAATTTCTGATACTCCTCCTTAGTAATCTTTCTCCACTCTACTACAACTCTCTCCCATAGTTCAAATAGCCCCTTTGGAGGATCTTGATAGGCAGCAAGTAGTCTTTTGAGTAATTCCCAAAGATGTTCAATGGGATTGAGGTCTGGAGACTGTGCTGGCCATGATAGAACATTGATATTATGGTCTTCAAACCATTTTGTAGCCAGTATTGAGGTGTGCTTTGGATCATTGTCCTGCTGGAAGATGATGTCCTCTTCATCAATACCTGACTCCTCCATGCTTCTAAGCAGACACTCCTCTAGAATGGAGACATACTGCTCTGCATTCATCCTCCCCTCCACCTCACACAGAATTCCCACTCCATTCCATCCCATGCAGCCTCACACCATCAAGTTTCCTCCTCCAAACTTGAGTGTGCCTTTCACTTCTCTGTCTCCTAGTGGATCACCTGCCTTTTTCCACACATATTCCTGACCATCTGACCAAATAACTCTTTTCCAGTCCTCAACTGTCCAGTGTTGGTGCTTCAGAGCAAAGGCTAGTCTCTTCTTCCTATGAGTTGGTGAAAGAAGAGGTTTCTTCTTCTTGGTTACAGCTTTCAGGTTGGCTGCCTTGAGAGTGTTTCTGACTGTTTGGGTGGAGACAGTGGAGGGGATGATGGAGTTGATGAATTTGGTGGCTTGAACAGCATTTGAAGCTTCTCCAGATAGAATACAGTGAACAATAGCCCTCTTATCATGGGGAGTGAGCTTGGAAGGACGGCCCATATTGATATTTTCTTTATTTGGATTAGATTTCTTGATGACCCTAGCAATAGTAGCCCTGCTTAAACCAGTTTTGGAAGCAATCTGCCTAGTAGATAGACTAGAGAAGCTAAGAACAAGGATATTATCCTATTAAGTAGAGGAGATAGACTTCATAAGGATTATGGAGAATTTCATGCTCTAGCTTGCACTTATACAGATGTCAGATATTAAAGTCAGACCATATTATTGACATGACACCATTTTTTTAGATATTTAGTCATAACATTTTGTCTAGGTGACCTGATTTTGCTAAATTTTTATAAAGTCAAAAAAGTGTCTCAATGAGTCACCAAATTAAAATAACCATATCTTCACTTGATGACATCAGCTTCCACGCTGTAGGGAACGGAATTAAAGCGAAGAAACAGAGCTTTTCTACCCCTCCCTATGGCTTAGTCATATTCCCATGTCCTGACTCACAAGAAAGCAATTACATGAAAAGCCACAAACATTGAGACACTTTTTTGAGCCACTGTATACCCATCTGCAGTGAGTAGTAGTTAGTAGTGGGAAAATGTGTGAAGAAACAGATATTACTTTGACCTGGGCTCCGCCTTCTCCCATCCCTCCGGAAGGTTTATCCCTGGTTGCAGGCACGCAGGACAAAGGACGACGCAGTCACCTTCTTGTGTAGTACCGATGCCATTGGGGTGGTGTCCCCTCCCTGAGCATTTGAGAAGTTTCAGGTTCCACCACTCCCACACCATGCGAAGGAACGCGGAATAACGATCCTACCATGCTGGGGTAAGTTACACCTCATGGATATTGCAGTCATACATACCTTGATTGGTGTAATCCCGGTATTATCTGTGCGGTGGGCAAGACTATGGTAAAATTCATAAGGTGAAACTTTAGATTCAAATGAGAGTAGATGAAAAAACTCCATAACAGCAAATGTAGTGGCTGTTTGAGGTTTGGAGGACGTGGCAGGGAACCAGCGAGCACGGAGGAGTTGGATGTGATGGATCTGCACCGTCTCGCAGCCACAGAAATCGAGGCCGATTTCATGGATCTCGTGGGCATCAACAACGGTAAAGTCATCCCCATTCGCCCTCTGTTTGTTCAAACAGACCTCGCCAGGGTTGTGACCAAGTTGAATGTGGAGACCAAGGGACTTGAGTGAGACACGCTTGAAGAAGTCTTGTGTCCATTCCTCTATTCGATGCAGTGGGTTGCATCTATGGCATTCAACCACGCAGCTCTGACAAACCATCTCTATCCCAAAACAGTCCCTGCACCTGTAAATTGGCAGGTCCTCGCCTCCGCAACAACATAGAGAGTGGGCTGCTTCGTTTCCATGACCTTCTAGCTGAATCATTTCGTCTAGATATGTTGAACGCTCTGTAAGCCACAATAACAATGGATTGTCCTAAGAGATATTATTATGAGTTGACAAACATCAACGCAAAAAAAATATACCCCTGGAGTCCGTTTCTTTTTAGATTTTTGAGAGGATGGTAGCTGGTCTGCCGATGGCAGCTCAAGCTGTGCTGTCTGGTCTATGTTGAGACTGGGAAGAGGCTTGTCCCAAAGGCTTGTGAAGTTGGGGGGCTCATTCTCATCAGACAAGAGTTCGGGCAATGAACGAGATACTGGAGATGAAGAAATGAATTGGGTGGATTGACGGATGACCCCACCATCTCGAATTCCATAGACACGATGTCATTGGTACTCAGTCTCCTCCTCCTGTACATCCACATATCACACGAGCTTTGGATGCTTGCTTGGTCGGGGCATTGAATGTTAGCATGCAAAGAGAAGGGGACGGGCATCTTACCAGGCACTAACACCAGGCATGATCATTCCAATGGAAACCTAAAGCTGCAACCAGTTTACCATTAAAGGGCATTGCCGAAGCTTCCAGGAGCTTGTACTAGTAAAAATTCAACAAATGTGAGTACACTTCCAAATATGCCGATGCAGCCGATGCACATTGATAGTATCAACCATCAGATGCCACAAGTGCTCTGGTCATCTGAGCAGAAAGTTGTTGGTTGGTTGAGTGTACCGATCAAGCATTCCAATGAGGTCACGTGCACTACACCACATGAAACATTTCATCTCTCAAGTGCAACTTGATGCAGTCATGTCACCAACCAGTGACCACCACCACCACGACCGAGAGCACAACCTGGGCAGACTACCTCTTCACTCACCTACCGTTTTGATCGCTGGTGAGTGTTTCGACTCATTTTATATATATGCTAGTGATAATTATAGAGCACGAAATGCCTCGCAGCACCATGTCCGACAAACACATCTAGTTATTCTGAGTCACCATCACCTCCGTCCTAAATTACACTAGCCTGAATATGCCAGTCAACAGATTAGTCCTTGACTACAATTCTCATGGTATGTATGTGGCTTTTATGCATACAGTCACTGATCATGCTCCAGGACACCAACAACAACATTATCCAGCCATCTGTCACCGGGCATGCACCAAACACTGCATGATCTTTGTTATTGCAGACCGTGTCGGTGTTGGATACTGCCGTTGTTCACCTTGCTTTACACTTCTTCATTGTCGTGTCTCTCATGTTGTATAACTATTAATTTTACTGTTATTGCTCGTTCTAAACTGCTTGAAGCATTCTGAGTTCATTGTGTGCAAGTGTCATATACCATATATCCGGTTACAGATCCGATGATCTGGATCTCAGATCCGATCCAGATCCGATGAACATATCCATCGTCCGGTCCACAGATCCGCTTTGATTCTTATTTCATTTCCTGTTCATATAACTCTAACTATCGTTCATCTCCTTTCGGTATTCCTGTACACCGGTATACTGGTTATCCTTTACTTCCGCTTTGCTTACTGATCCGCTATGCTTACTGATCCGCTACACTTACGAATCCGCTTTTACTTGTACTTCATTCCCGGTTCATGATTCGTGATCCATCCAACTTACCAATACGCTCCACTTAGACTTTGCTTATACTTTCGTACATAGCCTCGCACCTTTGCTTATGGATCATTCCATTAGCTATCCGTAGTATATAAACCTTTGTATATGCGCTGTAGTAGATCAGTTCGAATATCATCTTAGATTGCACTCATTCCGTCTGGACTCTGAGTCCCTCCGTTATCCATCCGGACTTGAGTACGCTACTCTTGTCTACTCCGAGACTTAGGATAGATTCCTATAGTCTACATATCCGCCTCTGTCTTCGGACAGTCCTCACCCGTTAGTTTCTAGTCCGGATCCGATCCGGATTGGCCGTTACTCTATACACGCGATATTTTAGCTCTCTGAAATAAGGGGCAAGACTCGGGAAAGGGGCACAGCGCACGAGCTGAGGCCGAAGCCCTTCGGATCCGATACTACTTGAGTACGGTCTTAACAGTATATTCGAACTCATACCTTTCCGAGTTACTTAACATCTATCATGCCTCCTACCAAGACACAAACAACTCTGCACGCGGTCGGACTAACCTCCCTCCGTCGTGATCCGACACCTATAGTCAACACCTTCACCAGTTTCTCTCAGCGCCGTGTTAGCGCCCACGGAACTGCTCAAACCATATCCGAACTCCTTAATCGTCGACACCCGGAAACCCCAACACGCACTCCTGCCGTAGGACCTCCGGACGATGATGATCCCGATGATGGTGATGATGATTTCCCTGGTAATCCACCCGATGATAACGGTGGTGATCCGGATGATGATCCGGATGTTGAGGATGATGAAAATGACGGTCTAAACCCACAAGACCGCGTTATGCTTCGACTCTCAGAAGCCATCGATAACCTTGCTCGCAATAATCGTCGCGCGCCCGCATCCGAAGATTCTAGAGTCAAGGTCCGAGAACCGGATACCTTCGACGGATCCGAACCACGGAAGCTCCGTGCGTTCTTTGTCCAGTGTGAGCTTAACTTCCAGAGCAAGCCTAAGGCTTTCCGTACCGGAAGGGCTAAAGTCAACTTCGCCCAATCCTACCTTAAGGGTATGGCCCTTGAATGGTTTGAACCGGATCTCCTGTCCGATGATTTGGACGACCATCCGGATTGGATGGATGACTATTCCGTGTTCATGCTTGAACTCCAAGCCAACTTCGGGCCTCATGACCCATCCGGTGATGCAGAAATGCAACTCGAACAGCTCCACATGCGCGATGGACAGCGCATCAACAAGTACATTGTGGAATTCCAGCGTCTTGCTTCACAGGTTCGTGGCTGGGACGACGGAGCCTTACGACGCCAATTCTACAACGGACTCCCGGCCCGTATCAAGGATGAAATCAGTCGCATGGGTAAACCCTCTACTCTTTCCGAATACAAAGTCCTCGCTCAGACTATCGACGCCCGATACTGGGAACGGAAGGGAGAGATCTCTCGAGAAGCTAAACCCACTTCATCCACTACCCCTAAGCAATCCGCTTCTGACCGGATGAACTCCAATACGTCCGGATCCGGAAATCACAAATCCGGAAACTCCAATGAACAGAAGTCTACAAAGCCATCCGCGTCCTCGAACTCGTCCGCTCCTAAGGTTCCGGATCTTACTTCCAAACTGGGTAAGGACGGAAAGTTAATGTCCGAAGAGCGGCAGAGAAGGATGGACAAGAAACTCTGCTTATTCTGTGGCGGACCCGGCCATACAGCTCGGGAATGCACCAAGTCTACTTCGCGTGCTGCCAAAGGCCGCGCTGCAGTAGTCGCTCCGGAAGTCAAACCGGATGTCTCTACTGAGACAAAAAAATAGTCCGCGACTCTCCTAGCTCCGTGCAGGAAGAGGGTCGCGTTGACTCTGCCTGCACAAAGGAGTTAAGACTCAACGCTGTCGCGCTCTCGGATCCGACTTCCCTCTGTCCATATGTTTCACTTCCGTTACTTCCATCCGTATCCGAATTTCCAGCTCTCTGAAATAAGGGGCAAGACTCGGGAAAGGGGCACAGCGCACGAGCTGAGGCCGAAGCCCTTCGGATCCGATACTACTTGAGTACGGTCTTAACAGCAAGGAACAACAAAATAAGTAGCTAGAATGTGTGCAGTATTGTACACACAGTTTGAATACAAGCGCTTCAGGACAAAATCCCTGACGACATGAGATGTATTGATGATCCCCACATAATTTGTAGGGTTTTCATCCGACCGAAGTGGGTTTTTGTCTGATCAATTTCATTGGAGCATTCAAGTTACTAGTACATTGAATCATCCAGCCATAATACAATGAGACCATGTTTGCGAAGTAGATACATTCTATATAAACACCAACTAAGACCCTTGCATGAAGGGACTTAACATTCATGTAGTAGCTATGAATGCACAAGTTATCGTCCAACCACACTCCAAAAGCAATCTGTACTTCTTTTCAACCAAAAGATCCTCAACCTCCCAACCAACACCATCATGGCACGTCCTCCCATTTACAAGACAGATCAGGCCAAACTAGAGGCATCTCGTGAAAGACGCAGACATCACTATGCAAAGTAAGTTATTATACATTTTATGGCCTTGCTAGTTCCTGACCAAGTAAATAAAAGAAACAGGGACAGTATACTGCAAAGGCGGCGAGAGCTTCACATCATCAAGCCGTCACAGGAGATATTGGAAATTCAAAAGCTCTTGCCAAGGCCTTGGGCTATGAAGATGATGCTACTGCATCCGAGACGGAGGCAGACGATGATGAGAATGACCAACTGTATGTGTCGACATCATATTTTATAAATAGATGAAATGAAGTGTAATCAATGACCCACAGATTCAATCTCCCAGAGTGCCTCCTTGCTATCAAAAACATCAAGGACAAGATGCTGGCATTAGTCCCAGAACCCTGCACATTTACGGAGGGTGTCCTCCTTCAGTATGTCAAAAGCCTTCCGGATGATGGGAATGGCAAGGGTGACACCTCGATCATCAACACTCCAAAACTTAAGGTTGAAGCCTTACTCCGCCGTGCAATTCCTGCGCAGGACCAGATCACAAATTTCTGTGGAGTGTCAGCTGCTGAGTCTCGTGCCGCTGAATCAGTCTCATGTTACTTAAACACCGTGCTTGGTTATCTGGAGGACATTCAGTATTTTTTGAACATTGAAGGGATTTCCAAGTTGACAATTGCGCAATCAATGGGAGAATTGATGTACCAGAAGGGCATCCATCTCTAAATTTATGTATTTCTTGATTCATTTGGTTCATACTTGTAATGCAGAATACAGTTTGCTGTTTGTTCACGCGAGATATCCGTGCTGCCCTTAACGCACTTGAGGATCTTCATACAGATGCCTGTGCTGTCGAGGATGATGTACTCCAACAGGAGGGAGTGGGAGGCACATTGGAAGAGGCTCGTCAGGCTAGCAAAAGTGTCCACCAGGTTGTTAGCTTTCAGTGATCAAGTACTTAGATACACAATATCTAGCATTTGAATTCGAGATCAATGTCATATTTTTTAGTTAGATTGAAGGTCAGTTGGCTTTGTCATGCAAGAACGCAAACACCGCACAACCTTCTGAAATAAAAAAATCTTTCTCATCCTATCCTTACGCACCGAAAGTTTATACCAACCCGCTAAAAAGTACGCAACATATTAATAAAATATCTCCAAGAGTGCCGCTAACCTCATTTCAGATGGCTCCTCGACGATGGGCATCACCAGAGGAGGAGGAATTTGGTGTACACGTTCTACGAGCAGTATCAACAGTGTCAAGCAAGGAGGGACTACAGTACCTTCTGGAAGCCCTTTTATGAGGCTTGGGGTGCCAAATTTCCTGAGCGGCTTGTTGTCTTTCCCAATATTCCTTTAGATGAAGATCTAAATGAGGAACAAAAGCAAATTGTTAGTAAAGTGTACGAAGAGCGGAAGCTGGTATGTACATCAGATACTTGCCTGCCGTCACCATATACTGACACGTTCCCGGCATTAGCAACTCATGCACAAGCTTTGTAATGACTGGGGTTCATCAAAGGCATCACGCAAAGCAAAGAATAACGGAGAAAAAACTTGCACAAGCTTGATCGCCAGTATCACAGCCCCACAGAGAGCCCATGCTTTGCAATCCCACGAAGCCTATTCTAAGCTGTATTTTGCGACCCGCGTGAAGCCCGCTGTAGATGCTGAGATGTAATGTCTTCAACATGTTGCAAATCTGGCAAAGTTAGGTAACGGAATGGACGAGAGGGGGGGAAAGGATATCGATGACACCACTGCTGACGATCCAACGAGTACCTCCATGGAGAAAGGTCAGCTTCCCAAGAGGATTGCTGTCATAAAGCGAGTAACACGGGAATTATACAATCGCGAGACCCCAGAAGTCAAAGCTGAAGTGGCGGCATATATCGAGCAGCTCAACAAGAAGAAAAGTCAGGACTCGGAGGCTGCGAAGATGGGGGAAGATATAGATCATCAAGTGTAACTCACCTTCCTTGAATGTCGATAACTTGACGGCAGCTGACTTTCATGTGCAGGACCATTGATTGGCTTGTCGACATCCTGGCAGAGTTCTTTCAAGAGCTTGAGCGACTCACAGGGTGGTCCTTCTCTGTCCTCATGGGTGGGCCCACACCTGCATTAGGAGGAAAGATCAATGTCAGCAGCTTCCATGTTGGACGTACCGAGATGGGGAACCTCTTTTCAGAAGCATATCCTCACTTCAATAGCATGATAATGAAACCTTGGGTAGAGTTTGTTAATCGCGCACATTGTAAGCGTGAAACTAACTTACCTCGCATATAAAACTGATGTTCTTCACAGCAACTGCTGCGGCAAAAGGACTTCGGAAAGATGGTGGCGTAGAGTCGATGAATGACACCAAGACTGTCGGCATTGAATCAATTGATCTCAGTCACATGGTTATGAATCACCATGTGACAAATACATTGGAGCAGAATCCCGCAATGTCCAACTCATCCAACTTGGACACCGCCGCCCTTCTTCCACCCCTTGATGAGTCAGACGAACTCAATATTCTCGCTGATGCCTTCTTAGCATCGCCCGAATATTCCCAACATCAAGCTTCAGCTTCATCTTCCAATACATATTCCTCCATCAATCCATATTATGATTTTTCTTGGATGCCGCTAGCATTGCAGCCGTCAGCAGAAAACCTCTGAACAGGGCAAGACATACGCACCTGGGCTCTTTCTACCCCAGCCTTCGCCTCAGACATGCCCTTCTACACTTCCATTCATGTGTGCTCCTAGTCAGACTATGGCACTCCTGCAAAGCTTGCCAGGAGTCCCTCCTTCACAGATCCCTGCGCAAAGCCCACCTGCCGCTCTTGCACAGAGTTCACCTCCACCGTCAACCATAAATTCCATAGGTCCCTCCATAGTCAGCATCCCTGTGCAGAGTTCACCTGTTGTTCCTCCGCAGGTCTCCATGGATGCTCATGAGACGAGTCAGATGATGGCACTCCCACAAAGCTTGCCAGGGATCCCTCCTTCGCAAATCCCTGCCCAGAGTTCACCTGCTGCTCCTGCCCAGAGTTCGCCTCCCCTGTCAACCATGAACTCTACAAGTCCCTCCGCAGTCAGCATCTTGATGCCGCTGCCTGTTGATCAATCTGTGGACTCGCCTGATGCAAGTCTTAGTGTCCCTCCTCCCCACACTTCCAAACGACGCAGACACCACGATAGCAACAAGAGCGAAATCTCTGATGCTCTGGTCACTGGCCGCTCTAAGCGGGTCCACGTGGGATCAAAGCGCAATGATATTGCGAATACCATCGGGCAACACACTACTAAGTCGGCTACCCAAAGGTGAGCCTTGTTTTGTTACAGAATCTGATCACTGACATGTTTAACAGGAAAAGGGCCTGACCTGACTAGATAGTTGTTGCGTACAATGTATTCAATATGTAGCTTGTTTCAATGAATATCATTTCTTGTCGTGCACATAACATTTTGAGACCTCAAAACAAAAGGTTCAACACCAGCAACTGCGCATGAAGACTTAAGTTTCATGATACCAGGTGTGATGTATTAGCTATGATTGTGGTAGCAAGGTGATACATCACACCTCGGTACTTGAAAAAATGCTATGTACGCTGGGGTGTATGATTGCAGTAGCGAAGTGTGATACATCACACCTCGCTACTTGAAAAAAAAACTGCCAAGTACACTAGTACTGGAATGACATCATTGCGGTACCGAGGTGGGATACATCACACCTTGGTACTTGAAAAAAAAAATGCCATGTACGCTGGAGTAATACATCAGCGTGTCTGCAGCGCTGAGGATCCTCATTGATGTATCAGCGAATATTAGCTACTACTTACTCATGTGTTTTATACTAGTGATGTATCAGCCCTACTGAACAGACTAATGCTGATACATCACTTGTCAGCTGTACCTACTGGGAGGATCTGTGCTGATGCGGCTGGTACCTGATGGGAGGATCTGCGCTGATGTATCACTCCGCCCACAAGCCCAGACCACTCACAACATTCGAGTAATGTATCACTCTTATCAGTACCTACTGGGAGGATCCGCCCTGATGTATTACTCCTACAGCCTATCAAGCCCAGACCACTCACAATGTTTATGTATCACCGTTTTATGACAATTGTCACGTATTTGATGTATTATTCTGACAGTATCGACTGATTCAAGTTCATCGCCAGCACAGGAAGATTCAAGCCAGTCTTCGGAGATGTAACACCCCCCCAACATCAGGAAATTCACACATTCCTTATTTTGCCCTTAAACAGACTTATTCACACTTAACCACCTTGTTGAAAGTGGATCTACTTGTCCGAAATTTCAACTTGAATGTATTAAGAAAAAAAATGTTGAGATGTATTAATGGACATGTTTTATTATGTTTCACATTAAAAAATACAAGATATGCCAGGTGAATGATGTGAGAGAGAGAAAACAAGTTTTGAAATAAGTGAGATAAGCTGATTAAGGACGTTAAGGAATGTGTGAATTTACTGATGAAGAGAAAAACAAGAAAAGAAACTAAAACGAACCATGTCTTCCCCCCCGCTGTAACCAATATCTTCTCACCTTAAGCTGGTGTTATCGTCCGCGCCTCGGCCAGGACCATTGTACAAGACCCACCATACATGAAAACGCATATAAGTAGATAGATTAGTAACTGCATGTATTGTCTAACATAGGGCTACGCTCCAACAGACAATAAACAAGGATCCCAAAAACAAAAAAAAATTCAATAGATTAGTGCATACTCGATCACGCAGGACATGATGTGCAGTGCTCGCAGAACAAGTTAATGTGATATCATGTGCAACTACGTCTACAGATTGGGGGGGGGGGGGAGGTGTGCGGTCTGATGAGAAACTAAATAAAGATCAAAAACCAACAAAGATCAAAAGGAATCGGGATAACACGCTGCATGATGGACAATCGAGCGAGACGATCTGAACTAATTTTGAACAACCCCATGCAGATGCCTATGCACACATTCTGCAACATCATTTTGAAGCTGCCCCTCGTCAATTGCCATGGGGGAAGGCACATTATTCCACATCGCATGTACAGCGTCCTGGCAAACAATGTAAACTCCCTTAGGAGAGATATTGTTGCTCTCAAGGTTCGTTTGCACATTCTGGTACGTTTTGTTGACGAACTCCCTCCGGGTTTCAGCTTGATTTGCTGGAAACGAGAACGTGTCTTGTCGTCAGCACTACAAGGGTCGAACCCTCGTGGCATCTTGCCCAACGCCATGTTGTTGATGTGCTGGTCTGACTTCGAACGAACAATGAACACCTCAATGTTGGTGAAACTGCTCACAGGCCCGGAGAATGGCGAGGTCGGAGTCCAAGAAACGATTGTCGATTAGCACAATGATGCAATCGAAGATGTAGAGGCCTAAATTATTGAAGTACTGCCAGTCAGGCACATTCTGAGTGCCCGCACCGGGAACGTCGTACCAAAAGATCTGGGAGCCTGGGCGTGGATCAGTGTATCTCGTGACCGCATCGGTAGTTTCGACAACCTCCACAGGAGCAGCGATGGGGTCATTGTTGGACAGGCCCCGGACGGCATTAATAAAGGATGACTTTCCGCCTCCAGAAGAGCCAACGACCGCGAGGTGGAAGAAGCCCGGGCTGTAACGATACTCGGCCCTCACCCGAGCAATATCCGCCTCTGACGGAAGGCACTCGGGGCGAACTCCTTCAAACCACCGACGCTCTGTCGCGAGCCTTGCTTCCTCTGCTCTCCGAAGAGCTTCTGCAGCTTCAGCTGCCGCTCGTTCGGATTCTCGCTGACGATCTTCCACCGTTCTTCTTACTCTTTTTTCTTCTTCAACATCGAGCCTTGCCCTATTTAGTGATTTTGACATTTTGTCTCGCTCCTCGGTTGCCTCCCAACGTTTGTATGCCAAGAAACCTATAGGAAGGAGTGAAACCGCGACGGGTGCTGCAACAGCGGCAGTACCCAGGCCAGGAATAGCACCTAGTAGGCCTGCGATAGTACCTAGTATGCCTGTAATAGCACCTAGTAGGCTTGTAATAGTACCTAGTAGGCCTGTAATAGCACCTAGGCCTGTAATAACACCTCGGCCAGGGGGCATGCTGCACCAACAAAAGAGAGGGGGAGGATTGACGCTGAGAAGGGCTGTGCGCTAACGTGTTCTCCGTCTACGTGCGGTGTGACCTACTAGTAGTAGACCAAGATTAGCTAACTATGGAATGCGAAGCTTGAAGGTTCGCTCACCTTGATGAATTGTAGTATTGTGGAAACAGTGACAATTCGCCGAGAACTCTGCAGGGAGGGTAAACGAGTCGGACACGAGTAGCAAGGGGGTTCTTATAGTACTTGTGGAGACGAACACGAGGCCAGCACGAATCGGACCTAACGCCAGAAGCTTCCATTAATGTCGTCGGCAAGCTGTACAGTTATCCCATAGCTTCTAATGTGTACTCAGTTTCGACGCATCTTGGCCCATCCCAATAACCGTCGGACGCATGGTAGGTCACGGTAGATAACAAAGCCCTGTCTCAGCTTGTCGGTACGTCGAATGACATTGATTATCACTCATGACTGACAGATGTCTCTATATTTAGCCTTCTTCAGGCCATCAAAACGTGTCTGCGAGTACATGCGAACTTTTAGCTTACCATGTCTACCATCACCGCTAATACCCGTCAATATCGAGCATTGCTCCTTAAGTCTCTAGCGTCTGTCTAAAATCAGCAGATAAACGTAGCCTCGTGAGTAGTGAGTTTGACATATTGTCGTTGCTTCAGAGCTTGACTCATTTTTCATGATCGTCTTCTCGCCAAATACGGGGATTCTTCACTTTGACATGCTATGCATGGCTTATCAGTTGACATGTATTCGCGTGTGGCATTAATATTGCCCTCTTTGACCTGCTATTAATTCGAGGTATTTCATAACCGCATACCACGCACTCATACAATAGATTAATGCATACCTGATTACGCAGGACATGATGCACAGTGCCCGCAGAACAAGTTATGAGCAAATTATGTTATGCGAGGATAGCCTTGGAACGTATCCCAGCAAATGACGCAGTCATAGGTATATCGTCCCATACTGTCGTCACATCCAGAGGTCTGTCGCAATGTTAATGCTGTTTCATGCTATCCTGCGAATTGGTGTATGCGCGCAACGAAGTGTCTGTGTTCCGTGCCGAGGATCCAGTGCTCAGTATTGTGCGTGTCGCCTCTAGACACTGGAAGGGACCATTCAAACCTGTCAGACAAGGCAGTAAAATAACATTTTTCGAGGCGATTCGTCTCTGAACTATACAATTTCAAATAAGAGGAGCAGCGATTGTGATGCGCAGTGTGTGGTTGACGCGGTCTACCCTAGGCCCACATGGAAGTGACGTGCAACGTGTTAGTACTAACTGATTGCTGCCGGAGAGAACGAGAAGGACACCTGGCAGGTCCATTGACGAACGTATTAGCCATAAATGATGCTGCCTGAAGGAGTGTCATGGTCTTCATCGATGCTTCATCACATATTCAGCCATTGTCAGAGCTAGGAGCATCAGCTGCAATGTTGCGCTGCAAATCTACGCGTGAGATTTCGCAGATAGCGATAAAAATGAAGCTACCGCGCCTGTTCACCCTTTGCACACGGAAACATCGACTATGGGAGGCGGTGTATCCTGCACAAAAAGGCCGCTGGGTTAATAGGCGATATATGCGTGGTTGGAAGGCGATGGGTGCAGTGACAGAGAATAGGTGGGCGGCGCTAGCGTACGCTGAGACTGAAATACATATGCGATGTGATAATTGCAGGAGAAGACACACTCACATTCCCGCGGGCACCTGAATACGTCTGAGTTGCGGCCTGTGTCAAGGGAGAGGGGTTAAGATGTAGCAGAGAACTATATAGGATAATCATTGAGTCAATTGCCGGGAGGAACAAGATAAAGACACGTACATCTAGAGGATCGCGTGGTTGATTGCGTGAACAGAAAGGACTGGGTTTGTGCGAGGTGATAAGTGCAGAAGTTTGCGCAGGTGGGGAATGACAATAAACGCTGCGGGTCTATTGTAGGCAGATGTCTTGGGGGCATAGGGCAAAGGATAGTGTGAAAGGGAGCATCGCTATGTTAGACTACAATGATCATTCTTTCATCAGTAGAGAATTAATGGGCGACATACTTCAAGTATGTAAATGCCCGAGTGTTCGGTCGATCTTCAAGCGAATATTAGTGCCCAGAAGATGTATAATGGATAGACACACCTGGTGAGGTTCGCTTACCGCGCAGGCCTGTTGAACCGGAGCAAGGATTTGGTTGTGGAGTCTGGGGCTGCAACTTGCAAGTGAATGTAGCAAAGGATGACGTGTAAACTCGAGTCTCAACGTTGATTTTGAAGAACCGAAATTTCCACTGAAGACACTTTATGTAAAGGGCTGCTCAAGTCAAGCTCAAGTTGTGCTCAAGCCATATTTCTGAAAGTGCAATGTGCATAGGATGTTGCGGTTTAACGTTTACCGGCGGAAGCTAATTAGTAGGAGTTCCCGGATTGACCCGGTGACCTCAGGTGGGCGCTTCATTTGACCACCAACCAATTAATGTGATTTCTAGATCTATTCTCATTCGAAATCTCCTTCAACTCTGTCCTGGAGCATCGCTCTCAATATCTCATCCAACCAGCAGGCATATGTCACGGTGCACACCTTGAATAGAATGAGTACATGTTCTCGCTTTCTACCGTACCTAGCTATAATTACCAGCCGCATTGTGCCAGTGTCCATGTCCCAACCGTGACATGTGTACTAGCACAATTCCAGGAGCCATCAAGATTTATAAAATAACCTAACGACTGTCTTAATCCTTTTATTCAATGGGTCTGCATACAGATGACTAGTAATACCTGTTGGAGTGGTTGACTTTTGACGATGAGGTGAGTCGATTTCTGGCAACTGATGCCAGTGCCCAGCCGTTGATGTCTACCCAGCTCCCTCCTCTAGCCGCCTTCCCTCATGCCAACGCCCATTGACCCATGTTCTTATCGCCTCGCGCCCAAAACTGACTCACAAACAGGCAGGATCAAATTCTCGTTGCCTTTCGGAGCTTCTTACGAAGCTCAGCCTCAGGTGCGTCTTTCATCATTGGATTCCACGTTCGCTCATTACCTCGCTGGAATCCTAGCAGATCACTTCCTATGACTACGCCACCGTTCAGTATTTTGCATCCACACCAAGCTCCGCAATCGCAACCATTTTTCCCCGCACGAACTTAAGCAACCGGTATCCTTCATCTCAGGAGCCGTGCAGCGAGCACGTTCCTTCATATGTAGCCCCGCCATACACCCTACATGCATCTTTGTCTGAAGACGAGATTCAGACGGCGGTTTCTTTGCTGCGAAAAAAATCTGTGGCTGTGGACTTAGCTTCGAGACTTTATGATCACACGAGCGCTGCTCGTTTTGCGCACCACCGGTTGCATTTGCCTTGCATCACATTCCCTGTCACAGAAGTCAGCCTGAGGCCCAGTCGAGACCAGGACACATGTGTATGCAGTCAAGTCAGACGATGGGGCTCTGGCATGGAGATAATTAATATGTAGAGTCATTTATCATAGACTGACAATGAATATTTATAGATCTAGTCCTACAGTGGGCTCCCAATCGTCGATTTTGAGAACGGCTTCGATAAAAAGGTGAGCAAGGTTGGACTCGGCGTCGTAAGGACGGTTCAAAACGTTCAACGTTCAAGAGTCTCCTAAGTCGTGGTAGTTATATGCCAACTGATTGTTTATGTTTGTTTACGCGTCTCTAATTTGCTTGGGCCTTCCTTTGACCGTTTGACGCGATGGTGCTGGATTTGCAGAGGGTACAACTATTGTGTTTTCTGGATTTCGTGGATACTCAGGTACCTGCACAGTCTGTGAGCTGTGGACGGACGACATGGGAGTATAAATGTGCAGAATGTCGTCAGGCTCCTCACTGCTAAGCCTTCTACAATTCAATGGTGAGCAGTCCGAATCTTCCCCTCTCTTTTCACCGCTGACAAGTTGTCCAGCCTGAATCTACCGCATCTCCGCACGTGAGCTTGCACCTTCCTCCTGACTTCTCATCCTTTGGAGATGTTTGCGTTGAGTCGGATGCCACCAACAACACCGCCGACTCAAAAGACGATCACACCCACTGCTTTCAGTGACGATTCCCTTACAGAAGAACAAATACTTGATTCAGCTCCAAACGAGATCCGTCGCCTAAACCGTTTGCGTTTAAAGGTGAAGCGCCCGCCCATTTCCCAAGAATGAGTCGAGTGTCCAGTACAGTGCCATGCTTACATATAGATTGTCTGACTTCTTCACGGAACCTGGGCAACATGAGTTTTGCCTTTATTCACATACGATAGTGAGTGGATTGGACACCGGGGGGTAGCACGCCGCTACGATATGGTACATATAGTAGACAGGAGTATGAATCAGTCAAAAACACGTTCGGAGAATGTGATATCATGTACGTAGATCTACAGATTGAGAGAGAGGTGTACGGTCTGACGAGAAAATACATAAACAATAACTAAAAGGAATTGGGATAACGCGCTGCGTAATAGACCATCGAGCTATGTAGACAATCTGACCAATTCTAGAACATCCTAATACAGACGCCTACGCACACATTCTGCAATATCATTTTTCAGCTCTTCTTCGTCAATTGCCATGGGAGAAGACGAGTTATTCCATACCGCACGCATAGCGTCCTTGCAAACAATGTAAACTTTCTTAGGAGAGATATTGTTCCTCTTAAGATTCATTTGCAAATTCTGATGCGTTTGGTCGATAAACTTCCTCTGGGTTTCAGATTTAATTTGTTGGAAACGAGAACGTGTCTCGTTGACAACATTCAAAGGGTCGAACCCGCATGGCATCCTGTCTGACGCCATGTTGTTGATATGCTGATCTGACTTGGAGCGAACAATGAACACCTCAATGTTGGTGAACTGCTCACAGGCCCGGAGAATGGCGAGGTCGGAGTCCAAGAAACGATTGTCGATCAGCACAATGATGCAGTCGAAGATGTAGAGGCCCAAGTTATTGAAGTACTGCCAGTCAGGCATATTCGGAGTGCCCGCACCGGGAATGTCATACCAAAAGATCTGGGAGTCTGGGCGTGGATCAGTGTATCTCGTGATCGCATTGGTAGTTTCGACAATCCCCGTACGAGCGGCGATGGGGTCATTGTTGGACAGGCCCCGGACGGCGTTAATAAAGGATGACTTTCCACCTCCAGAAGAGCCAACGACAGCGAGGTGGAGGAAACCTGGGCTGTAGCGATACTTGGTCTTCATCCGAATAATATCCTCCTCCAATGGGCGGCACTCAGAGCGAACGCCTTCAAACCACCAACGCTCTATCGCGAACCTCGCTTCCTCTGCTCTCCGGAGAGCCTCTGGAGTTTCAGCTGCCGCCTGTTCAAATCCTTCCTGACGCCTCTGTGCGTTTTCTGCTGTTCTTTTTGCAGCACAATTGGCTCTTTTTTCTTCTTCCACTTCGCGCTTCGCCGTATTTACTGATTCTGGCATCTCGGCTAGCTCAATTTTTAACTGGAGATTGTGTCTCGCAGCTGTAAAGAGGAGTGTAGCGGGGAGGCATCCTCGAGCAACAGCACCTAGGCTGGTAGTAAAACTTGGGCGTGGAACTGGACCAGCATCATTGAACATGTTGCACCAACGAAAGACTCGGGGGGATTGACACTGAAAAGGGTTGTGTGCTAACGTGTTCTTCGTCTTCGTGCGGTGCGACCCACTACTATTAGTAGACCAACATTAACTGACTATGGCCTGCGGACTCAGCTTGAAGCTTCGCTCACCTCGATGAATCAGTGCAGTTCTGTGGATACAGCGATGAGGAGAGGCTCTGGAGGGTGAATGATTCAGACACAAGAACTTGAAGCGACTCCGAGTCAGTGAGGTCTTATCATAGTACTACTTAAAGGGACAAACACGAGGCCAGCACGAATCAGACAGGCACTAGGAAAGTGCTGCGCCAACGGGTCCGACTCACCCCCACGCTGTCACCTTTCTTTGTAGACTCGCGACCAGCCCCTCTGAGATCTATGAGGCAAGCCGTCGATATCGGAGGTGTCTGCACCGAGGCTATACTGTCATATTTATTAATACAAATCCAGGGATTGTAGAACACAGGGTATGCATACTTACGTGGGATCCCCGAACCCACAGAGTATGCATACACGCTGCGAATCTTTACAGGAAGTTGACAGGAAGCTTCGCTAAGCTTTCAATTGACTTGATGGTTATTTTTACTACTGAGGATAATTATAGAAACATCCTTGCTTCTGCTTTTTCGGTACCTGCCCCAATTCTTAAGTTGACAAGTCAAGTCCCACCGTGCCTTAGAGCCGACCGGGTGAGGCTCCATTTGGGTACCGTGCGCGCTTACTCCGCCTTATCATCGTCACACAACACAGTGGGATATGTCATACAAGCGCGGGGGGGCAGGCACGAATCTTTCAGCGCGGAGAAGAGATCTAAGATCGAACAAAGGTACATTAGAAATCTCCGATGCATGGCCAGGGTTGGCCCGCGGGGTGTGGCAGTGTGTACCGTGCCACAGATGCATACCAGGTAAAACTTTACAAATACCTTTGCAGGATCTTTGGGATCTGCCCGGGTAATTTGTGTTCGATCAAGCTTGCAAAATATCTCTCGTAGCTACAACATCCAAGAAAATTTTATTCTACTTGTACAATACATCATCTATAGGCACTCTGTACATGCTTGGATTTTTTCAGTGCCGGCTGATCATGGCGTTGAAGTGCTATGAACATTTTGCGTATTAGGTACCCTTTGCAGATTGGTGGGAAAGCGAGTTCCCAGATTCAATATAGGCGCTTCATTTGACCACCCACCATTCTGAACCAACGACTGTGATTTCTAGATCTATTCTCATTCGAAATCTCCTTCAATTCTGTGCTGGAGCATCGCCCTCGATATCTCATCCAACCAGCAGGCATTATCCCCTTGAATAGTATGAGTACATGTTCTCGCTTGCTACCGTACCTGGCTACCAGCCGCATTGTGCCAGTACCCATGTCCCAACCGTGACATGTGTACTAGCACAATTCCAGGAGCTATTAGGATTTATAAAACAACCTACTGTTTTAATCCTTTTATCCAACGGGTCTGCGTACGGATGACTAGTACCTGTTGGAGTGGTTGGCTTTTTGAATTGACCGTCGTCCTCGAATCTCGATCGCGCACTCATCAAATCCGATACCTCCTACATCTCATACCAACTCACTCACCCTATCTACGATGCGCACCATTGACGCTGACCACTTTATCTGCCGGATAAAGAACGAAAATCAACGATTAATCAACGTCGACCTTAATCGTCTCAATACCCCTTCGCCATAACCGACAATCGTGGTACAAAGAGCCCAGCTGTCAGATATAGATATGTTATTCAGTTTCTTGTGGACTCCTACTGCTGATCTTCTTCGCAGATCTCGACTTTCATCTGCTCCTCCCTGACGTCTGGCCAAAATGAATGACACCTCGACAAACCCACGACGCCATCCACGATCCTACTATGGTTGATACCAGCTTCTGGTGGATAACTCCCCCTGCACTTCTGAATAACCTGGAAAGGCTACATGATCAAATTTAGAGCTCGATCTCCCCATCAGTAGCAAGTAGCACTGACGAATAAGAAGTACCTGCTATCTTCTCGTACCCAGAAGGATAATGATGAGTTTTGTATGCCCGCCATAGAAGTTTTACTCAATCCGGCGATTGGCACGTCTGTGCAGAGACGTACATTTATAAATATGAATCTTGATAGCTTGTGACTCCCAAGCTGATCTCTTCTGACATGAACCGTACAGCCTCGATATCGTCAAGCATGCAGGCAACGGTTGTCGGATACGCCAGCGTAAACAATGGAATTTCCAGGCTGTTGATTTTATTCCCAACCTCCTTGTAGACACGCCTGTAAACGAGTCCCTGCAGGAACGATCAGAACTTCAAGCCAACGACAACTCACTACTGCTAGTCGTCGTGCCAGCCTTGCGGAATGTGCAAAGAGCTATCGCAGAGGTATCCTCATTCTGTCATGATATCAGCTTGCAGCACGCTGGAGTTCCTTCGCTGTGGATGATCTTGTCAAATTTCAGATGTCAGAATGAGTCGATCAGCACGTTTTTCTGTCTCTGTGCAAGCTGGTAGCCACTGAATCACATACTCTTCAAATGAAAGACTACGGCTGTCATGAGAACTTCGATTTTGAAGTAATCATCTCGGCGCTGACGGTGATGATATCTCAAAACAGGAACATCGAAGCGCCTGAGACACCTACTCAACATCTGCATGAATCTTTATGGGCGCAACCATGTCTCTGAGGAGTTTTCGGTACTTACGCGCACAAATCAGCAGCAGCATTTGAGTTTCACCCAGTCTACTATTCAGCAGGTCATTCAGTCGGACAAATATAAATTCAAACTCGGCACTAGGTATAAAATTGCCAGGGAATCAAAGAATCAAAATGTATACTCGATATTGCAGCAATAAATTGATCGTTACACAGAACTAGAAGGATTGATGTTAGCAACTACGAGGACGGACGGCAAAGACTAAGAACTCACGCATCTCGGCAACTCGACCAGCGTGTCCATGTGCCATGCGGCTCAAATCAATCTCAGGACCTCCTCTCGGAATCACCATTGCAGTGCCAGGAGAATAAAACGGGTATCGGGAAGCTGGAGGTACCCAGAAAAGGAGCCGATGATTGGGTCCCATCATCCATCCATCAATTTGCAGCAAGAAAGGGGTTGAATTAGAATTATGATGAGAGGTGGGTGCAAGCAAGTCAGCGGGGTCGGGCAGGGCGTGTTCCAGGCTGGATGAGAAGCAAATGAGGTGATTGTTTATAAGTGTTGGTTGGCATGATACGGTTGTCTTGGGGTGGAGGTGTGGTGCTTCGATGCAGCGAATATGCGGAAGAATCTGGCTCTCTGGACTCGGGAGATGGTTGCACTTTCACTGCACTCCACAGACAGACAGTATTATCGTCCGAACCAGACATGATGCGAGTACTATCCGGGGAGAATACCACTGAGCGAACACCGTCGGTGTGCCTCTGCAAGGGCTCACCCAATGGCTGTCCCGTCACTGCATCCCACAGCCGCACAGTTTTATCGGAAGAACCAGATGCGATGCAAGTACCATCTGGTGAGAACGAGACCGACAAAACTTGTTCAGTGTGCCCCTGCAAGGGCTCACCCAATGGCTGTCCCGTCGCTGCATCCCATAGCCGGACAGTCTTATCCTCCGAACCAGACGCGATGCGAGTACCATCCGGGGAGAACGAGACCGATAAAACCATTTCAGTGTGCCCCTGCATGGGCTCACCCAATGGCTGTCCCGTCACTGCATCCCACACCCGCACAGTCTCATCGGTAGAACCAGACGCGATGCGAGTGCCATCCGATGAGAACGAGACTGACCAAACCCCTCTAGTGTGCCCCTCTAAGGGCTCGCCCAATGGCTGTCCCGTCGCTATATCCCACACCCGCACAGTCTTATCGAAGGAACCGGACGCGATGCGAGTGCCATCCGGTGAGAATGAGACTGAGGTAACTGTTCCAATGTGCCCCTGCAAGGGCTCCCCTAAAGACTGTCCCGTCGCTGCATCCCACACCCGCACAGTATTATCGAAAGAACCAGACGCGATGCGGGTACCATCCGGTGAGAACGAAACTGATAAAACCCCGTCAGTGTGCCCCTCCAACGGTTTACCCAATGGCTGTCCTGTCACTGCATCCCACACCCTCACAGTCTTATCCTCCGAACCAGACGCGATGCGAGTACCATCCGGGGAGAACGAGACCGAACAAACCAGTCCGGTGTGCCCCTGCAAGGGCTCACCAAATGGTTGTCCCGTCGCTGCACCCCACACCCGCACAGTATTATCCAAAGAACCAGACGCAATGCGAGTACCATCCGGTGAGAACGAAACTGACAAAACCTCGTCAGTGTGCCCCTGCAAGGGCTCACCCAATGGCTGTCCTGTCGCTGTATCCCACAGCCGCAGAGTCTTATCGTAAGAACCAGACGCGATGCGAGTACCATCCGAGGAGAACGAGACCGACAAAATCCCTCGAGTGTGCCCCTGCAAGGGCTCACCCAATGGCTGTCCGGTCGCTGCGTCCCACAGCCGCACAGTCTTATCAAAAGAACCAGACGCGATACGAGTACCATCTGGTGAGAACGAGACCGACAAAACCTGTTCAGTGTGCCCCTGCAAGGGCTCACCCAAAGACTGTCCTGTCGCTATATCCCACAGCCGCATAGTCTTATCCAAAGACCCAGACACGATGCGAGTACCATCCGGTGAGAACGAAATTGAGGTAACTGTTCCAATGTGCCCCTGTAAGGGCTCGCCCAATGGCTGTCCTGTTGTTGCATCCCACAGCCGCACAGTGTTATCGAACGAACCAGACGCGATGCGAGTGCCATCTGGTGAGAATGAGACTGACCAAACCCCTTCAGCGTGCCCCAAGGGCTCACCCAATGGCTGTCCCGTCGCTGCATCCCACACCCGCACAGTCTTATCCTCCGAACCAGACGCGATGCGAGTACCATCCGATGAGAATGAGACTGACCAAACTCCGTCAGTGTGCCCCTGCAAGGGCTCTCCTAATGGCTGTCCCGTCGCTGCATCCCACACCCGCACAGTCTTATCCTCCGAACCAGACACGATGCGGGTCCCATCCGGTGAGAACGCGACTGAGCGAACCACTCCAGTGTGCCCACTGATTACGATCTGAACTACAGTCCAGTTCAAATTACGGCCGGACGCTAGACGAAGGTTGTTCGGAAACCTTGTAGTAAAATTGGTAGCCACGGTGGAGTTAATGGGTGAGAATGGCAGCGCTGATAGATACAGATGCGGTGTGCTGTGCAAAATCATGCCGCCAAACACTTGAATGAATCTCTGTACATCCATCGTGGTGGATCGCAGATCTTCGTGTCCAGAATGGCCCTGTATTTATTTATGAGCTGTTCGTCCGATACTGCCTCATAGCCATGTGCTCACCTTCAGCCACTTGGCAACGAGTGGAAGCACAGTAATTGCACCGCTGATTGCATTGAGAAGGCCGAGTGCTTCAATCCAGAACAACAGTCGCTCATCGTCGAAGAATGATCTAATCGTCTTTGCAAGCTCATCGTCGAAGTCCGTTTTTCGAACATGTGTAGCCCAATATCGACAGGAATAGGAGAGATGTGGGGGAATGGATGTTTTGATTCGTTGAGGCAGTCCAGTATCTTCATGATTAGGGAGGTATGATGACTTTAAATCACATATATTGAAGCGAAGGCTATGTTCCATCACTCGAAGTGACGCCAACGCTAAGTCGTGGTGTTGCGTCTTCGTCACCCTCGACGAAAAAGTCTCCGCTGGATAATTTGTCTGTGAGGAACTCTTGGAAGGATGCGTGAAGGGGTCTGACGGGGATGCCGGGTCCGTTGTGCCACTGAGGAGAGATCCCATATGTTGTACGATGTCCACTTTGTAATGTTTGCTGTGGTTTGGAAAACAGTCCCGCATGGCGTCGAGAGACTCGAACGGGAGGGGTTCAGCCGTGCTGAGTATTTGTCCCATCACGGAACGAAACTCATCTAGTGCTTCCTGGTACTCGACATCGCCATACCGATGTCGTGGCCAGATTTCTGCCAAAATAAGCCGATACATATCATACAGCTGTTTGTCCATTTCCCAGGATCGCGGTTCACGACAGTTTCAAAGCGAGACCTTGGGTTTACGCCGGGGAGGTCTTCCTTGATGTATTCGCATGCAAGACGCGCCCACTCGAAAAGTCCATCGGCTTTCGCAGCAAGGTTTGCACATTCTTTGTCCTCAAAACGCGACAGACCTTGTAGCTTGTCAGATACAAAGCGCAGATGTCGCGCTCCGCCACTGCTGTTGGAATCTCGTCCATGGATAACCGTAGAGTATGCTGAACACCGTGAAATGCATCTTCGATGTCATGAAGTGGACGAGAGGGTAACGAGAATCCGAAAGTTGGATGGAAGTTCTGTGATTTTGGGAAAACTTTTGTTCTGGAGTTTACCGGTAAGTATGCGGAGAAGATCCCGTCGCGTCTCCACCCCGCCGCTCTCGTCCAGCGCCTCGATCACGATCAAGACAGGTCCCACACTAGGACCTAGAGAATTTCTTCAGTGGTTCCATGAAAAGCTTTCTCCCACTGCTGGAAAATATCCCTGGAGTTCTTGAGCGACGTGGAATTCTTGACTGCAATCCGCCAGTGATCGTCTCATCTCTGGATCACGATCCGCTAGGTCACGAGCGATGGTGGAGAAAACTTTTTCGTGGTGTTTCTCGGCTTCTTGGGCCTTGTCGAAGCAGAAACAGGAACCGAGCACTCCCATGTCATTGAACCACTTGGCAATCGTGTGAGCGATGGCTGATTTGCCCGTGCCTGCAGGGCCAGATAGCCACAGCACACGTTCAGCAGCATCTCCACTGCCATTGATCCAATCCGTAATCTGGGAGAGAATCTCCGTGCGCGTCCCTGGTAGGCACTGTTTCATAGTATTTAGCCCTACGCCCTTTGCATAAGCGATATCCCCGAGATCCAGGGTATCGCCTGAAACGGTGTGAGTGAATGTATAGACAGGAGCGTGTCAGAATTCTTACCCGAACGTTGAACGAAGACGGCCACGTCTCGATCAACCTGGTCCCGGAATTGTTGCATGAGTTCGTCCAGAATGTTGCTGTACTGATTAATGATGGCATCAGTTTCCGAGAGAACAGTTTTCCCAAGTCTCTTCCCTATGATAATAGTATAAGATTCATGTACGAAGTGCGATAGCTCGGTGACTCACAAAAGCTCTTCGTCTCAGAGTAGTCCCTGATGAAACGGGCGCACTCAAGAGTCTGCTGAACGATCTTTCCAACAATCTCGCACAGCGATTCAATTTTGCCAAGATTGTCATCTTGGGTCATGAAGCGGTAAACTTCAGCCAATTTCTTGAGAAGACTATTGATTGATTGGTCACGCTCTGCTTGAGCGATGATAGTCTACATGGAATTATGGCTTCTGAACAGGAGACAGAACTTCGGGAGACACTGAACGTACCTTGGATGCAGCAGAGAGCACACCAGCGCCATTTTTGCGTACGGATGTACCTATACAACTTGATTAGTCCGCTTCCTATCAACAAGAATGACACATACATCCGTAATCTTCTCAAGGACAGCATCGATAATCTTTAGAGGTTGGAGATATGTCGTCTCGAAATCATCCATAGCAGCGAGACCTGCTGAGGCATTGCTGGCAGCGGACGCCACAGAAGTCGCATGTCCTCCGAGTAGCCTCATGCTTTTCGTACCCCTCACGGGCACCCTGAAGTTCAGCATCAACTAATTGGAGATCAGGACCTTCCTCCACGCCAGAAGGGGCAGCCCGAACCTGCGCGAACGCCGAAATTTAGAGAAGGAAAAACAATCAACAGATGAAAATACCTGTAAAGCAGGTATTCCGGACAACCCTTGATTCACGGAGTCACAGGGAATCTCAGATGTGGTGGTATGCGACGCGTCCTAGGCGCCTCTAAGATAACTGAAGGACCGGGGATAACGAGTTTAAGCACTTACCTCGACTTCTTGGTTCGATGAAGCGCCTTCAAGTTCGACGTTCTGGGCCACAGTGGTGCGGTTGCGTGTTTGCTTGAAGGGTTTCTGCATGATCTCAGCTGTATTCAGGACAATCAGCATTCGTGTCTACGCACAGGAAGTTTTTTCGTTATGCCATTTTTCAATTTCCGCAGGGACTGACCAACTCCTCTAAGAGGTTTGGCGCTCTGGGCGAAAAATATATGAGGGCTGCGATGGATTACAAGAGACCACGTACCCAGCTTTCACGAACATTTGCTTGGCTGGATCTGGAGGCTCCTGAAGGAGGATCGGGCCTATGGTTTTCACTCATTGCGAGTAGTCGTAGATTTGGATTGGTGTGAGAGAAATGGTGAGATACACTGTGAGAAGGGAATGGGCGTCTCATCTTTTGCAACTGTCCTTCGAAGCATAGCCAACACGTTAACTTGTTACTTGAGGCGCTAATCATTCAGCCGCGCAATTCCCGCCAGTTTATAGCGGCGGGCGCATCACAGTGCACGATAACGATGAAGCATCGAGAGAACCCGGTCTACTCCAGATTTGAATTGTACTTACATCAGTGCCTTAGATATTAACATCGTCAAAGTTGGCCCGGAGCCTGCATTCTTATGTGGTGGCGTTTAAAGTCCCATTCCAGCTGTTCTAACTTCAAGCATACAAGGAGACCGGTGCATTGGATGAAACGATGGTGCCGATATTGACAAGGCGGTTCCGCCGCAAGTACTGTCATAATATGATATAATAGTAGAACTGCGAGACTGCCAGTGCCAGTGGACGTGACTCGGACTCGTGTGACCGACTCCGAGTCGGAAGTGACATCCATCCATCAAGGCATCACGTGGAAATCATTGCCACTGTACGTTGTGCATATTCTGCACGACAAAGTTGAGACATAAGCTCTTGTAGGCGTACTCTTGCAAGATCTTATGTCTCGACTTTGTCTTACAATACCGTAACATTTTCTTGCGTCAGTCTCTATATTCATGATTGAGACTCGAGTAGTTCACATTCAACGTGCCGCGGAATCGTTGGTACAAAATGAATTTATCGATATGATATCAGGCCTGAGCACGCCTCACCACTGGCAAGCGTCTGACTCATCATTTAGTATTCACCCCGGCCAGAGACTAGTGGAGATACACCAGTAGCTTCAGATGCTCAAAAGTGTGTCATACAAACTTTGTTATCGCTGCCCTTGCTAACAGACATCGAAGTTTCATGACGTAGATGATAACCACCGCGTTGTTAAGTTGCCACTTAGCCGCCCTTTGACTGGATAATGGTTAATTTGCATGCACTATGGAAAAGGGAAAACTATTGTGGTTTGTGGCCTCAGTGGCTAGTCGGCACATGCACAGGTCAATGCTTGTGGACGGAAGACATGGGCAGTATAAATGTGCAGAATGTCGTTATACTCCTCACTGCTAACCCGTCTGCAATTCAATGGTGAGCAGTAATCTTCCCCAGTGTTCTCTCCGCTGACCGATCGTTCAGCCTAAACTCTACCAGCACCTTCGTACATGAGCCTGCACTTTGGCCTCTTTGAGGACGATTGCGTCGAGTCAGATGCCACCAATAGTTTTGCCGACCCAGAAGATGAGCACACGCTCACTGCTTTTGGTGAACTCTCCCTCAGCCAAGAAGAAATGCTTGGATTCGCCTCCAAATGACATTCGTCACCGTAATCGATTGCGCTTGAAGAAGAGACGTAAGAGTGCCCAGTACAGTCCGCAGGTGCGCATTGGGTTTATTATATGGTTAGTTGCACTCTTATTGACCGCTTCACGATAGATTCCGGGTGGAAAATTCTGGGATCCATTGACGTCTTCACTAGTTTCGACTCCTCTAACACCTGCCGAGTTTTTCAATGGATTTAGACACTCCGTGCGACGTGCTTTTCAGCTTGCACAAGCAGAAGCTGCCAAGGCTGAAGCCCGACCTCGTGCAGCTGAATCAGGAGAGTCAACCTCCAGTAACTCGAGTGCTTCCTACGATTACGAATCGGGGCAGTCGGTCATCGTAAAGGATATGCCTGAATTGGTCAAGGAATGGAAGAAACTGACTCAGAGACCTGCAATTCCGAAATGGGATGTCGATGATTGAGTCGCGTTCACCCTTAATGTAATCGTATATATGCTGTATATCAATAGACACCTTGTACAATCCGAGTGTGTGTCATTCTTACATAATCGACAGACCTTCTCCTCCTCACACGTCTCCACACTGCTTGAAGCCATACCACTCATTCATCACGACCAAGAAAATGCGGTCCCTAAGGACCCTCCTACTCCTACTCATCCTCCCAACAGCCTTCGCCTTCAAACAGTCCGACTTCAAAACATGTTCCCAGTCTGGTTTCTGTCGCAGAGGACGCGCCCTTGCAGCACGCGCACAAGAATCCCCATCATCATGGCACTCCCCATACTCAATCGAACCCCCAGAATTTCTTTTACTTAACCCTCGTCAAGCAGTGTTCACCACAAGCGTTCACTCGTCCATCCATCCCAACGTCAAATTCGTGTTTGATGTTATTATACACGAGGACGGCATTGTGCGCGTGCGAATGGACGAAGAGAACGGACTGAGGAAACGATATAACGAGGCTGCTCAGTGGGCGCTTATTGGAGAACCTTTGTTGAGTGAGGATGTTATCTGGACGATCAAGGGGGGCAAAGCCAAGGCTGTTTATGGACCGAAGAAGGATATGGAGCTCGTCGTCGACTTTAACCCTCTCAAGATCACGCTTTTCCGGGGTGGCAAGGAACAGGTTGTATTGAACGGGCGCGGCTTACTGCACATGGAGCATTTCAGAACCAAGGAGGACTCTAAACTAACTGAACATATCGAAGGCGAGGGACAATCCGTCCTCCAAGTCAACCCTGCAGCATGGTTCGAAGGTGACTCCCAAGACGCCTTCTGGGAAGAAACATTCTCCACATGGACAGACACAAAACCCAAAGGTACGTCCCACACTCGTCATTAACACTGAGACTACAACCCCCAACGTCCACAGGCCCCGAATCCCTCTCCCTCGACATAACCTTCCCCAACCATGCCCACGTCTACGGAATTCCCCAACACGCCACGAACCTCTCTCTCCCAAGCACAACAGGCCCCACCGCAAAATACACAGACCCCTTCCGCCTCTACAACGCAGACGTCTTTGAATACCTCTCAGACTCGCCGACTTCTCTCTACGGCTCGATCCCACTTATGCATGCGCATTCTGCAACGTCGACAGTCGCTGTTTTCAATGTGCTTGCATCTGAAACATGGATAGATATCGCTCATATGGAAAAAGGCGGCGTAGAAAACGCACTGGATATCCGAATCCGGGATCCTAGACGTATTCCTACTCCCAGGCCCGACACCCACTGACGTCTTCACGCAATACGCACACCTAACAGGAACAGCGCCCCTCCCAGCCCACTGGTCACTCGGCTATCACCAGTGTCGCTGGAACTACGTCAGTTCAGATGACGTGCGCGGTGTGCAGAATAGGTTTGACGAGGAGGATTTCCCGGTGGATGTGTTTTGGTTGGATATCGAGTATGCGGAGGATCACAAGTATTTTATGTGGAATAAGAAGACGTTCCCGGATCCGGTGGAGATGACGAAGGACGTGGAGGCTGTTGAGCGGAAGGTCTGTTCTGTTTTGTTCATCCTTTCATTTTATTTCATTCTTCTCGCGCTCACGCATATACTCCCCAGATGGTAGTCATCGTCGACCCGCACTTAAAACGCTCAAACGACTACCCAGTATACAAACGCGCATCCGAACTAGGAGTCCTCGTTAAACCCAAGAGCGGCGAGGGCGAGTACGAAGGATGGTGTTGGCCCGGCTCCAGCTCATGGATCGACTTTTTCCATCCTGGTTCATGGGACTTTTGGGTGTCGCTGTTCAAGACGGAGACTATCGATGGTCAGTGGAGTTGGACGGAGAGTACTAATAATATCGGTATTTGGAACGATATGAACGAGGTACGCTCTCTTCGATGTTGGAGTAACTTGTTTATTCATTGTTGAAAACGAAATGCTAGCCGTCAGTGTTTAACGGACCGGAAATCACGATGCCGAAAGACAACGTTCATTACGGCGGTTGGGAGCATAGAGACGTGCATAACATCAACGGAATGCTCTTCGTACGTCCCTCATTCCTTTTTCCGAGTCTGTCCGTCAAGCTTACGATAATAATCCTGCAGGCAAACCACACATTCCAAGCAGCAGAAGCCCGTACAGATCCCCCACGACGCCCATTCGTCCTCACCCGCGCCTTCTACGCCGGTTCTCAGCGTTTCGGGGGCGATGTGGACGGGCGATAATCTTGGTACGTGGGAGCATATGGCTGTAGGAATTAAGATGGTGCTTGCGAATGGAGTTGGGGGGGATGGCTTTTGCTGGGGGTAAGTCCTTCCTCCTTTCCTTCTCCTTCCTCTCATTTTTAACCATTCACTTGCTCACAGCCGACGTTGGCGGCTTCTTCGGAAACCCCGAACCAGAAATGTTAGTGCGCTGGTACGTAGTGGGCGCATTCTCACCCTTCTTCCGCGCACATGCGCATATCGACACGAAGCGCCGAGAACCGTACCTTCTTGAGGAGCCGTACAAGAGTTTATTGAGGGATATTTTGAGGTTGAGATATTCGATGCTTCCTGTGTGGTATACTGCGTTTAGGGAGACGAGTGAGAGCGGGGTTCCTATCCTCCGGTGCGTTTTTCTTCCTCCATTGGACGATGTGATTGATGTGTGCGTGAACGCACAGGCCTCAGTATATGATGTTCCCTGGGGACGAAGCTGGGTTTGGGATCGATGATCAGTATTATATCGGGTCGTCGGGATTACTTGTTAAGCCTGTGACGCAGAAGGGGCTGAAGGAGGTTTCCGTGTATATTGCCGAGGATCAGGTTCGTTCCTTTCATTTCTCCACACACCCTGACGCTTACACATACCCAACTACCTAGGTCTACTACGACTACTTCACCAACCTCGCCCACCGCCCCAAAAACCGACATATCACCCTCCCCGCAAACCTTGACCAAATCCCCCTCCTCATTCGCGGAGGCTCCATCGTCCCCACACGCGAACGCCCGCGTCGTTCCTCGCCGCTGATGAAATACGACCCATTCACCCTCCGCGTCGCGCTTGATACTTCCGGGAATGCGCACGGGGAGGTGTATCTTGATGACGGAGAGACGTACGGGTATGGAAGGGGGGATGTTGTCTGGCGTAAGTTCGGTGCGGAGAGCACGAAAGGAAAGGGGAGAGGAGTTGGGACGGTGCGCATCTCGTCCGCTGATCTTGCCGCAAAAACACAAGTGGGTGCGTACGACCCCAAGAACGAATTCGCGCGCAGTGTGGGTGATGTGAGAGTGGAGAAGATGGTTGTTCTTGGACTTGGGAAGAAGCCTTTGAGCGTCGTTTTGGATGGCGGGAGGGAGCTTGAGTGGGAGTTTGCCTCGGAGGGTGGAGTGTTGGTCGTTAAAGATCCTGCAGTGCGCGTGGTGGATGATTGGGCTATCATTGTGAAGTTGGAGTGAGATACCATGTTGATGATGTTTAGATCATTTGTGCTTTGCGTTGTGGATGTCCATTGCTTTCATGTTTTGATCTATCATCTTGTGCGCCACGGTGCGCGAACATGGTCGGTCGATCAAAAAGGGAAAACGATTTCCCAACGCCAAGTAGAGGTTTACCAGAGTAAGCAAACATGCAAGGTAAGAAGAAATATAAGTCAATGTCTGCTGAACAAAAATTGGGTAAGACGGCTCGACTGGGATAGATCCTTAAACGTGCGTAGTAGGTTCGTGTGCTAGATATGGTATACGAAAGGTGAGTCAAAAACCAATGTATCAGACACGTCACCTAAAATGGTAGACAAGCGGAATATACGATCCACACTCGAAAAGGATGGATACATTGCTCCGGAAGCGCCCGCGCTCGTATGATCCACCGAACGGATAGATGCTATCAGTATGTGACACCCGCTCGTTCACCTCATTAATTTATCGTTATGACAGCATAGACCGAGGAGTAAGGGAAGGGAAACATCATGAGGATATGTTATTAATTTAAAGGCCATCACGTGTTACGGCTCGATGATGGCTACAACATTAAATTGAGGCGAACAGGTCGATTCAATAGAGCCTAGGGTCTTTTCGTTGTGAATACCGTCACGGAGGGTGTTCGGACTTTGTCTGTGCAGAGTTTGGAGAAACTCGAAAGAACCGAGTAGGGTCCGACTGATAATAGGGTACCATGGACTCATAGGAACCTCAACTGCGGCCGTACACCTTTAAACACCTCAACCACCCTCAGGCTGGTGTATCTGTGATCTTATCACAAAATATGGATCACGACAACCTAGGAGCTACGCTCAGAGTATTCACCTTTCTAGTATTCATGCTAAAACACACTAACGGACACATTTTCAGGCGCAACGGCAGAATGCTACACCAGAACCAGGACAGGGGGACTATGAGATGCAAGCGCACCCTTCAAGTTCACCTTTGTCCGCTTTTGATGTAGAGGTGCGTCTATTTATTCTCGTGTTTCTCTCCGGTACAAGCCCGCATTTCAATCTAGGCCGGTGTCGCACATAACACTGAGGGAAGGTATGCAGTTGTTATGATTACTTGTACGCATGGCCACCATCTTCCTTGCAGACAAAGGCACACCGAGATTGCAGTAAGACATGAGAGAAGGTATGCTGCTGTTATGATTACCTATGCGCATGGCCGCTAACTTCCTTGCAGACAAAGGCACACCGAGATCACAGAAAGACTCGCCGAATGTGGAGAATTTTTTGCAAATTTTAGTCTGGTCATCGGGATCGTCTTTCTTGGCATCCTCGCAGTTTCTGGCATCAGTGTGGGTGTGTACTACGCCACTAAACCCTGATATTGATTACATACTACTATCATCTATCAAGTCGTGTATTACAGCCACGAGTTCATGGTACCCTGTTATCATTCGGATCTTTCTCGGTTCCTTCGAACGACTGAGCAAACAAAGTCCGGACACCCTCACGTCATTCACAATGAAAAGACCCCAGACTCTGTTCAACATCTTCGCTTCAAGGCAATGTTGCAGCCGCATCACCAGCTGAGCAGTACATAATCCTCAACTCTCCACTGCCCGCACGCCGGCTCCCGCCCTCCCCAACCACCCGCTACCGTCTTTTCTTCGTTAGCGTCTCTCCTTCCGAGTCGTTACTCCTGTCGATGACGTGGCACTTACACTTCGTTAGGATGTTGTATTATTTGTATTCTATCATGTAGCACATCAATGAATACGGTTATATGATGGATAGTCTTGTACAAGAGCGTGTGTCCAGCTACCGTTAAATAAAGCGCGCCTCGAGTTCTGGAGCAGGACAAGAGCGGCGGAAGTTACGGAAGAATGGAATTTGGTACGATGAAGTGCATATGAGATAAAATGGGGGAGTTTTACTTGTGAGTTAGAAGGGGTGTACTTCGGACGAGTAAAAAATGGATAATGAAGAGCACAGCCGCGAAGCCTGCTCATGGCCGTAAAATGAGTCAGAGTGTCTTGTTGTAGGTTGAGTAGACTGAGGTTTGGGTGGCGCCTAGGCTATCATCATCCACACAATGCGCTATCGACAGTACTGAACTGTGAGACGGGAACATCGGCGAAGTGGAGTGGAACGAGTGAGTCGTGAAATTCGCTAGTCACGAGTGCAGTGATATGATTGTGTATAGTATGCCGCGACCGCAGACACGGCTCCAGTACTCCTCTAATATCTGGTCGAAGGGCATTAACAAGCATGCAGGATGGCGTTGGCGTGAATGGTATGGTTATTCGAGGCGCTGGTTGCTGCAGTGCATCACCATGTGTGGTGTATGCACGGTAGGTATGAATGGAATCACGATCACGAGTGGCAATGCCCAGTGACGCGTGAATAGCAGTGCTCTGCGCCGCTCGGTCGTCAAAAGCGCGTCTTCTCAAGCTTTTCCCGTACTTCGAAGGTTTAGTATTGCGGCACTCCAAGTTCAGCAGTGGTGCATCCCCAGCGTAATGTGTCTATTTGACGTCGTCGTCGAATCACAGGTAATAGTATTCCCTGTCCATGTCAGTATTTGAGCTCTGTTAACACAAATGCTATCATAGCTGCGCATGTGCCGGCGCCGCTGGTGCGACAACTCCACCGAGTATCTGCTGATGTGCGCGTCGCCAGTGGTTCTACTAACATCCTCGCTGACGAACTAGCGAGTCCGTCTCTGACAGAGCAGGAGATACTGCACTTACTCGCAGAGGGCGAGGTGTCACCCAGTATGGCGATATTGGGGTGCTGGAGTCATGCGGAAGCTGTCGACGGATGTTTACAGCGAGTGCGTTGCGGGGCCATGCGAGCCCACATCACAGTCTGCTCGGAGAGTTGAATGTTGTGTGTGTGTATTACTAAACAAGTCTGCATTTGTTACAAACTGTTAATAAAGGAGAGCTAATGCACTAAAAATGCAAGACGTTAACATGTCGAAGAGGCGGTGACGAGGAGAAGATCGAACCGACGAAACCGGAGTTAAAAATGGGGGGAGTTAGCATACGGGGGAATGAGGATATGATATGTTGAGACCGTTAGCATGATACTGCTTGGTGACGGCCACGACATTAAGCTGAAGCGAAGATATTGAACAGAGTCTGGGGTCTTTTCATTGTGAATGACGCGAGGGTTTGAAGTCGTTGGAAGGAACCGAGAAAGATCCGAATGATAACAGGGTACCAGACACCGCCTGCGCACATACCACGCACGGTAAGATTATGTCAGTCGATATCACTGGTGTGAGTGGTCCTAAAAGGCAAATAAGTTTTTTTTTCAAGGTTGGGGCCCGTCTGTTTGAATTTCAAACGGTGATCCGGCATCGTGACCTTCCTAATGCGTGAAATTACTATTCGGCCTGCGGAAAGTCACGTAGTAGTTACACCTCATATAATATCAAATGAACTTGAAAACGTACGCTCAAGAGATAAGACCAGCCCATTTTCAGTCTAGCCTCATTAATTGTACTAGGACGGGCGTATATAGTGAACAGGATGCATACCGTGATACACCCCAAAGCGACATCCAATAATGCGCCTACTGATTTGCGTTTTCCTTTACCTCGTTGGAGTGATCCAAGCTGCAAATACAACAACTACTACTACTAGTGACAATTTTAAAGTCCCATCTGCATCATTCTCTACCAGAACCCTATGGACAATAATCTCCAGCTCCGGTCTCACTCTGTTTGCATGTATATACAGTGCCATCCACACCAATATTCCGAGTCCCGAGGATAGCCCCCTTCGTATTCTATGGCGGCGGTTTTGGATCATGATAATGGCGCTCATCGTTCCTGAACTGATGGTCGCGTGGGCTGTGCGCCAGTGGCTCTGTACTCATCAAGTTACAAAACAGTTCGAGGAATCGGGGTACTATCCCAGTGTCCCTGAAAGTGAGTTGTGCTTTTGGAAACTCTGCATCTCACTACTCACTACACACGTTCTCAGAAAAGGAGTTTTTCCTTGTGAGGTGGGTCAAAAGGTTGATTGAGGTTTATGTCTCAAAACAGTCTGAAGGTAAGCCCCACTCGTGCTCACCTAAACATGGGCTCATGCGCATCCTTAGATTATACGTGGACTCAGACTCACAGCTTCTTTGTGCTGATGGGTGGTTTCATGCTTTATGTGGACAGGGAACCCTGCCTTACACTACGTTCTGATGACATTCTCAAACTGATACGTGAAGGGCATATCGACGCCCCTACCCTAACGGAAAAACAGATCGGCGACAAGAGCAAAGGCAATGCGATATCGAAAGGACTGATCATCCTTCAGGTAGCCTGGTTTGTTATGCAGCTCATCACCCGCGCCATCTATCACCTCGAAACCACCCAGCTCGAAGTGGGGACACTTGCTTTTGCGGTTCTCGATTTCCTCACCTATGCTGCGTGGTGGAACAAGCCACTCGGTGTGGAGTGTCCGCATCCAGTGTACTGGAAGTCGACCAACTCAAAGCCAGAGGATGTCATTGATGAGTATGTATGTACCTCAACAATTATACCGCTGCTGATTATGTCTACCTTAGTTTCAATGAAAGAGACAAATTCGCTCAGTTTTGGATCTTGGCTCTAGTCAGCCCAATTCATGAACTGTTAGGCTTGTCTGAGATTCCCACATCTCGAAAGCTCCGAGTTCCAACATTCGATGGCAGCATCAAACTCGAAGGTTCGAACAAGTGGGTTCTTCAGCTTGCTGCATTGCTTATGGCAACCATATTTGGCGCCATCCATGGTATGGCTTGGTTTTTTGCCTTCCGCACATACCGAGAACAGCTGTTATGGCGCATGAGTGCCATCGCTGTAACTTTCACACCCTGGCTTTGTTTTGTTCTGCATCGCGCAGGCATTTACATTCATCCATTTGTACAAAGAGCCAGGGTATTTGGGTTGAATTTTTTCGTATTTGGCTCGATTTGTATGGTATTTGGCTTGATTATTATTGTATCTGCCATAGTATACATCACAGCTCGTGCTGTCCTCTTAGTACTCATGTTCACCACTTTACGCGATCTTCCTCCCGGCGCACACAAGGCGGTGGCATGGACCAGTTTAGTACCGCACTTATAATTCTTGATCATGGTACTTGTCATGCACTTATACTTCCGTTGATATTCAGAATAGCGCTATGATCACATGACCTACGCACATATGTGAATCGAACAACAATATTATTGCTGATGTTGCCCGCCACTGTGCACACGTGCATGACCTACACTCTTGCAAACTCCAATGTCCCGACTTTGTCTTATAATACCCCAACACTTCCCGCGCCAGTCTCTATCCCGATATTCATGATTGAGGGTAGTTCAAATTCAACGTGTTATGGAACTGCTCGTACAAAATTCGAGATTCTGAATTTATTGATATGATGAGGCCTGCGCACGCCTCACCACTGGCAGGATCCGACCCATCATTTAGTATTCACTCACAGTCCCCGGCTAGAGACTAGTGGAGACACGCCAGTGGTTCAGATGCTCAAAAAGTGTGTCATACAACTTGAAACTTTATTATCGCTGCCCTTGCTAACAGACATCGAAATCTCATGACGGAGATGATAACCAACGCGTTGTTAAATTGCCACTTAGTTGCTCTTTGACTGCATAATGCTTAATTTGCATACACTGTTTGTGGTTTGTGGCCTCAGTGGCTAGTCGGTACACGCACAGGTCCATGCTTGTGGACGGAAGACATGGGCAGTATAAATGTGCAGAACGTCGTTAGGCTCCTCACTGCTAACCTGTCTGCAATTTAATGGTGAGCATTGAACTTCCCTAGTGTTCTCTCCGTTGATCGGTCGTTTAGCCTAACTATACCACACCCTCGCGTATGAGCCTGCACTTTGGCCTCTTTGAGGACGATTGCGTCGAGTCAGACGCCACCAATAGTTTCGCCGACCCAGAAGATGAGCACACGTTTACTGCTTTTGGTGAGCTCTCCCTCAGCCAAGACGAAATGCTTAGATTCGCTCCAAATAACGTCCGTCGCCGTAATCGAATGCGTTTGAGAGAGAGACGTAAGAGCGCCCAGTACAGTCCACAGGTGCGCATCGCGTTTACATAGTTAGTTGTACTCTTGTTGACGGCTTCACGATAGATTCCGGGGGGAAATTTTTGGATTCATTGACGTCTTCACTAGTTTCAACTCTAACACCTGCCGAGTTTTTCAATGGTGGGTGCGTTCTCGCCCTTCTTCCGCGCACATGCGCATATCGACACGAAGCGTCGAGAACCGTACCTTCTTGCGGAGCCGTACAAGGGTTTATTGAGGGATATTTTGAGGTTGAGGTATTCGATGCTTCCTGTGTGGTATACTGTGTTTAGGGAGACCAGTGAGAGCGGGGTCCCTATTCTCTGGTACGTTTTTTCTTCCTCCGTTGGACGATTTGATCGATGTGTGCGTGAATGCGCAGGCCTCAGTATGTGATGTTCCCCGAGGACGAAGCTGGGTTTGGAATCGATGATCAGTATTACATCGGGTCGTCGGGGTTACTTGTCAAGCCTGTGACGCAGAAGGGGGTGAAGGAGGTTTCCGTGTATATTGCTGAGGATCAGGTTCGTTCCTTTCATTTCTCCACACACCCTGACGCTTACACATACCCAACTACCTAGGTCTACTACGACTACTTCACCAACCTCGCCCACCGCCCCAAAAACCGTACATATCACCCTCCCCGCAAACCTTGACCAAATCCCCCTCCTCATTCGCGGAGGCTCCATCGTCCCCACACGCGAACGCCCGCGTCGTTCCTCGCCGCTGATGAAATACATGATCCCATTTCACCCTCCGCGTCGCGCTTGATACTTCCGGGAATGCGCACGGGGAGGTGTATCTTGATGACGGCGAGACGTACGGGTATGGAAGGGGGGATGTTGTCTGGCGTGGGTTCGGTGCAGAGAGCAAGAAAGGGAAGGGGAAAGGGATTGGGATGGTGCGCATCTCGTCCGCTGATCTTGCCGCAAGAACGCAAGTGGGTGCGTATGACCCCAAGAACGAATTCGCGCGCAGTGTGGGTGATGTGAGGGTGGAGAAGCTGGTTGTTCTTGGACTTGGAAGAAGCCTTTGAGCGTCGTTTTGGATGGTGGGAGGGAGCTTGAGTGGGAGTTTGCCTCGGAGGGTGGAGTGTTGGTCGTTAAAGATCCTGCAGTGCGCGTGGTGGATGATTGGGCTATCATTGTGAAGTTGGAGTGAGATACCATGTTGATGATGTTTAGATCATTTGTGCTTTGCGTTGTGAATGTTCATTGCTTTCATGGTTTGATCTATTATATGCATCATCTTTGACATGGTCGACGATCAAAAATCACATTGCCTATCTCGAGGTTAAGTCAAGTATTACGTAAACGACTGGAAGAATTCCTATCAGAATGGGGAACACGATTTCCCAAGACCGTACTGCAGTGTAACACAACCACAAGTAAAGGTCTACCAGCGTAAGTAAACACGCGACGCAAGAAGAAATATACGTGATTGTCTGCAGAATAAAAAATCGCGTAAAACGGCTTGATCGGGATAGTTCCTGTATGGATAATGAGGTTTCAAAAATCACCATAACAATAGTTTTACTTACACATAGAGCGCCGGGGGAACCTATCACGGCTCGTAAACGCGCGTAGTTTTGCGCGCCAGAGATCACGCCTATGCGAAAGACAAGAACATGAGCGCTTGAGCGTTGACGCGGACGTTGAGCGTAATCCGAATTCACAAGCACGCACCGAAAGCAGTGAAGAACTTTCCTAGCACCAGTACCGTAGGGTCTAGAGCTTCAGGTACGGCCAGGATGATGAGCCCTGACGCGGTCGGTAGGCCAGCGGCCGCGAAGATAAGGCGTATCTTCAGGCGTTCGCCCAGATTGTAAAACTCCCTGGCATTTTCTGCTCTGGTGGCTCTTTCGAGCTCGGTCCATGTGGTCCCCACGATAGAGAGGCAAGCTGATACAGCCACATGTCAGGCCTTCAGGGATGGCAAGTACATTGAATTGCGCTTACCGTCAACGATATAACCTTCGACGTTGGTCATTGAGCCTAAGCCCGGAATCTGAGTTGTTTTGTTGGTTCATTTGGGACTCGGAAGGTAATGGAAAAATTGAAGACCGATGTGCATACTGTCCTACTTATATACACAGCAGGAATAAATTATATTTTAACCTAGCTTCGATGGTAGCTGCAACATTGTGATACATTTGACATATGCGCATGTGTCGGTCCAAGATCGTTCCTTCCTAATATGGTAATTTGTTTAGCGTTCAGTTCTACGAGCGTCAACATATTAATATGCACGTGTTCGTGATGATTGCAGGCGCCCAACCAGCTTGCCGCGTATACCACTGCTTACCTCTGTCCGCTCAGGCTCTTCCCAATTCCACTGGCTTTTACTTTGGGTCCAAATACCTATAGCTCTCACTTCCTCATGTCAAAAGCATCCAGCACTGGCGGCGCCGAGGACCAGCGCGCCTATACAGACGAGCAGCCTGCCTCGGAACAGGATACCCTAGGACTCCCGGAGGATTCAGAGTAAGTCGCGGCTTCCTGGGATCTGTCACCCATATAACAACAAGATAGGGAGAAGGAAAATGGCGGACCTTCAGAGGTGAAGCTACCATCAGAGATGCAAGTGGTTCCACCATGATACTTCTGTGTAACTCACCAGAACTGCAGCCCGAACACTGGGATCTTCCCAGCCATCAGAACCTCACGAACAGGAAACTGCTTCCAAAGTTGCAGCGGACGACGATTTAGTTCCGTAAGTCCCTATCAATGGCGACTTTAAACAAGTTCATGAACTATCTCAGTCAGGTGGAGAAGGACCAGCCAAATCTCGCCGAATTGTGAGCAAAAAATATGCCGAGCGGATCGCAACTGATGATACCTTACACGCAGAGCAAATGTCATGAAGCAAGTGTTGGATGTTCTCCAGGACTCGACAATTGCGTTGAAGAGTGGTAAGGATAATCGGTCTCGTTTCTGGGGAGTGTACAAAAGAGTCGCGGAAGGAACACGACGGCGAGTTTCTCGAGCGATACACCGGAGACATGGACATCGTTTTGGTCTTCGTAGGTTTCGCGTGCCTATCTTTGACTCGTTGAGGACTAATGTTTGATCAGTCCGGTCTTTTCTCAGCAGTCAGCACGTCTTTTATAGTGGCGATGGAGTCTGGTCTCAGTCCCAACCCCAGCGACACCACGAATGCCCTTCTCACACAACTCGTGTACATCGGGTTCGGCAACTTCACTGCAGCGGGCTCCACTCCTGCAGACCCAGCATCTACGTGGTCGGCGAGTGCCCCAGCTCTGAGGATCCAAATGATCGCATACGCAAGCTTGTCCATGAGCTTGCTAGCAGCATTCGGGGCCGTACTAGGCAAGCAGTGGCTCGGCTACTACAAGTCGAACAGATATGGTCGCGGCTCGCAGGAGGAACGAGGAAAGCGCAGGCAAGAGAAGTTCGACGGCCTCATCACTTGGTATTTTGATGCTGTCGTGCAATCCTTTCCGGTCTTGCTTCAGATTTCCCTTCTTCTCTTTGGGATCGCCCTCGGCGCCCGCATGTGGTGCGAGCAGCCCAGCATCGCTTGGGTGATCATTGCCACAACAGTCTTCGGATTTCTGTTCTATTCGCTGACGGTGATGGCATGTTTGATATCTCCCGCCTGTCCATTCCAGACGCCGGTGTCGACGGTGTTGCGCATGTTGGGTATGCACAGTAAGATCATTTTGTGATTTCTTGTGGCCGTTTCCAGTCTGAATCAGCATTGCAGGAGTTTTACTCCTGATCTTCGCACCAGCCTCCCGGTACTTCCAGCAGCTCAAGACGCCAGCACACGGTGAGCTATATTTTATTTCAGTGTGCATAGGTTGTGACCATTTCTTGTCAGCTGTCCTGCAACGAATGCTTGGTACCCTCAGACTGAGGTGGACCCGACTGTCTGAAGCATTGAAAGGTGATGTTCTTATCTACTCTTACACAGGATGCCTAGTGCTCATTTCACTTCCCAGGTCCTGTGCGTGCTACTGGCGCATTCACACGATGCTCTCTTCAGCTGTTATCCGCTACGCTTCACAAAGGGTTACGTTCTTTGGTTCCGCGCTCTTCAACAAATGTTGTAGACTCAGAGGCACAACTGGTCGACCAGGATCTGGATATTTTGGCGGAGAATGATGGCACCCTTACCCTGGACCTCCCGGACATACCCACCAGCGATCTCGAAGCACCTAGCGTCAAGTGGCTGCTCGAAACATCCACGGATCCTGAAGTTTTTCTTGCTGCTGCTAGCTTTATTCCACAGGTCGAATGGCCCCTGGATCTTGACATCTCGGACATACTGCCTCAGCTGTATGATATTTTTACAAGTTGTGTTGACATTCAGGAGCGCATCGTACCGTCGTTGGAGGATAAGGCTTCTGCCTGTATGATGGCTCTGACTCATCTATACTACGGACGTATTCTTCAGGCATATCCTGGCCGTGGTGAATTTCTTGGTCGCAGGCGAGAAGACTTTGATATGTTTCTTCAGATGAAGATGAGCCTGGGGGACATGTGTACAGCCGACTGCACGGTGCTTCACACAACTAGCAATCTCTGTCGTCCAGAAGATGATGAATTTGGATGGTTTCCTTCTGTGTCAGGGGCTTGTCCGGACTCCGTCCTCGAGCAGCTGTCACATGTTCTTCCTTATCACTTTTTTACTGGGCGAGTGAATGAAAGTGGAGAAAGACTCGCCACAACAGTGATATCAAAATTGTTATCATCTCCATCCTCTCCGTCGAATCAAATCATAGCCAATTGTACTCTTCTTGCTTGCATCATGGTCGGGGCTCAGATTGATAAGAAAGACATAGTTCGGATTGATAAAAGGTGCTGTCAACTCATTTGGTAGTTTTCTGCCATGATTAACAAAGAGATTGTATAGTTCTGCTCTGCCTCGCCTCAGGGAGACCCTTGTAGCGCAGTTCCAAAAGGCTCTCTGGGCATGTGATGGAGGTGAGCTCGACAAAGATAGCACAGGAGTCGCACGCCGGGCATGGAACCTCCTCGACATTATCTGTCGCATCCTCGAGCTCGCTGGACGTCATTATCTTCCTTCATTCCACACGATGCGGAACCTGGACGTAGTGCAGGAAGATTTATTCACGAGCAAGGTCATCCGAACAAAACGATGCCTCAGTTTCTTTGGCGGCTCTGCAAAAGATACTGCACTTTATATTCACTACTACCAACGTATCTCGTGACCCTGCCAACTTGTGGTATGCCCACTTGTTTTTGGAAGGCGAATCCCACACACCAGAAGACTTCGACTGGCTGGTGGACTACCTCGACTACATCTATTCCGACGACCACGAAGCGGCGTATGTCATCCTTTTGCTACTGGGTAACATGGGAGTGCGCTGCAGCCCCGCTAAACAACATCTATTCGTTGAGAGGCTCATCGCCTGCATGGACAGCACCATGCCTTCCCATTTACGCCAGGCCGCTCTTCGCGCTGCTCACAGTGCTCGAGAAGAAATGGCCTCGATCGATGCTATTGATGATGCGAGGCTACGGGACATGGTTTTGACCAAGCTCTCCCCCGTCATCCTGTCCGTGGTTTGCCCGCCACCAGGTGCAACACCCGATGAATATCCTGACCCCACTACCAATTATCCCCGTAACTTGTGCTATCTGGAACTAGTCTTTGCCCTTGCGAGGAATTCCAACTGGTACCCCCATTTGTTTGGGGATCGTCATATTGATCGGTGCATTAGCATGATACCAGAGTACTGCAAATCCGAATCCTACGGCCAACATGCCTTTTATATAACTGGAATCCTTCTCCGAATTGCACCTGAGCAGAAGTCGGTTACATCACTCGATTCTATTACAGAGCAGCGGTGGTGGGACGCCATGAGAAGCGCATGGAACCGTCCTCCCCATGACATTCACAACACACGCTATTTCAAGCCCCTTCTTGTCCTTGTGGATGGCACAAAGAAGTATATGCAGATTGCACCGAAATCTGATCTCGAGTCGCTCATCGAAAATGTGGATCGGTTTCTCGCAAGACTGGAGCGGGACATGCAACGGCAGAGGCGACGGCAGGAGACGGGATTGGAGATGGAACCGGAGATGCCAAGTTTAGAGCAGAGAGAGGGGATCACCATTGCTGTGAAGGAGTTGAGGACTGCAGCCAGCAACAAGCTGGAGAGCTTTGATCAACAATTATTAGTCCCCTGATTAAGACGGTGCTTGCATGAACGCAAGTGGGTGCGTACAACCCCAAGAACGAGTTCAAGCGCAGTGTGGGTGATGTGAGGGCGAAGAAGCTGGTTGTTCTTGGACTTGGGAAGAAGCCTTTGAGCGTTGTTTTGGATGGCGGGAGGGAGCTTGAGTGGGAGTTTGCCTCAGAGGGTGGAGTGTTGGTCGTTAAAGATCCTGCAGTGCGCGTGGTGGATGATTGGGCTATCGTTGTGAAGTTGGAGTGAGATATCATGTTGATGATGTTTAGATCATTTGTGCTTTGCGTTGTGAATGTTCATTGCTTTCATGTTTTGGTCTATCATCCCGTGCACGAACATGGTCGGACGATCAAAAATCACATTGCACAATCACGAGGTTAAGTCAAGCATTACGTAAAAAACTGCAGCAAATCCCAAAAGGATGGGGAAAACAATTTCCCAAGACTGCGCTGTGTAACACAGCGTAGTGTAGAGATTTGCCAGCGTGAGTGAACATGCAACGACGCAAGAAATGTACGCGAATATCTGCTGCATGAAAAATCGGGTGAAAACGCGTGATTGGGATAGATCCTGCAGCGATGAATAATGAGATTTCAAAAATCACCATAACAATGACTTGACTTACACATAGAGCACCGCGGGAACTCATCACAGCTCGTAAGCGTGCGTAGTTTAGCACGCCAGAGATGACGCCTATACGAAAGACAAACATATCAGCGTCGAAACATTTGTCCGAATCCACAGGCACGCACCGAAACCAGTAAAGAACTTTCCGACGACCAATGCATCGGATGGGTCTCCCGGTGTAGTCAGGATGACGGTCGTCGATAGGATCGTACAGCTAGCGACTGTGATGATGATGCGGTTCAACAAGCGTTCGCCCAACCTATGAAACTCATCCGCTCTGGTGGCTCTTTCGAGCTCGGTCCATGTGGTCCCCACGATGGAGAGGCAAGCTGATACAGCCACATGTCAGGCCTTCAGGGATGGCAAGTACATTTGAATATTTGCGCTTACCGTCAACGATAAAACCTCGACGTTGGTCATTGAGCCTAGTAAGCCCGGAATCTGAGTTGTTTTGTTGGTTCATAGCGTCTTTTTGGGACTTGGAAGGTAATGGAAAAATTGAAGACCGATGTGCGTACTGTCCTACTTATATAGCCAGCCGCAATAAATTATATTTTAACCTAGCTTCGATGGTAGCTGCAACATTTTGATACATTTGATGTGTCGGTCCGAGATCGTTCCTTCCTAATATGGTAATTTGTTCAGTGTTCAGTTGTGCAAAGTACCACTGACGTTTTCCATCTCAACCGCACCCTCGTTAGATCTGATATCCACGCGCTCATAATCGCAATATTTGCTGTGCTAAAAAGGTGCATTTCAAAAAAATCTATGTATACATTAATTACAAGCTTAATTACTTCCCAGTTGATCTGTTTCCTCGTCCTTGTTCCCGGACGCATGGTCCCAGTCACTGCGCCTTGAGTTCTTTCTCTCATATTCGGCGCACTCTTAAGTTATTAACCACATTCGACACACCAGGCGTAGTTCCATTCTCTGCATTCAATTCAAGCCCATAACTCCACCTCTACACTCATGAATGTATGTGTTGCGCTCGTCATGTTTTCTATCATCCAAGGGCTTCCCCTGCCATTCGCCAATCCGACAACCACTGTGACTACCCATACAGTATACTCTTCAGACTATATTCGTTCATCTGTGACCTTTTCACGTCTTTCTGAAGCATCACTATCTGCGCTACAACAACAACACATACGAGACGAGACACACAGGAAAGCTATTACGTCCTCTTCTAACACTGAAGAAGACGCGGACGTTCCTCTATCCTGGATGGCTACATGAACAAGGTTTTTTACAGATACTTCCAATACCGCTGCCCTCGCTCAAGGAAGCGTGGATACAAGTATCATCTCTTGTCTTGTGCGCGGACTTTCGTATTGCACCGGCATCAGAAAAAAAATAGAGAATGTCTGACGCTTTACGACGAGCTCCCAATGCGTACGTTGGCAATCCTGCGCGGTCACCCAACTGCCAGACAAAAGGCATGGGATTAAGTATCGGGAATTCTAACGTCATTCTGTGAGATAGAATCAACCCATCCCACGAGGCACGTTCTAGAGTTGTGTGAACGGGAGTGCCTTGAATGTCGTCCATGGCGAATCTCGCGTGCTCGGGTTGCTGTTGACAAAGTCCTAAAGAATGGAAGTGCAGCTTGTAGCGACGAAGAACGAGTGGCTCACCTCCCGATGACTATGGAATCCAAGATCCGAAGATTACACGCAACGACACCAATAGACTTGACGCGAGAGAACGCAGCTGTACTACCGGCCTGAATATTAATCAGCTGGGCCTGCACGGCGATTACTCGGGAGGTCACCAACAAGGAGGGATGAGGTCAACGTAGAATATTGAGATGGCTCGCGCATATAAGTGGCTGGTTTCCATCTAGCGTGCATGATTGATCCGCGAAGCTGGAACGAAGATGCTACACCGTCTCCATTGGCCAGAATATTCGTTCTAGTTTCGCGATGAGGGCTGTGGCTATATGCTGTATGGGCGGTAAGGGACCAGATGAACACCGACGAAGTATAATAGCTCGTGGTGAATGAGCAATTTCGATGAGATGACACGCCACTACGAGGTATTATACGGCGGGTGCGAGTAAGACATAGAAAGTAGATAATAGCAGACGATCGCGTTCGCCAGCGTTGAAGACGGTGACCTGGAACAAGCGAACCGAGTTAGATCTGACGAAAGACTGACATGGCCTGATATATCAATTCCATCGACTTCCTCCCGCACCGTGGACCCTTATTCGCCTTATTCATCCTCTTTATGATGGTGGGTAATCGCCCTGTGGAGCCGCAACATGTTGATCAGTATCAGACGTGACTGAAGGTAAGTGCCATGGAACGCACGAGTAAATCAATCAAGGACTAAAACAAGGCAGAGGCGTCAAAAGCATATTAAGATTAGTGAGCAATGTCTACTCACTGCGTCTCCATTCCCACTCCCACCAGTGAGCACTTCATCAGATCAGGAGTCAGTGGTCGAATTGATCAAGTCTGAAGTCGGGCAAGGAACCTAACGTCAGCATTGGAAGTCAACTCATCCAAAAAAGCACGTACTAGAACTGGAGCGGCGCAAACGCGGAACCAATGGAGCTGTTCCGAATGGTGTCACGTCCCCAACATGCATTGTGCTATCGAGAGGCCAGATATCGGAGGGCTTAATTCACATGGTCAAATCCGAGGAGCGTACGTGCAGCATCATTGCCACTGCATGATAGAGCCACGGAGAGACCATGTTGTCGCTATGGAATATGGTGGATCTTATGGATGGAAGGGGTCATGGTCACCAATGAGGAAATATTGGGTGAGCTTTCTGTAATATGTTATGATGGCCGTAAAGTTGAGAATGTGGGTATGTCAGTGTGAGGCCTGCTGCTCTGAGAAGAGGTTGAACGTTGACGTTGAATACTTGTACTCATAGAAAGCGATGCAGCCGAATCGAGCTGGTTCTACTAGTGATGAATATTTGCTGATAGTACTGCCAGTACTTGGTGGCGTGCCGTTCACACTCTCACATCTTGGACTCTTAAATTTAGTTCACGTGACCCACGACACCGCTCCTATTAATAGATCTAAGATCGGAAGTGACCTCGCGAAAGCCAGTACTTGGACACTGGACACCCGCAGACCACTAAAGTGGCTAAAGGCACCGCCGCAGCCAAAACCCTTCCCCCTCAACTAGCTGTGTCTGAATACGTGCATTAGCATGAAACACAGACTGTTTTAGATGACCAATCGTGTCATGCACATCCGCCATTAAGTTGCTTCGATTTGGATTATTTTGTACCCTCACTGTTCGAATGAATAATACAACAAGCCTTGGAGCCTCTTTGAACTCTTCCCAAGTTGCACGTACTTTTCAAGTTGCAACATGCAAACAAGTAATTTGAAAGTCAATCTTTCGACGGTCTCGGATATCATTGCTGCGCTGCAGACCATCGTAAGTGCCGAAGTTTTAGACACTCCTCTGCGAATAACAACCATTCATTTCAGCTATGTTCACGAGTAATCGTACGTCCGTGAGGATATTTCATCCGATGCGTTATTGACCATTAGCAGCCTGAGGTATTCGACCTCGAAACTCCGTACTCCCGAACCACATTCCCCAATCCCAATCACTGCGCAATTGAGCTCAAAGACCAAAGCATCAGTGCAATTATCACCAAACGCCAACACCAGTTGGACAAAGTTTTGCACGATATCTCTGGTTTGCAAACAGTCATGGATGGTATCCACACACTTCAGCAGCCACTCATCAAGCAGAAGAACAACAACATCAAATCCATTAATTTGCACAAGAGGCTCGTATCGCCCCTCTGGCGCTTGCCAACAGAAATCCTGTCCCAAATCTTTTGCCACTGTCTTCCGCAATTTCCGGGACTCAATGAATTACAGCCCCCATCAAAGCTAACTGCACCTATGCTGTTGACCAGAATATGTCGATGGTGGAGGGAGGTTGCTATGGGCATGCCTACCTTGTGGTATACACTGTCTATGAAAGTTCACGACAGAGATTGGCAGCAAGCAGCCTTCTTCTATGCCTCTTGGCTCAAGCGAGCACGAGGATGTCCACTCTCGTTAAGACTCCAGTTCCACGCAGAAAATGACTCAACCAAGTTATGACGCCTTCTTTGGCCTTACATCAATCAAATCTCATCACTCTCTGTCTGTTTCTACCATCCTAGCACAGGTGAATTTAGCATGTTCAGAGACCTCCTAGCACTTGAGGAGATGTCCGTATTCATTTACGAGAATATCTCTCGTGGTGATATGCCAGCTGATATTTCATACTCTATCTTGCAACTGCCGTTCACTCTGTGCAGTTTCGATGCATCAGGGTGGTTACTCAACTTCAACGACATGTCCTCTTGCAATCCCATATGGGCCCATCTGACAACACTCAGGATCAGGGTATCAGAAGCAAAAGCTGTTCTCCACTTGCTCCTGCTAGCTCCCAACCTATCCTCGTTAACGATTCACATAGAATCCGAGGATGTCCAAGCATTAAGGCCATTCACACACACAAACCTTCAAACCTTGGATATCAGTTGTGAATGTTTTCTTGACCCGGGGTCCCAATTCTACCACCTGTTTAATGCTCTCTCACTCCCCACTCTACGCATACTTGCTGCTCATGATGTACTAGAATGGCCTCATGAGGAGTTCAAGGCATTCCTGTCACGGTCAGAGTGTCCGCTGGAGAGTCTGATCATCAGCGGAGAGGTGACAGATGAGCAGCGCGCAAAATATGTTGCCCTTGTTCCTTCGCTCCAATTTGTATTGCATTGATACTCGTTACAGATTTTGTGATATACAGTGGCTCAAAAAACCGTCCGTATGTTTTGGCATTTTTCACTATCTATAATATTGTGTGAGAACAAACAAATGCCTCAAAAACATGCTTATACCACATTGTAGTATGGCTTCAGGGCTTTCATTTGAGCCCTACACCGTGGGAATCGGTGGAGATATGGTGGAGATACAAGGCTCACAAAATGGTGACTCATGCGGACAGTTTTTTGACTCAAGTATTTTACAGTAATAACCAGGTATTCTAGTATTTTGTATGACCTCCCTTGGCTTTAATTACTGCCTCTATCCTTCTAGGCATACTCTCAATTAATTTCTGGCAATCCTCAGCTGTGATCTTCCCCCATTCCACTGCTACTCTCTCCCAAAGCTCTCATACTCTTTTAGGGGGGTTTTCATAGGCTTGAAGCTTTTTCTTGAGTGTTCCCCAGAGATGTTCAATGACATTGACATCAGGAGACTGTGCTGGCCAGTCAAGAACATTGATGTTATGTTCTTCAAACCATTCCCTAGCTCTTCTGGATGTGTGCTTGGGATCATTATCCTGTTGGAAAATGATATCTTCTTCATCAATCCCTGATTCTGCCAAGCTAGGCAGCAAGTGGTCATTTAAAATGTCCACATACTGCTCAGCATTCATCTTCCCCTCAACCTCAGCAAGCATTCCCACACCATTCCATCCCATACAGCCCCATACCATTAAAGAACCTCCTCCAAACTTGACAGTCCCATTAACCTCTCTGTCTGTTAGGCCATCTCCCTTCTTTTTCCATACATACACCTTCCCATCTGACCCAATCCTATTGATTTTGGTCTCATCTGACCATATAACATGCTTCCAGTCCTCTACAGTCCAGTGTTGATGAGCTAAGGCAAAGGCTAGTCTTCTCTGCCTATGTTTGATGGAGAGAAGAGGCTTTTTCTTCTTTGTTACTGCCTTGAGATGAGCTGCCTTGAGAACATTCCTCACAGTTTGTGAAGAGACAGGGGTAGTGATGGTGGAATTGATATAATGGGTGGCTTGGACAGCATTATCAGCCTTTCCTGTAGTGATATGTTGGATAATAGCCCTTTTGTCAGTAGAGGTAAGCTTGGATGGACGTCCTCCACAAGAGTTTTCCTTGTCTGGGTGGCTTTCTTTGATGAACTTGGCCACAGTGGACTTGCATATTCCAGTTCTAGAGGAAATTTGGCGAGCAGAGAGGCCAGCATAAGACAGAGAGAGGATATTATCTCTTTGAGCAGAGGAGATGGCTTTCATGGTGATTATGACTATGATACATGAGATATTCTGGTTTATATAGTTAGATATAGTCATAAAATAACATAATGACACCACTTTATAATTTATATAATAGTGGCATGATTTTTATGGTGTCATAAATAATGATTTATATAGTTTTAATATACACTCAAAAAACTGTCCACATGAGTCATCATTTTATAAGCCTTATATCTCCACCATATCTCCGCCGATTCCCACGGTGTAGGGCTCAAATAAAAGCCCTGAAGCCATACTACAATGTGGTATAAGTATGTCCTTGAGGAATTTGTTCATTCTCACACAATATCATAGATAGTGAAAAATGTCAAAACATGCGGACAGTTTTTTGAGCCACTGTATGATGGTCAGTCATGCTACTCCGTATACTCTATGCTACCACTGCTGTATGCTACCAGCCTTGTTGAAGACTCTGATTACAACTTTGAAAGATGACATCGCTGCAGATCATGCCTTTTGTCTATGGTGTTTTGTAAGCTTATCATACATTATAACTTTATCCCTGCTTTTCATCATCACATCAAGAGCATTGAGCATGTGAGCATGCCTGGTTGGTATGTGCTGCGTCCTGCTTCCCTACAAATGACAGTGTTTCTGTATGACCCTCCCTTGATGCAGCCTCGCACATATCAGATTGATGATTATCCTCCTCTCAGTGTTTTGTATGATGTCGCCGAGTATGTGTCGCATCATGACTAGGGCTGCACACCGTACCGTATACGGTAGAGGTACAGTAGACGGTGAACCCATCTACCGTACATAGTATTGGCCGTGGACAAAGCAGACAGTACGGTACGGAGTATTATATGGACGTATACGGTAATGTACGGTACATACGGAATGTAAATCAACTATGAACAAGCTCATTTAGGGCCAAACGAGCCAAGCGAAGCCTTGCCTTCATGAGCATCAACGTTCTGATAGTCTCAGGCTTGAGACTTGCACGTCGCAGTGAGACCGTGTCGCGACCACCGGAGAAAATTCGTTCAACAGCAACAGCAGATCCTACAACGAAGAGAACTAAGTACAGACACCTGGAACATGAAGTGAGTACTCACCAGGTATTGAAAGGACATCACGGGCAAGTCGAGAGAGGTTCGGAAACTGTGCTCGGCGACCCGCCCACCACTGAATGGGGTCGCAAAGGTCAAAGTCCTCTTGCGAAAGTTTTAGGTACTCCTCAAATTCATCTACCAAAACATTTGACCGCTTCTTGTACCTCGCCGTGAAATTCACCTTCGAGGGAGAATTTCTACCATCAGACACATTTGCGTGATGGCCTGTGCTGGCAGACAGCGATGACGCACTGTCCTGCGCAACAGATGTAGTGGCATAGTCTTTTTTATACAGGGCGTGTAGGTCATTCTTCAGTGAGTTGATTTGTGACCGTGTACTTGCATCATTGGCATCGCAATCATCACGGAGACCTTTGTAAGTAATGCGGGGATCGAGAACTTGAACTAGATTAGCTATCAAAATAAATCTAAATTCAGTGCAGGACTCACTCGAAGCCCAGACATAGTACGGTGAGTCATCAATCTTGAAGAAGTAGTCGCTGAGCTTCCGATGCGCATTGATCAAAGCGAGCCGTATCTTTGCTGGGGCTGAGTCTGGAAGATTCGCTAAATCATCCCGAAGTGACTCCTCAAGGCCTCGAAATATAGCATGAGCTGAAGACAACATTGGGTGCTTGGTTGTTGACATTTGAGTGGTTGCTGACCGGAATGCTTTCAGCCACCCCGTCACTAGTTCAATTGCTTGCCAATCGTCATCAGAAAGTTCATATTGTCGTAGTTCACGTGTCTTTGCCACAAAATCATTGATAGCCTTGCGGGAATCCAATGCACGACCTGTGAATTTGATTGGTACTCAATCATAAATTATGGAACTGTACTTACGAAGCATTTGATGTGTCGATGACCAGTGGGTCTTGACGTCCAAAATGAGCATGAGCGCAACTTGACTGAGTGTATTCTCAGTCTTCTTGAGTGATATTGTGACCTCCGCAAGCCATGCCTTGCGTCGCTGTGGGCTTGACCGAACTGACCGAACAATCTTTCGAAGCTGTTGGATCCATCCATTAGTAATGTGTTTTATGAAACTGTGATTTCAATACCTTGTCGACAGCCGACAAAACCCCCTGCAGAGTGCCAGATTGATCATCGTCGTTGTCATCCATTTCATCAAGAAGTGCAGTGTTATCATCATGCTCACGGTCTATGGGAGCAGTAACTGAGTCCTGGTATGCAGATTCTCTACGTCTCGAATCTGGCTTGATAGCACCAATGCCTTCAAGAAGCTGCATTGCAGATAGGTGCACAATATGTGGCAAACAACGGATCCGTGCTTTCTTGTGCGAGAAGTCGATCCCCTCAGCGGAACACTTTTCTTCAAGGGATTCAAGTAGTGTATCGTTGTTCGTAGCATTGTCACATACGACACCCATGATCTAAGATAGAATGAGTACACAAAATCACGCAACCCGCTGTTTCGTACCCGATCTTTGAGTCCGTAAAGTTCGAGTGTGTCCCACACAGCTTCAGCAAGATTAGCACCACTGTGTTCACCAATAATTTCACGAAAATCAATCAAAAGCTCTTCTGTTGATGCGAAGTTGAAGGTTGGGCGCAAAAATGATGGGAGGGGACATACCTAACTGCCAGTCATTGGTCACATAATGCATGATAATTGCGAGGAACGCAAATTGGTTGCTTGAGGTCCAAGCATCTAGGGAAAGGCTCACTTTCGCCTCGAGTTCCTGAAGAAGGTTGGTAATGTATGAGAAAATCTTTTTTGAATTGTTCAACTTACCTGAACCATGTCTTTGATTCCTTGGATAGTCTCGTCACCCATCTTCATGATACGACGTTTGATTGCCATTTGTCCAGGGATACGTAGCGAACCTTGGTGAGTGTACTCAATGAATGCTTTGAACTCTGGCTTTTCGACCTCGTCAAACGGCTGGTCACATGCAATGAGCCATTTCGCAAGCAGGTCTTCAAATTTGTCTTGGTTCCAGGCACCAAATGTTTTGTTGACTTGCTTGTTGAAGGCATCAACGAGATTTGCAGATGCTTGCTCAAGCTGTGTCAGGTATGCTGCTGCTGCGTCGGGATCAAGAACTTTTTCGCCTCATGCCATTTTGAGCTCATCTTCGGTGGGAGGTGTTCCGCGAGACTTCAGGATGAAGTATAACCAATACATAGGTGGAAAATGTGTTTTGAGATGCCCGATTAAGCCTGATAGTCACACTGTATTAGCAAGAAAGATGCTAGCCAAAACACGATACAACTTACCATTCAGGCTGCTTTTCATTGCACGTGTAATGGTGAGGACCTTCCGATTATCCAAGTAACACTTGTAGTGTTTATCTCCCGGATCACCAGCCTGACCCGCAGCATTCGACTGTACGACATCATAGAAGTGATATATCGGGTTCCGCTTGGTAGCCTAATAATTTCGTAAGAACTGAACTCTCTGAGACAAAACGGCACCATACCTTGACAGCAGGCACGGAACCTCGAAGGGGTACAGCATCTTCCAAGTCGACAGGACTTTCTTGCATAGTCACGGTCGTAGCAGCTCTTCGGCTGGCAGATGCCCGAGTGGTTGACTTTTTGGTCAAGCACTTGCGCTTGTTTTGCCTGTTTGATTGTTCCGGAACTGTTTTTGAAGGCAACAAGTGCGCGAGCTTGTT